TAGTCCTACTAAGTGCAAACCAGATGGGATGGCTTATTGCTACAGAATGCTGTGGTAGCCATGCTGGTTAAGTGTGCCTTGAATTCGTTCACTTACTTACCAAAAATCTCAAATTTGGACTCATCAGACCAAAGGACAGCTTTCCACCGGTCTAATGTCCATTGCGTGTGTTTCTTTGCCCAAGCAAGTCTCTTATTCTTATTGGTGTCCTTTAGTAGTGGTTTCTTTGCAGCAATTCGACCATGATTTACGCAGTCTTCTCGGAACAGTTGATGCTGAGATGTGTCTGTTACTTGAACTCTGTGAAGCATTTATTTAGGCTGCAATTTCTGAGGCTGGTAACTCTCTAATGAACTTGTCCTCTGCAGCAGAGGTAACTCTGGGTCTTCCTTTCCTGTGGCGGTCCTCATGAAAGCCAGTTTCATCATAGCACTTGATGGTTTTTGCGACTGCACTTGAAGAAACTTTCAAAGTTCTTGAAATTTTCTGGATTGACTGACCTTCATGTCTTAAAGTAATGATGGACTGTCGTTTCTCTTTGCTTATTTGAGCTGTTCTTGCCATAATATGGACTTGGTCTTTTACCAAATAGGGCTATCTTCTGTATACCCCCCTACCTTGTCACAACACAGCTGATTGGCTCAAACGCATTAAAAAGGAAATAGATTCCACAAATTAACTTTTATGAAGGCACACCTGTTAATTGAAATGCATTCCAGGTGACTACCTCATGAAGCTGGTTGAGAGAATGCCAAGAGTGTGCAAAGCTGTCATCAAAGCAAAGGGTGGCTATTTGAAGAATATCAAATATAATTTTGATTTGTTTAACACTTTTTTGGTTACTACATGATTTCATAGTTTTTATGTCTTCACTATTATTCTACAATGTAGAAAATAGTCAAAATAAAGAAAAACCCTGGAATGAGTAGGTGTCCAAACTTTTGACTGGTTGTGTGTATGTATATGTATGTACAGTTGAAGTCGGAAGTTTACATACACCTTAGCCAAAATACATTTAAACTCAGTTTTTCACAATTCCTGACATTTTAATCCTAGAAAAAAATCCCTGTCTTAGGTCAGTTAGGATCACTTTATTTTAAGAATGTGAAATGTCAGAATAATAGTAGAGAGTGATTTATTTCAGCTTTTATTTCTTTCATCACATTCCCAGTGGGTCAGAAGTTTACATGCACTCAATTAGTATTTGGTAGCATTGCCTTTTAAATTGTTTAACTTGGGTCAAACGTTTCGGGTAGCCTTCCTCAAGCTTGTTGGGTGAATTTTGGCCCATTCCTCCTGACAGAGCTGGTGTAACTGAGTCAGGTTTGTAGGCCTCCTTGCTCGCACACGTTTTTTCAGTTCTGCCCACACATTTTCTATAGGATTGAGGTCAGGGCTTTGTGATGGCCACTCCAATACATTTACATTTACATTTTAATCATTTAGCAGATGCTCTTATCCAGAGCGACTTACAGTTAGTGAGTGCATACATTTTTCATACTGGCCCCCCGTGGGAATCGAACCCACAACCCTGGCGTTGCAAGCGCCCTGCTCTACCAACTGAGCTACAGGAGGCCTTGACTTTGTTGTCCTTAAGCCATTTTGCCACAACTTTGGAAGTATGCTTGGGGTCATTGTCCATTTGGAAGACCCATTTGCAACCAAGCTTTAACTTCCTGACTGATGTCTTGAGAAGTTGCTTCAATATATCCACATAATTTTCCTTCCTCATGATGCCATCTATTTTGTGAAGTGCACCAGTCCCTCCTGCAGCAAAGCACCCCCACAGCATGATGTCTGTGTGTGTGTGTGTGTGTGTGTGTGTGTGTGTGTGTGTTTCTTGGCTAAATAGACCCTGTGGACAAACACAGAATTTAGAGTATGACTGGGTTTCCCCGCTTATAGCTACAGACAGACATTCACACTGTAAAGTTAATGACCCTTCATTGACCGTAGAGTTCATAGGTCATCTTGGGAAGAGGAGCAGAGTGCAAAGCCTCTCTGTATGCCATATGGCCCCAGGTACCCAATGCCTGCTAAAATGTCAAAGCAAACATGTGTTGGGTTGGAATTGTTTACACTAGTAGGGCTGGGAAAACAGAGGTTTATTTTTGGTGTGCTCTTTCTTCTTGTGAGGTGGCACAAGCTCTGCTGGCACATGGTAAGATTGCTAGTGAAATTAGGCCTACTGGGTGAAGCTGATGAGAACTTATGACACCTTTTGATCTGTCCCAACAATTTATGACCATATGGTAATTTTTAGGCAGGCATGTAAAATAGCCAACCGTACATCCACAAGGCCCCGGAAATACTGAAACTGCCCTAATCTCTCTGTGTTGTTGGGGGACAGAGCAGTAACTTTTCTATGGGCAGTGAAGTCCTATCACCAAAGGAAATCCACCAACAGAACATGGGTGTATTCATTAGTGCAAAACGTTTTGCAATGGAAAAATGAAAACAAGCATTTGTTATTGGACACATTCAGGTAGGTCCCTCCCCATTTGGGCCCGTTTTCTTCAGTTTGGTTCTTAGTGAATACACACCAGTTGCGGGCCAGATGATAACAGCCAACTATCAGTAGGTGGTTTCATAGTTTTCTAGTGAACGCTGTTTACATTTACAGGGACAGCAAGTAGCAGGAGTTGTGGGTCGGATTTCACTGTCATGCCAAAATAACAGAGGGAAAAGAATGGAAGGAAGCGCATAAGTGAAGTGTTGTGCATATCACAGCAAAGATGTATCCAATCTGAAGATGAGCCCTACCTCCTATTCACTTGTGGAGTTCTGAGAGAACTGGTAGTAGTTCCACCTTGCCTTTCAATAGACTAGATTGAGTTTTCATCATTATTGCTTACACCTATCCAGTCCTCACAGATCTCCACAAGTGCCTAGGGGGTAGGGGCTGGTTGACTTGAGATGTTGGATTGATTGTCAGGATCTTCAGTCAGTCTCACCAATAGATGTTATAAGGTTGGTTGTGTGGTTTTGTTTCTGAAGAATTGAATGAAGGATCGCGTTGTAACTTACATCGGCAGCTGTGTGGCCACATTATTTTGAAGGGCCAAAGCACTTTCTGTTAGCTGTGTTCTTTGGGGCTGATGTAGCCTGGGTTGTGTTCATTAGGTCACATTGATTCAAAACGTTGTTGCAACTAAAAATGGAATGAGCTTCTCTTATTTGACAAATCCAGGTAGTCCATTCCCATTTTACTCCATTCCCGTTCCATTTGGTGCCTACTTAACACGACGCAGGCTTTGTGTACGTAAACAGCACAGTCATGGTTTAAGTTTTCCATTGATGTGGGGGGGCATCTGTCAGGAGGAGCTTGTCAGCGTCCCAAATGGCACCCTATTCCCCATGTAGTGCACTACTTTTAACCAAGGCCCATAGTGCTCTGATCAAAAGTAGTGCACTATATAGGGAATAGGGTGCACTTTGGGATGCAAGCCTGGTGTCATTTTAGTTTCCTCTTTTTCAAGGGCAGATGTAAGGGAGTTCAGTGTTCCACTGTTTCCCGAGGCCAGGGAGGGAGAAGAGTGGGAGGAGAGAGAGAGAGACACTGCATGTCTGAGAGGAAACTGCAGAGCACAACAACAACCACACAGCTTACAGCCACTGCATGGTTTTCCCATTCACTACTTTTGTTCAAAAAAACATGTTCTCTACCTTATTTGCTCCCATGTCCATCTCCCCCTCTTCCCTTTCATGTCCCAGTGAAAGTAGTTTTTAGTGGTAAAAAGGTACCACATATATCTTTTTTTACCCCCTACCCATTTCAACTATACAAAAAGAATGGAAAGGCCTCTGTGTACAAGGCGCTATACAGTAGGGACTAGGAAGCCACATATAACTCCCTCTTGCCTTTCATGTCAGTGTTCCAGTGAAGTAGTGAAGCTGCTAATCAGATGAGAAAAGCAGTCCCGACTTGGTTAAATATCCCTAGGGACAGAGGGTGAGGAAGTAAGGGGGGGGGGGGGGGGGGGGGGGGTAAAGGCTGTGGAGGAGTAAAGGCTGTTCCTATTGGGGGTGGAGGGGGGGTGTTGCACGTGTAGAAGGCCCTCTGCCCTGCCACCCACCACATGTCCCTGGGCACAAAAGGCAGCCCTCGAGCCACACAAAGAGCAGCAACACCACTGAGATGACGGGTGTAGGTTTACCAAGGATCTGTTACACCCAGAGGGGGTGTGGGGTGGAGGGGGCACTTCAAACATACTCATAACTTACCGTGAAGAGCTAGAGGGGGGCTGGAGGGTGGTGGGGGGGAGGGCAGGGAAACCTGAGATGGGTCCTATTGATGAAGGAGGTATCCCTGCTGCCAGTGCCTTGGGTGGGGTTGGGGGTTTGGGAGAGGGCGGTGGTAGGGGCCTGCGAAGGCCAGCTGGCGCCATGGTGCCCAAACGAGTACCACCCTCATACCAACCAGGGCTGGGCCCACCCTGCTTGGATGTGTGATACCATTCCTAGGCGTGAGTTTCCCCTATTATAGTCTGTTCTGGTACATGGCTTCTGTCTCTACAGGTCGCTTAGTGTTCATGTAGCATTTTCTTGACCTTTGACAGCTGCAACTGCCATTTTGGAACAAAGGCAGCCACCCGCCTGCCTGCCCCTGGCCCCTTCCTATGGACCAAGATGGAGAAACAGATTTTCACTGACCAATTGTTCACAGAAATTTACAGAAACCAAATCTACATGACTCAATGAAATGAACAAGAAAATCAATGTATTTTTCATCTACATAGTGTTACTTGATTGATACAGTAATTCAGTAGTGCGTCATTTGATTTTTATGCAATAAGAAATGAACAGGGGTTCTTATCTGAATGTTTTAAATGGATCGGGAGCACACATCTGTGGGTCCATGTCTAGATCATGTTTTCAGCCTGTTCGAGGGCTGGTGTTCAGACTCTCTTCTCTCTGTCTGTTCCGTCTGATTGGAACAGGCAGAAGGAGGGCACCCTTGCCTGTGTTGAGGGGAATACATCTGGGTCCTCATTTAGCAGGCGCGCTCAAGCGATGCCATGCAGGCCACATAGGAGAGATGAACAAAGTGCTGCAGAGGCAAAGTGTGAAAGGAAATGTTCTCTCTCCCCTCTCTTTACCCAGTACGTCCTTTCTCTCTCTCTGTCTGTCTCTGTCTGTGTATATATAGTGTCATTATAAGTAGCTTAGGTAGTTATTAATCAATCAATAGCATGAGCACAATGGCAGGTGGCTCGTTAAGGCTTCCGCACGCTTAGGTTCGGCTGGTGCACCGAACAAGTGTGCTCACTTACTCCCTTTAAAAGAGCTTCGATGGAAAAAGTGGCAATAGTACTGTTTGTCCATCTTGAGACGCAGTAACCAGTATAGTCAATTGTCAGAATGATTCTATACTGAACAAAAATATAAATGCAACATGTAAAGTGTTGGTCCGATGTTTGTTTCATGAGCTGAAATAAAAGATCCCAGATATTTTCCATAAGCACAAGCTTATTTCTCAAATTTTGTGCACATTTGTTTACTTGCCTATTAGTGAGCATTTCTCCTTTGCCAAGATAATCCATCCACCTGACAGGTGTGGCATATCAACAAGCTGATTAAAAAGCATGATCATTACACAGGTGCACCTTGTGCTGGGGACAATAAAAGGCCACTAAAAGGTGCAGTTTTGTCACAGAACACAATGCCACAGATGTCTCAAGTTTTGAGGGAGCGTGCAATTGGCATGCTGACTGCAGGAATATCCACCAGAGCTGTTGCCAGAGAATTGAATGTTAATTTCTGTACCATAAGCCCCCTCCAACGTTGTTTTAGAGAATATGGCAGTACGTCCAACCGGCCTCACAACAGCAGACCACGTGTGACCACGTCAGCCCAGGACCTCCACATCTGGCTTCTTCACCTGCGGGATTGTCTGAGACCAGCCATCCGGACAGCTGATGAAACTGTGTGGGTTTGCACAAACTAAGAATTTCTGCACAAACTGTCAGAAACCGTCTCAGGGTAGCTCATCTGTGTGCTCGTCGTCCTCACCAGGGTCTTGACCTGACTGCAGTTCAGCGTCGTAACCGATTTCCGTGGTCAAATGCTCACCATCGATGGCCACTGGCACACTGGAGAAGTGTACTCTTCACTGATGAATCCCGGTTTCAACTGTACTGTGCAGATGGCAGACAGCGTGTATGGCGTCGTGTGGGCGAGCAGTTTGCTGATGTCAACGTTGTGAACAGAGTGCTCCATGGTGGGGTTATGGTATGGGCAGGCATAACCTACGGACAACGAACACAATTGCATTTTATTGATGGCAATTTGAATGCACAGAGATACCGTGATGTGATCCTGAGGCCCATTGTCGTGCCATTCATCTGCCGCCATCACCTCATGTTTCAGCATGATAATGCACGGCCCCATGTCGCAAGGATCTGTATACAATTCCTGGAAGCTTAAAATGTCCCAGTTCTTCCATGGCCTGCATACTCACCAGACATGTCACCCATTTGAGCATGTTTGGGGTGCTCTGGACCGACGTGTACGACAGCGTGTTCCAGTTCCCACCAATGTCCAGCAACTTCGCACAGCCATTGACGAGGAGTGGGACAACATTCCACAGGCCACAATCAACAGCCTGATCAACTCAATGCGAAGGAAATGTCTCGCTGCATGAGGCAAATGGTGGTCACACCAGATACTGACTGGTTTTCTGATCCACACCCCTATCTTTTTTTTAAAGGTATCTGTGACTAACAGATGCATATCTGTATTCCCAGTAATGTGAAATCCAGGGATTAGGGCCTAATGAATTCATTTCAATTGACTGATTTCCTTATATGAACTGTAACTCAGTAAATTCTTTGAAATTGTTGCATGTTACGTTTATTTTAGTTCAGTGTAAGGAACACAAGAAATCTGTCATTCATTTAGATGTTTTTGCAGAGATCTTAGTTGCCCAATTTTACGTCTAACTAACATGTTTGGTGCAGTATTTCTCAAGTGAAAAATGTTGCATGAAAACAAGTCATTTATCGTTGAATGACAAAACACTTAATTGAAGAATCCCTTGACCAATGACCGACGAAGGGGCATAGCCTTCGGCTCTGAACTTCAGCTTGCCTCGAGGAAAAAAATGTGTGCACAACCACCCAAAAAAAACTTGCCCAAGACCAAAATGTCGTCATCATATATGCACAAACCGTTTGGGATAGGAAGCGTGCAGACGCCTTTAGCCTGTGTCCTCAAAGGCCACCCTCTTAGCTACAGGCAGATGGCTTCTGCTCGCTCCTCCTGTGGTCCAATCAGTGTTGGCATTAGTGTCATGTGACAGGATGTTTGGGAAATTTGACCGAAACATGAACTCGTCCAATAATAAATAGTTTTCGTTGCAAAACGTTATGCTACGGTTTGCACTAACGAGTACGATCCAGGTCTGAATAAATTATCTAAGAGAACCACTGATTTGGTCCATTGGGTCTAGTTGAAGCGTTTGAGCCCAGCCTGTGCTGGGTTCTCCGATCTGGTTGTGTCCCAAATAGCTCTATGGGTCCGGGTGAAAAGTAGTGCACTATGTAGGGAATAAGGTGCCATTTGGGAAGCAGACTGTCCTGTTTCCCTCCAGTGAGAAGTTCTGTTCTGAGTGACCTCACATGACCTCTGATGTTTTCTTCATTGCCATGGAAACGGGCCGTCTCCCATCAGCCAGGTGGGATAGACATCATTATCCTCCCCATCCTGTGTGCTCGCTGCTCTCCTCTCCCAGAGTTCAGCTGGTTCTCATGGAACACTGACAACAGCACAGACGTGTGTGTGTGTGTGTGTGTGGTTTATGTATGGGGTGGTAGAGAGAAGCCAAGATTGACGTGAGAGGAAGGAGGAGAGGGAGACGAGGAGAAAGAATCACACAGGGTGTGCGTGACTGTGTGTTGTGTTGATATGGAATTGTAGAGAGAAGCCAGGATTTGTCTGAGATTTACCAGGATTTTCATTTCTGTGTGTGTGCGGACCCTGGGAATTCTAGTATCAGGTCATTAGCTGTGCAGATTAAGCTAGCTCTTCCGCACACCCCACTGCGAAAGTCCTCCACTATTTATCCTACCCGTAGTTTGTGTTTGCTCTGTTTCCCCTGAGTGGTCTCTTCTTGGTCACATTCCTTTTAAATCCTCAGGGAACTGTTTTTGTCATATGAACACATGCATTTTTGTAATGTGTTTTTGTGATTCAAGGAAAAATGAGTGTGCAATTGTTTTTCTTTGAGACACTGCTCTATTGTATTGGGGTATCTTGAGTGTGTGGTTATGCTCAGTGTGTCTGTCTTTGAAGAGCTCAATGGCTGTAAACAGTCCTTGCACTTTTGGTACTTGGGAGATTCTCTCTTACCATAGCACCTAGACATTTAGCTATATGGGTGGTATTAAGTAAAGGTACACTTTAGCAAAACGTTTTGCAACGGAAAGCTCCATACTACTTGCCAGACATAGAACTGATACTGGTTGTGGGTGTGGGGGGTCTGTGGGTGGCTATTGATCATTTTATTGGATTCCTCATGTCTTACTCATTGTTGGGAAGAATTATGGTCCAAATCGGATGTTATGTACTAATTTTAGATTATATGAATCCTATAAATTAAAAATGGCCAATCCTCTTTCTTGTGCTTTTTGAGGTGGAATGGCTCTGGTCTGTTCAAAGAGCTGAGACTGGGCTCAGTATAGAATAGAAATCCTCCATTATCCATTAAAGATGTACAACTTGCCTTCACTTTCTTGGTTTCCAGGCCCAAGCAAATATGACTAATTTAAAACATGCAAGATGCGTTACACATATTACTCTCTTCACATCTGTTGTAGAATAGCTTTCACTTTCCAGATATGGCAAAGGCGCATATGGATGGGAGTCAAATTATTAGCCGACACGCCAATGGCGACAGCTAGTCCTACTGGAGTCTGACACACAACGACATTACAGACAAAATACATATGCATTTAAAACATTAACATGTAGTGTGTGTTTGCATCTATCAGTTACACATACATGTCAGTATATACACACAAAAAGTAGTTCACCTGGGGTAGAGGTTCTTGTGCCATAAGGTGTTGCTTTATTTGTCTTTTGAAACCAGGTTTGCTGTTCACTTACATGCAATCATGGCTCTGTATAATACTGTACGTTTCCTTGAATTTGTTCTGGACCTGTGAGACGAGTTTGAAGTGAGACGAGTTAGAAGGCAAAACAGTGGCTTTGTCCCAATATTCTACCCCTTCAGCCTTAGTGTGCACTTGCACGCTCCCCATCATTGATTTAAATGCATTGGATTGGTGTAAGCATTGGCTGGAGGGAGTTTCTACCATTGTTAATCCATGAGGGGAAGTGTGCAAGTGTACGGTTTAGGAGAAGGGTGGAGAATCGGGATGTCACATTGCCCATTTTACAACGAGCCCCTAGTGAGGTTATTGGCTAACCTTTCCTCAACCTTCAGCTACCAAGTTGCCAACACAATAGTTACAAGACTGATGGCAGTGGTTGGGAACTGGGTCATTTTCATTAGGGCACACTGTCGCAAAAAGTTTTGGAAAAGAAAAGGAAACTGAGCGTTTCCTATTGGACATGTCCAAGTGGTCCCTCCCTGTTTCAATCTGTTTTCTTCTGTTTGGTGCCTAATGAACATGACCCTAGTGATCGGATGGAGAGCAGAGAGAAATACATTAATAAACGAGAGAGATGTCTGAGCAAGACCGTGCTGCTCTTAGTGTAACTGATGTCATCCGGAAATGCGTGCTTGGAAACTCTGAGGTCATTCTCATCATTTCTCCTCAAGTCATTTGACCAGTTTCACACAGTCAACATCTGGAACACTTGGCTGTGTAGCAGTTTCACTTTGTAATGCTTTGCTTCTTTAATACCAGTGTTCGTTAGGTGGTGTTCATTAGGGAACACTCTGCAAATAGCTTTTCAACAGAAAACGAGGGTTTCTTATTGAACAAGTTCAGGTAGTCCCTCCCTGTTTTTCTGTTTTCTTACATTTAGTGCGTATGACCCTGGCATACTACTGTAGTCCTAACTTCAGAGGGAGTTATAATGGTCAATGTCTGAATGTTAAATGTTATGCAACAGTGTGCTGTTCCCTTGCTGAAACCATGTCACAAGGCTTTGAATAAAGGTGAACCAGGCCAATAATGTCATTGGAAAAGGTTGCAACTGCTTTGGCTAGCCTACTGTAGATATTTCACTTCACCTTATGCCCCTCTTTCTCCAAAAAAGAGATGGTGACTCGTATCAAACAACCACCTGTAGCTTTAGTCACTCGCTGGAGGTACATATGAGTGTTTTACCACTCTCACACAGTCATGGTGCGCATTCGTTTTGTGTCTGTTTCTGTTTGTGTGTGTGTGAACACCACCTCATGTTAAGTGTGTGTGTGTGTGTGTGTGTGTGTGTGTGAGTGGCTCATTCTCACACACACCCTCATTGTCTAATACCCTGCCTCTCGGAGTCCAAACTCCCTGACTCACCCGCTGGGCTGACTGGGCTAATCTCTTGGCTGGGGCCTGGTTTATTGTGTGGTGATCCTGATTACACACTGCCAAATGTAGTAAGGCCTGGAACCAGATCAGCTGCCGAGCTTGACGTCCCTATTGGTTATATGGGGCATCAGAGGGCTACTCACAGGTCCAGGGTCAGCCAACATGAACCTGTTGCAACAGAAGTGAAGAAGTTTACAGAGAGCGAGAGAGTCGAGGCCCATATTCATAAATCTTCTGAGTAGGAGTGGTAATCTTGGATCAGTTTGGACATTTACATCATAATGAATAATGGGTAGGGTAGCGCTCCTAGTCGGAGGGGTCTTTCACGCCAAATTGGTTTGGTGCAGGTTTTTCCGAACTCTGGTGCATTTACCCCCTTAGTTCGGTCTGAACACTATCTGCACTCGGGAGTGCACTAAACAACTCAAAAAGGGTGGTCTCGGTCCGTTTCCATTCGTACTGTGGTGCTGTTCGCTACAGGTGAGAACGCAGTCCCGACCAAACACAGGAAAATAACCAGAGTCGCATTATTATTGGTTGTTTGACTGCGAGCATTTGCTGGAAATACACCCATCATAACTTCAGATCTCTGAAACATTCTGTGAATAGTAGCGCATCCGATGCAGATTAGGGGAGATGGGCTATACGTGGGATATAGTCTACTAAAATATAGCCTATTCATGTCGCAGTTACAGCGGCTATTGCACTGTTTCCTCCCGCATGTTGTTGGAAGGCTAAAGTAATATGAAGATTGGGACAAAAGTGATGCTTCATGATAATTAATGGATTTAACGTGAGCATTTTTGTCCAATAAACAAATTACTTGCATGGATACGTGGTTTTGTTTAGGAATTATTGTTAGTTCGACAATTGCCAGACCAAATGAAAAAAATACAATGTTACAAATAATTGAACTCTGATTCGAACTAGGGTTGGGCGGTATCCAGATTTTCATACTGTCAAACCGTTAATGTACCATACCGAGGTATACGGTATTACTGAATGTGCACACAAGGGGTGCTATTTCAGCAACAAAAAAACGCACAAAACAATTTAGGCAACAGGGATCTTGATCCAGGAGGGGATTGAATGTCTCTGCTGTAACCAATAAGCTTGATCTTGACATTTAGCTACTTAGCTAGGAAGTTAGCAAACCAAATGCATAGCTGTAGCCCAGAGCTGGATATAATTTATTTGACACATCTTAGATTTCTTATACTCCTGGTTATAAGCAGTGGCATAGCACACAGCCCCCGCGAGGCATATATATATATATATATATTTATTAACGGTATTGTAAATCATACCGTCTGTATTTAGAAATACCCCCCCGTTCATCGTGGGAAATTCCTGACGCTCCATATCCCCTAATTCCCACCATGTGTGCTACTTTGCCGGTGCGCTCCGGGCTGGACCACGGACAATCCTAGTGAAGAGTGGGATCAGCTCCCTGGTAATGGGATCCATACTGCGCCCTGGGAGAGCTCCCTAGTCCCTATGAGTGGCTGTCTATATATAGGGCGACAGGTAGCCTAGCGGTTAGAGCATTCAGCCAGTAACCAAAAGGTTGCTGATTTGAATCCCCAAGCTTACAATGTGAAAAATCTGTCTGTGCAAGGCACTTAACCCTAATTGCTCTAGGGGCGGGAACTGGATGGGTGTGAGCTGGCTAGGTCAATGTAAACGGATTATGTATCTTTATGGATTGTGTATAGGCAGGATATACACTACAGGATATACAGTGGGGAAAAAAGTATTTAGTCAGCCACCAATTGTGCAAGTTCTCCCACTTAAAAAGATGAGAGAGGCCTGCAATTTTCATCATAGGTACACGTCAACTATGACAGACAAATTGAGATTTTTTTTCTCCATTAAATCACATTGTAGGATTTGTATTGCATTTATTTGCAAATTATGGTGGAAAATAAGTATTTGGTCACCTACAAACAAGCAAGATTTCTGGCTCTCACAGACCTGTAACTTCTTCTTTAAGAGGCTCCTCTGTCCTCCACTCGTTACCTGTATTAATGGCACCTGTTTGAACTTGTTATCAGTATAAAAGACACCTGTCCACAACCTCAAACAGTCACACTCCAAACTCCACTATGGCCAAGACCAAAGAGCTGTCAAAGGACACCAGAAACAAAGTTGTAGACCTGCACCAGGCTGGGAAGACTGAATCTGCAATAGGTAAGCAGCTGTGGGAGCAATTATTAGGAAATGGAAGACATACAATACCACTGATAATCTCCCTCGATCTGGGGCTCCACGCAAGATCTCACCCCGTGGGGTCAAAATGATCACAAGAACGGTGAGCAAAAATCCCAGAACCACACGGGGGGACCTAGTGAATGACCTACAGAGAGCTGGGACCAAAGTAACAAAGCCTACCATCAGTAACACACTACGCCGCCAGGGACTCAAATCCTGCAGTGCCAGACGTGTCCCCCTGCTTAAGCCAGTACATGTCCAGGCCCGTCTGAAGTTTGCTAGAGTGCATTTGGATGATCCAGAAGAGGATTGGGAGAATGTCATATGGTCAGATGAAACCAAAATATAACTTTTTGGTAAAAACTCAACTCGTCGTGTTTGGAGGACAAAGAATGCTGAGTTGCATCCAAAGAACACCATACCTACTGTGAAGCATGGGGGTGGAAACATCATGCTTTGGGGTTGTTTTTCTGCAAAGGGACCAGGACAACTGATCCGTGTAAAGGAAAGAATGAATGGGGCCATGTATCGTGAGATTTTGAGTGAAAACCTCCTTCCATCAGCAAGGGCATTGAAGATGAAACGTGGCTGGGTCTTTCAGCATGACAATGATCCCAAACACACCGCCCGGGCAACGAAGGAGTGGCTTCGTAAGAAGCATTTCAAGGTCCTGGAGTGGCCTAGCCAGTCTCCAGATCTCAACCCCATAGAAAATCTTTGGAGGGAATTGAAAGTCTGTGTTGGCCAGCGACAGCCCCAAAACATCACTGCTCTAGAGGAGATCTGCATGGAGGAATGGGCCAAAATACCAGCAACAGTGTGTGAAAACCTTGTGAAGACTTACAGAAAACGTTTGACCTGTGTCATTGCCAACAAAGGGTATATAACAAAGTATTGAGAAACTTTTGTTATTGACCAAATACTTATTTTCCACCATAATTTGCAAATAAATTCATTAAAAATCCTACAATGTGATTTTCTGGATTAATTTTTCTCATTTTGTCTGTCATAGTTGACGTGTACCTATGATGAAAATTACAGGCCTCTCTCATCTTTTTAAGTGGGAGAACTTGCACAATTGGTGGCTGACAATACTTTTTTTCCCCACTGTACACTACCGGTCAAAAGTTTTAGAACACCTACTCATTAAAGGGTTTTTCTTTATTTTTACTATTTTCTACATTGTAGAATAATAGTGAATACATCAAAACTATGAAATAACACATGGAATCATGTAGTAACCAGGAAAGTGTTAAACAAATCAAAATATATTTTATATTTGAGATTCTTCAAATTGCCACCCTTTGCCTTGATGACAGCTTTGCACACTCTTGGCATTCTCTCAACCAGCTTCATGAGGTAGTCACCTGGAATGCATTTCAATTAACAGACGAAGTACATATTATGGCAAGAACAGCTCAATTAAGCAAAGAGAAACGACAGTCCATCATTACTTTAAGACATGAAGGTCAGTCAATACGGAACATTTCAAGAACTTTGAATGTTTCTTAAAGTGCAGTCGCAAAAACCATCAAGCGCTATGATGAAACTGGCTCTCATGAGGACCACCACAGGAATGGAAGACCCAGAGTTACATCTGCTGCAGAGGATAAGTTCATTAGAGTTACCAGCCTCAGAAATTGCAGCCCAAATAAATGCTTCACAGAGTTCAAGTCACAGACACATCTCAACATCAACTGTTCAGAGGAAAATTTGTGAATCAGCCTTCATGGTCGAATTACTGCAAAGAAACCACTACTAAAGGACACCAATAAGAAGAAATTACTTGCTTGGGCCAAGAAACACGAGCAATGGACATTAGACCGGTGGAAATGTGTTATTTGGTTCCAACCGCTGTGTCTTTGTGAGACGCGGTGCGGGTGAACGGATTATCTCTGCATGTGTAGTTCCCACCGTAAAGCATGGAGGAGGAGGTGTTATGGTGTGGGGGTGCTTTGCTGGTGACACTGTCTGTGATTTATTTAGAATTCAAGGCACACTTAACCAGCATGGCTACCACAGCATTCTGCAGCGATAGATGGCGAATTTACCAGCTACGTCTATCGATAGTTGTTGCAGTGAAATCATAAACATTCTATTGAAATAGTTACTTGCATAGTGCAGTCTTTTGTTTAGACATGTAGCTAGCAAGCTAACAGTACACTTTTTAACTTGAAATGAAAACGACTTTCTGACTATTCGAAACGTGTAATATCTGAAAATGTAGCTAGCTAGACTATCTTACCAGTATACATGGATGGACGCTTCTCCCTCTCTGTTTGAAGATGTAATCCGGAGACAGGTGTTTTATACAACAGTCTTCTGTGTGTTCTCTTTTCGACTCCGTCTGCATATTTGCAATCAAACACCAGAATTTTCTTCATCTCCTTAGCTATCATACTCTAATTCCACTGATTTCAAAACTCGGTCCTCCAGAAAGTAGAGAGCAACACTTATGCAGATCTACTATGTGATATCTTTCAAACAAGCTGCATTAGAAAGGATTACCTACACATACTGACCAGCTCATGTTATAGACAGAAGCGTGCTACATGGCTGACCAATCCGAATTTATCTCTCGGCATGTCCAGCCCACTCATTATCTCAGCCAATCCTGGCTAGCGGGAAGGTTCCAGTCTTTTTTCCGTGGCTAAACCACGTAATTTAACAATTGTATTTGTATTTACAGATGGCATACACGTTTGTTATTAAGGCACATGAAAGTTCAAATGTTCCACTAGGCATTTCTGCATTTTGATTTTAAAAAAAAGTTTACGTTCAAATGGCGCTCCTGTGAAGTAGCGGGGCAAGACTCTGTGTAATGAAATGCGTCACGATGTAAACGGAGCATTAGTTAGATAATGCAGGAGGAGCATGAGGCAGTGTAACGATGTCCTAACTACTGTGAATGCAATGTGATCGGAGTGGTGGAGGTCACGGGTTTGGATGTGTCACACGCACGCACATGCACGCACGTGCACATGCACACACACAAATTACTGGACACACAGTCCTAGTTTCTCTCTCACTTTCCTCTGTAACAATACTCGTTTTTATTTTCATCTGACATCATCACCTCTGCATAGTGCCCTCTTTCCCACTTCCTGCTTCCTGCTCAGACAGGAAATGTGAGATTGGGGCCGGAGCAGGAAGTATGGGTAGGAGAAGGACACACCTGTATCCCAGGGAGATTTGAATATACAGTACAAGAGGCAGTGTTTCCCCTACATTTCGTTTTTTGGGCGGAGCGCAGAAGCCTACACCAACATCAACACTTGTCTCAATGGAAATCAACAGAGACAAAAGGTGCAGCCATAGTGGCTGTAGGGGATAAATACTGGCAGAGGGGAAGGGATAGGACTGTGGATAGTGTGATACGTTTTTCAGGAGTTTTTCATCCCTATCCCAAATAGAGGACTTGATTCTCTAACCTTGGCTTTGGCCCTTGAAACTTAACCCCTGCGCTTAGACTCCACCCAGTGTAAGAGATTGACAATAAAGGTCCTGCTCTTTTGGATCCTGGGATCCTCTCTAGCACCTGGGATGATGTCACACTTGTTTACTTCCTGTGTGCTGAGAGGGAAGCGGCAGCCGCTTTGGGCGTCACGGCTGCTACTGCAGCGCCTACAGCTGTTCATACCTACATGTCAGCTCCATTACAATGTCACGGTGTTGACTGACGCGCATAATTGCTGGGCAGATATCACGCAGAGAAGGCTTGATCACTCACTGTAAGTCAAGCTGAGTGATAGTATCAGAAACAGACGCTAACACAGAGGCTCTGTGTGTTTGTGTGTGTAAGTTGTTTTCATGTCTGTGTGTATATTAGACACACACACACACTGTGAAAGAACCCCCCCCCCCCCCCCCCTGTGTTTTGAGTGGGAGCCACATGCTTCGTGTGGACAGTCCGTCTGCACAGTTGTTCTACAAAGGGACAGCTGAGGCCAGCTGGGATAGCCAAGGCTAGAGTGTGTGTACTCGGAGGCAAACAAACACCAACCGTGTGGCCATGTTCACCACACAACGAGTCAGCATTTTTCACACCAGGCTAATGGTCCATCTATGTGATTCATTTGAATCATGTTGAACAGAATGTGTAACATATGAGTCAGCATTAAAAACAAAAATGTATATCTTTTTTGGGACTTTATTGAACAGATAGAGATGGAGGAAGACCCTGGGGAAAGATACAGAGGTTGTGTCAAAGGGCAGTAGGCCGGATTCAAACCTATCCCAACACTGTAGACGTGTGATAGAGGTTGTGGCACAACCGCTAGACCAGCCAGGCCAAGAGTCAGCATGTTTTACATGAGCCTAATGTTCCATCTATATGATTCATTTGAATCATGTTTAACATATGAGTCGGCATTCTTTCTGGACATGAGACATATTTGGTTGTGATTCATCTGCATCAGTCTGAATCACCGTACGGGACAAGCCTGTAGTGGTGGTGATTTGTGAATCGTAATGCGAGTCAGGGTTTTGATTAGCTTTGTAGTTTGGTCTGTGACTCAATGTGAGTGTCTGCCTGTGGAAAGTTCATTGCTCCTCATTTATGTGTGTGTGTTTGTCACATAAGCTGCCATAGTGCGTGTGTTAGCTTCTTAGCTTGATGCAATTGCTCAGCCCAGTGTGTCTTTCTAAGAGTGCTCCACACCCAGGCATGCTCTGAAGCTAATCCCTGTGACGTTGAGATTGATCTCTCGCTCTGTGTGTGTGTACAGCGACGCAGTCCATGTGATTTCTCTACAGCACTATGAGAACAAGCACCATCGATCCATTGGTCCCATTTTTCACTCAGTAATGGCCCTTGCCATGGGACCATTATCCGTAGGTCCCATCTTTTTTTGTCTCCACTTTAAAACACAAATAGATGGTGAATCAAATCTGATAGATATTTTTTCTCCTGTTCTCTCTTCTCTCCAGGACATAAAAGCTTGGTCCTGACTGTTGCGTTGGCTTCATTTGACCTTTTAACCTGAGCGGGACAAAGGGGAGAGACACCAGAGGTAAGATACACTTTTAACACCTTCCTTTAGCCTGATGTTTAGTCAGTTACCAGCCACCACTACATAGCTAGGTGGTCGTAGATGTTAGTTGACGACAATAGGACTTGGCAAGACGGCACAAACCAATCTGGAACTACCAGGCTAGCCAGTACATTGGCTCCCATTCCTATTCTTTCAATAGAGACTTTCTGACCCCTGTAGTTATTGTATAATAATATGGACATTTTAGAAGATCGAACCCACAACCCTGGTGTTGCCAACACCATGCTCTAACTCAGTGAGCCATTGGAACCAGTCATGGACTCTTCTGACAGAATCTCCACAGTGAAAGAGAGGCTCTTGCTCATAGAAATATAATTACTAGAATGGCCATTCCCATTCAAGTCAATGCTCTGTTATTCTATTTCAATGCGTGGTGTCTGTTTTTCTGTAAGTTGAAGAGGAGATCCAGGAAAGACAGAGGACAGGCAGGGGAGGGAGTTGGGAGAGAGGGGCTGCGTTTCATCCCAGGAACATGTTCCCTCCCTTCTGCCTTCATTCACTCGCCTTCACAGATCTGATAGGACTGTATATGTGAAAGCAATATGGTGGAAACTGGGTGGAGCTGTTGCTTTACACCCACCCAGTTTTCTCATATCCATGAAGGGGAGTGAACGAGGGCAGAAAGGAGGGAACATCTTCCTGGAATTAAACGCAGCCAGGGGGGCCCAGGCGAGAAGCCTCCCTGAGCTAGCCTCGTAAATCGGGTCCAAATGAAAAAGGAGTTAAGGCGAGGATCTTGTCTTTGGGTCGGGGATAATTCCAGGCTAAAGTGGAACCATGTGAAGGGGTGGACTGGAATGATGTCTGGATGTGTCCCAAATGTCACCCTACTCCCTACATAGTGCACTACTTTTGACCAGGGCCAAAGTAGTGCGCTATGTAGGGAATAGGGTGCCATTTGGGACTTAGTCTCTGTGTGGCTGCCTAGTGGGTGTAGTGAAGAAGTTTGCTCCCCCGCACCGGCCTGTTTCGGGAAGGGGAGAAGTACTGTTAAAGTGAATTGTCACGCATGCTCTGAGAGTTTGTGTGTCCTGCGCAGTCTTGTGTCCCCCTCCACCACCACTGTGGAGAACTTGCTCTCTCGTGTCTCCTGGCTCTCACACTGTCCTCATGGCGGTGTGTGTCTCCCAATCCTGGTCCTCGAGGGGGACCCATAGGGGTGCAAGTATTTGTTCTAGCCCAGCACTAACACACCCGACCCAACTAATCATTGAGCCTTTCATAAGTCGAATCAGGTGTGTTAGTGCTGGACTAGAACAAAAACGTGCACCCCTCTGGGTCCCCAAGAACCAAGAGGTAGGAAAGCAGTGTGGTGTAGCAGTAGTGCTGCAGTCTACCAAGCACATTTTGTCCAGGAGCAACATGGAATCCAATCCTACCCCAAACACGTTCTCACATTCTTCCTTCTACAACTGTAGCCTACATCTACATTCCTAACTGTCTAAATAAAGAGGAAAAATACATCAGTAGGATGGGAAAATAGTAGGTAGGAAAGTATGTGTGACAAATAGGGGTGAGGGGAAGGATAGTCATGTGCCATGTCAGTGTATTTAGAGACCTATACTAATTCCTTGAGGATGAGATGCTTTCACTGTGGGGATGAGGGTAGACTCGCAGAGCGTCACACACAAGCAACCTTCTGAAGTGGACCTTTTTATAGTAAACAAAACATACAGTACCAGCCCCACTCTGCCCTGTCACTCAGGGTGCGGGTGGGTGTGTGTGTGTGCTCGAGTGCACACATCTGAGCATAGCACAGCACACACTCAATCTACACAGCAGTTTTGTTAGGGAAGAAGCACTCGTGATCGTCGTGTGTTTTATCTAGGCAGGCTAATTAGCTGGGGTGTGTTTGGGTGTTTATAAGTGGGACGGTGGCCTGTAATTTACACCAACTAACCCCTTTTCCAGTTTCCTCTAAGGTTATATGGGATGTAGGGTGAAGTTGCACCTAGACGCTGATCTTGGATCAGTTTAGCATTTCCCCCACTAATGGTTAAGGTTAGGATTGGGGAGGGGACGTTTGGGGTGAAGTGTATCACTATAGACAGACATATACTACTAACTGGCAGGATGCTATTGTTTCTATGGTCTCCATGGAGATGATACAAAACACATGAATTGTGCGCTATCAAAGGGTGTGTTTGCATGTGTACATGTGTGCGTGACTTTGACTGTGTGTGTGTGTCTGTCCTTTAAAAGCTAACAATCCCCTTTGGTGGTGAGGGAATCTGACTCTTGAAGATGGAGAGTAAGCCCTCGGGAGCTGAAAATAAACTAGCGGGGAACAGTATAGTTGTTTGCGTGTATATATGGGTACGTCCCAAATTCCATGTGTATGTTGTGGGGGGGGGGGTGTTGTACACCCTTCAGGGGCAGGCTGGCATTCCTGAATATTATGGAACGCCAGAGATGGAAGGTGTGGAGTGGTCGTAACGCCGGAGGTAGCGTGGCGGACGTGAGGTGGCACTGCTGATGGACAGACAGACGAATGGACAGTGACACACTACCGACAGTTGCTAGAGTCAGGAGGCCTAACAAGCCAAGACTGTGTGTTTGCGTGTGTGCAATGTGCCAGTTACCAATAACGAATTCCCAGCCAGCTGACAGAGGTCAAGAGGTCAGGGGCTCGCTGGAGCAGCTGGCAGGAGCTGGGGCTGCTTGGATTAATGAGGACATTCTCAGCTGTTCTGGGATCTGTGGTGTCGGTCTGTCTGCCTATAAAGAGACACTGAGCCCATGTGCACAGGTCAGGTGTGGATTGGACAGCTCTATACCCACTGTGCTCTTTGTTCCCAAACAGGTGTGTGTTACGCACAAGATGTCTACTATAGACACACCACGGTTAGACACTGATACTGAAATACTAGGATAGCTAGTAAAAGAGACCGAATAGTACAATTATAAACGTACAGCAACATTGTTATTGAGCCGACATGCTAGCTGCCAAGCTAGTGTTACTCTGCAAGGAGATTGAGGACTTTTAACACATTCATGGGTTATTTCTGTGCTGGGTGACTGTACTTCCATTGTGTGACTGTTTTTTTACCCTAGTGAGTAGTCTCTTTCTCTGTCTAAATTGGCTTAGCGATGATTGCCCAATATGAAAATCAAACCCAGCAAAGATATTTGCCCACGATGAACAAACTGATGGTTGTTATGAGCCTGGAAACAATGTTACTCATTACCCAAGGATATTAATGATAAACCTTCTGATATCAGATAGTCTATGGTTACATAGCTAGTGGTTATCATCATACATAAATGCCTATTTATTCCTGCAGCATACATTGCCATAGTAATTAGCATTTTCAAAGACCATGCACAACGGAAATTAATTATAGAATATATGCCATTTAGCGGAGCTATATAATAGCTCAGTGATTTGGAAAGGCACACGCCTGTCTATATAGTTGAAGTGCATGTCAGAGCAAAAACCAAGCCATGAGGTCGAAGGAATTGTCCGTAGAGCTCCCGAGACAGGATTGTGTCGGCACAGATCTGGGGAAGGGTACCAAAAAATGTCTGCAGTATTGAAGGTTCCCAAGAACACAGCGGCCTCCATCATTCTTAAATGGAAGAAGTTTGGAACCACCAAGACTCTTCCTAGAGCTGGCCACCCGGCCAAACTGAGCAATCGGGGGAGGGCCTTGGTCAGAGAGGTGACCAAGAACCTGACAGAGCTCCAGAGTTCCTCTGTGGAGATGGGAGAACCTCCCAGAAGGACAACCATCTCTGCAGCACTCAATCAATCAGGCTTTTATGGTAGAGTGGCCAGATGGAAGCCAATCCTCAGTAAAAGGCACATGACAGCCCACTTGGAGTTGGTCAACAGGCACCTAAAGAACTCTCAGAGCAGGAGAAACAAGATTCTCTGGTCTGATGATTGAACTCTTTCGCCTGAATGCCAAGCGTCATGTCTGGAGGAAACCTGGCATCATCCCTACGGTGAAGTATAGTGGTGGCAGCATCATGCTGTGGGGATGTTTTTCAGTGGCAGGGACTGGGAGACTAATCAGGATCGAGGGAAAGATAAACGGAGCAAAGTACAGAGATCCTTGATGAAAACCTGCTCCAGAGCGCTAAAGAACTCAGACTGGGGCAACGGTTCACTTTCCAACAGGACAACGACCCTAAGCACACAGGACAAGTCTCTGAATGTCCTTGAGTGGCCCAGGCAGAGCCCGGACTTGAACCCGATCAAACATCTCTGGAGAGACCTGAAAATAGCTGTGCAGTGACACTCCCCATACAACCTGACAGAGCTTGAGAGGATCTGCAGAGAAGAATAGGAGAAACTCCCCAAATACAGGTGTGCCAAGCTAATAGCGTCATACCCAAGAAGACTCAAGGCTGTAATCGCTGGCAAAGGTGCTTCAACAAAGTACAGAGTAAAGGGTCTGAATACATTTGCAAAAAAATCAAAAAACCTGTTTTTGCTTTGTCATTATGGGGTATTGTGTGTCAATTTGATGATGGGGAAAAAACAATTGAATCAATTTTAGAACAAGGCTGTAACGTAACAAAATGTGGAAGAAGTCAAGGGGTCTGAATACTTTCCGAATGCACTGTATTTGGCCTTGTGTTTTAGGTTGTCCTGCTGAAAGGTGAATTTGTCTCCCAGTGTCTGTTGGAAAGCAGACTGAACCAGGTTTTCCTCTAGGATTTTGCCTGTTTTTAGCTCTATTCCATTTCTTTTTATCCCAAAAAACTCCCTAGTCCTTGCTGATGACGTGCATACCCATAACATGATGCAGCCACCACCAATCTTGAAAATATGAAGTGGTACTCAGTGATGTTGGATTTGCCCCAAACATAACGCTTTTTGTTCATATCTTCGCCACAATTTTTGCAGTATTACTTTAGTGCCTTGTTGCAAACAGGATACATTCTTAACAGGCTTCCTTCTTTTTCCTCTGTCAATTAGGTTAGTATTGTGGAGTAACTACAATGTTGTTGATCCATCCTCAGTTATCTCATATCACAGCCATTAAAGTCTTTAAAATCTTTAAAATCATCATTGGCCTCATGGTGAAATCCCTGAGCTATTTCCTTCCTCTCAGGCAACTGATTTAGGAAGAGCGCCTATATCTTTGTAGTTACTGGGTGTATTGATACACCTTCTAAATTGTAAAATTTTAAATAATAATGGCTATTAATAATAATACCCATCTACGAATAGGTGCCTTCTTTACGGTCCATATGAAAACCTCCCCGATCTTTGTGGTTGAATCTGTTTTTGAAATTCACTGTTCCGCTAAGGGACCTTACAATTATCTGTATGTTTTTATTTTATTTCATTTTATTTAACCTTTATTTAACCAGGTAAGCCAGTTGAGAACAAGTTCTCATTTACAACTGCGACCTGGCCAAGATAAAGCAAAGCAGTGCGATTTTAAAAACAACAACACGTGTGGGGTACAGAGATGGAGTAGTCATTTAAAAATCATTTAAACACTATTATTGCACACAGAGTGAGTCCATGCAACTTATTATGTGACTTGTTAAGCAAATGTTTACTCCTGAACTTATTTAGGCTTGCCATAACACAATTATTGAATACTTACTGACTCTTTATTGATTTAAACATTTTTTATTTGTAAACATTTGTTAATGTCAACGTGTAATTATGTTTTATCGGGTATTGTAGATCGATTAGTGACACAATCTTAATTTAACCTATTTTAAATTCAGGCTGTAACACAGCAAAATGTGGAAAAGGTCCAGTAGTGTGAATACTTTCTGAGGGCACTGTATTTGCATAGTTAGGTGGCTGCTATGGGGGTAGGGCTGTTGGTAGGGCTGTTGCTGTTACTATGGAGAAACCTGCTGACTGCTGCACACACCAGCTGACTTCTAGCTGCTGCCTTTGGGTGGGAACATATCAGCTGATCAGCTCCTCGCTCTCTCTCCCTTTCGTTCTTTCTTTCTTTTCCCGTCTCCCTCTGTCTTTGTCTTGCTTTCTTTCTCCCTTCATACATCTCTCTCCTTCTCTCTCTCCTCTTTTTTTTATCTCTGTTAGTATGTTTTCTCTCTCTCTCTTCTCTCTCTCCCCTCCTGTTAAATTGGCTGTGTATGCCAGAGTCACTGTGTGTGATCCTCTCCTCCTATACTCTTTCTATTCTCCTCTCCTCCTCTTTTCCTCTGCCTGCTGGCTGTCAGTCGTGCTTGACTGATGCTGTTTTGTCAGTCTCTGACCCTCCCCCTACTCATATTCTAATTGTCTATTCCCTCCCCCATCATCTCACCATCTCTCCATTGCTGTCCTCCTCTCTCCCACTCCCCCATCTTTCCCTTTATCTGCCTATTGTAGGAAGTGTTTTGTTCTTGCTTCCTTTACTGGTACAAAGATGGCATAATATATCTGGATTAGAACTCTGCTTCATTTGATGCATTTTGTTGATATATTAAGGCTGTATGTCATTTGTGCGGTTTTCCCATTGATATTACCAGGGGATGTTGATATATGGTGTTAGTCGACGCAAGGTCAATAATAAACACTTGTTTTGTATTTTTCTGTTGAAAAACGTTGAAAAAGCTTTGCTACGGTATGTCCTAATGAACATGACCTTGGCCCTGGAGTAAGTTCCTCTCGATTTACTCTCCCTTCTTCCGATGTCCCACATAGCTTTGAGAGCCAGGGATCACAGAGCACAAAGGGTCCAGGGCCTGTGTTCATAAAGTGTCTCAGACTAGGAGTCCTGATCTAGGATTAGGTCCTCCCTGTACATGTCATCTTATTCATTATCATCTAAAAGGAAAAACTGATCTTAGATCAGCATTCCGCCGAGACACTTTTTGAATACGGGCCCAGGAGTGATCCACACCCACATTTATTTTAGGCTGTTGCCGTGTTCTTGTCAATGGAACTCTTTCATAGCCAGTGTGGAGACGATTTTCTCATTTTCGCACACTATATGGTGTGTATGTAGCCTACTAGCCGTATACAGTAGTCTTACAGTTATGAACTGATGACGTTCTCAGGCTATGTTTAATGATCTCTTAGCCCCTCCAGCACTGTGCAAATGGGCCCCTTTTCATTGGCTGTCTGAGCATGGTGGATGAGGCCTGTTTGACTAGAGGGGATTAGGGAGAGTGGGCGAGGAAAGGGGAAGAAAGAGGGGATAGAGAGGGGTGAAAAAAGAAAATGAGCACTGCTCTGGACACAGCCATAACCCCACCCCCGCCTACAATTTGGGAGAGTCCAGCCACACCCTTAGCCATGTTCCTCTCCAGAACAGGACCTAGGACCAGGGTTGACTCACCCACAGGAACGGTGGGGGTTATTGTGACATGGGGGGGGTACGAGGGGTGTCGATAGCTGTTGATGCAGACTTTCTAAATTTAGCCACAGTGTTAAATGTTATAGACTAGACTCGTGTGCATGTATTCATGGTAAGGAAAAACGAACCACTCATCTATAGCAGTCTTAGTTTGAGATGCGCGCACACACACTTCCCAGGGGACAATTAGCGGTGCTGGGAATATGGGACCCACTCTGTAATCGGCCATTACCACACACACTGGTGTGTTATTCGTAACCCAGCAGGCTTCCCTAAATGTTTTATTTGTTCTTGGTGTTAATTTTTGGTCCACCCCCTCAGGAGAATACAGTTGAGCCCTACCAAACTCACAGGAATGCCCCCCTCTTTTTTCATCTACCTCTCCAGAATGGCATAGTGGGGTTAAAGGGGAAATTCAGCATTTTACAACTTAATGTAAGACAACTTAATATTAGACGGTTACTCACCCTGTATGGTAGAGCATGGCACTTTCAACACCAGGATTGTGGGTTTAATTCCAGGGGCCACCCGTAAGTAAAATGTATGTATGCATGACTGTAAGTCTTTTAGGATAAAGTGTTTTCTAATTGCCATTTATTATTATGAACTTTCCCTGTAGCTGATTTTCCCAAAATGTTACCATTGTTGTAATGAGAGCATATTTCTCCTTTTGCGAATTCATTCATCATGATACAATGTGATGTTGATGTATTTTTGGACATCTACATTGGGGTCAGGATGGAGTTTGAAGTTTTGAGAGACAGAGAAAATGAGTTGCAGAGTAGAAATAGTATTATGGGTTGGTGTGTGTTTGTGTGTCTGGCTGTCATGTTTTTCTATGGAGGAAGCTGTTAAGACAATGTGTCACTGCCGCCAATGTTTTATTATCCCCTCAGTCCTCCTTGCGTCAGACACACACACACACACACACACACACACACACACACACACACACACACAACACAAGGGAGTTGGTTGTGTGTGTGTGAGCATTGTGGGGTTTGACGCCAAAATTAGACTACATCCACACCCATTTAGAAGTTTGGTTTATTGAAACATCTATTCAGCCATTGCTCATAATGGCACAATAGTGTTTTCATACAGCTTACGTCATAGTCACCAACTCTACTGCTTCCACTTTTTCTCATTTTCGCACACTATATGGTGTGTATGTAGCCTACTAGCCGTATACAGTAGTCTTACAGTTATGAACTGATGACGTTCTCAGGCTATGTTTAATGATCTCTTAGCCCCTCCAGCACTGTGCAAATGGGCCCGTTTTCATTGGCTGTCTGAGCATGGTGGATGAGGCCTGTTTGACTAGAGGGGATTAGGGAGAGCGGGCGAGGAAAGGGGAAGAAAGAGGGGATAGAGAGGGGTGAAAAAAGAAAATGAGCACTGCTCTGGACACAGCCATAACCCCCCCCCCACCACCCCCCCCCACCCCCCCCACCCCCCCCCCCCCCCACCCCCGCCTACAATTTGGGAGAGTCCAGCCACACCCTTAGCCATGTTCCTCTCCAGAACAGGACCTAGGACCAGGGTTGACTCACCCACAGGAACGGTGGGGGTTATTGTGACATGGGGGGGGGGGGGGTACGAGGGGTGTCGATAGCTGTTGATGCAGACTTTCTAAATTTAGCCACAGTGTTAAATGTTATAGACTAGACTCGTGTGCATGTATTCATGGTAAGGAAAAACGAACCACTCATCTATAGCAGTCTTAGTTTGAGATGCGCGCACACACACTTCCCAGGGGACAATTAGCGGTGCTGGGAATATGGGACCCACTCTGTAATCGGCCATTACCACACACACTGGTGTGTTATTCGTAACCCAGCAGGCTTCCCTAAATGTTTTATTTGTTCTTGGTGTTAATTTTTGGTCCACCCCCTCAGGAGAATACAGTTGAGCCCTACCAAACTCACAGGAATGCCCCCCTCTTTTTTCATCTACCTCTCCAGAATGGCATAGTGGGGTTAAAGGGGAAATTCAGCATTTTACAACTTAATGTAAGACAACTTAATATTAGACGGTTACTCACCCTGTATGGTAGAGCATGGCACTTTCAACACCAGGATTGTGGGTTTAATTCCAGGGGCCACCCGTAAGTAAAATGTATGTATGCATGACTGTAAGTCTTTTAGGATAAAGTGTTTTCTAATTGCCATTTATTATTATGAACTTTCCCTGTAGCTGATTTTCCCAAAATGTTACCATTGTTGTAATGAGAGCATATTTCTCCTTTTGCGAATTCATTCATCATGATACAATGTGATGTTGATGTATTTTTGGACATCTACATTGGGGTCAGGATGGAGTTTGAAGTTTTGAGAGACAGAGAAAATGAGTTGCAGAGTAGAAATAGTATTATGGGTTGGTGTGTGTTTGTGTGTCTGGCTGTCATGTTTTTCTATGGAGGAAGCTGTTGAGACAATGTGTCACTGCCGCCAATGTTTTATTATCCCCTCAGTCCTCCTTGCGTCAGACACACACACACACACACAGGAGTTGGTTGTGTGTGTGTGAGCATTGTGGGGTTTGACGCCAAAATTAGACTACATCCACACCCATTTAGAAGTTTGGTTTATTGAAACATCTATTCAGCCATTGCTCATAATGGCACAATAGTGTTTTCATACAGCTTACGTCATAGTCACCAACTCTACTGCTTCCACTTTTTGAATCATTAAAGGGTTAACAATCCTCTGTGTTGGAGATAGTGAAGGTAGTATAGAAAGGTGAGTGTGTGTGTGTGTGTGCGCGCGCCCACTTGCATTCACGCTAACCATGGTCTTGTTCAGTGGGCACAAAACGGCCGAGAAACAAGAAACACTCATTTTCCGTTGCAAAATGTTCTGCTCCAGTAAGCTCTAATGAACAGGACCCAGGACAAGGCTGAGAACAAACCAAATAAACAACTATGTTCTGATCCTACTAGGATGCAAAGTGAATTAACGAAGAGACTGCAGAGTTCCACATTAACCTTATCTTTGATGTAATGGGCAATTCCACAGTAACAGAATGACAACACAAACAGCACAAAACGTTGTTCTGTTACCAAACTTTGCATCTGCACTGTTCTTCAAATAAATGTGTTTTTGTAAAATGCTCTGTGGAAATGGTTAAAAGTCGTCCTTGTGTCGTCCTTGGTTAAAAGTCGTCCTTGTGCATAGAGTTGTGGTTTGTTGAACTTTGCAATCATTGTTCTTTGTTTGACATAGGATATACATTTAAAAGGGACAAATCTGTTACTGTAGAAATGCCCATTACATCACAGATCAGATGGAACTCTGCGGTCTCTTCATTAATTAACTTTCAGTACATACATTTTAAAATGAAAAATCTGAGTTTCAGCATCATTCTGTTAGCGTGGAATTGTCCTAATGCCTTCTCCCCTCTCTCATTCCTCCCTTCCTCTCCTCCTTCACCTAACTCTCCTTCCATTCTCTCCCTCATTCTCTCTACTTCTCTATTAATCCTCATCTCTCCTTGCACCCAGTCTTTCTCCCTTCTTAGGGAAAGGGGGATACCTAGAGTGAGGGGGGGAAAAAGTATTTGATCCCCTGCTGATTTTGTACGTTTGCCCACTGACAAAGAAATGATCAGTGTATAATTTTAATGGTAGGTTTATTTGAACAGTGAGAGACAGAATAACAACAACAAAATCCAGAAAAACGCATGTAAAAAATTTTATACATTGATTTGCATTTTAATGAGGGAAATAAGTATTTGACCCCTCTGCAAAACATGACTTAGTACTTGGTGGCAAAACCCTTGTTGGCAATCACAGAGGTCAGACGTTTCTTATAGTTGGCCACCAGGTTTGCACACATCTCAGGAGGGATTTTGTCCCACTCCTCTTTGCAGATCTTCTCCAAGTCATTAAGGTTTCGAGGCTGACGTTTGGCAACTCGAACCTTCAGCTCCCTCCACAGATTTTCTATGGGATTAAGGTCTGGAGACTGGCTAGGCCACTCCAGGACCTTAATGTGCTTCTTCTTGAGCCACTCCTTTGTTGCCTTGGCCGTGTGTTTTGGGTCATTGTCATGCTGGAATTCCCATCCACGACCCATTTTCAATGCCCTGGCTGAGGGAAGGAGGTTCTCACCCAAGATTTGACGGTACATGGCCCCGTCCATCGTCCCTTTGATGCGGTGAAGTTGTCCTGTCGCCTTAGCAGAGAAACACCCCCAAAGCATAATGTTTCCACCTCCATGTTTGATGGTGGGGATGGTGTTCTTGGGGTCATAGGCAGCATTCCTCCTCCTCCAAACACGGCGAGTTGAGTTGATGCCAAAGAGCTCCATTTTGGTCTCATCTGACCACAACACTTTCACCCAGTTCTCCTCTGAATCATTCAGATGTTCATTGGCAAACTTCAGACGGGCCTGTATATGTGCTTTCTTGAGCAGGGGGACCTTGCGGGCGCTGCAGGATTTCAGTCCTTCACGGCGTAGTGTGTTACCAATTGTTTTCTTGGTGACTATGGTCCCAGCTGCCTTGAGATCATTGACAAGATCCTCCCGTGTAGTTCTGGGCTGATTCCGCACCGTTCTCATGATCATTGCAACTCCACGAGGTGAGATCTTGCATGGAGCTACAGGCCGAAGGAGATTGACAGTTCTTTTGTGTTTCTTCCATTTGCAAATAATCGCACCAACTGTTGTCAACTTCTCACCAAGCTGCTTGGCGATGGTCTTGTAGCCCATTCCAGCCTTGTGTAGGTCTACAATCTTGTCCCTGACATCCTTGGAGAGCTCTTTGGTCTTGGCCATGGTGGAGAGTTTGGAATCTGATTGATTGATTGCTTCTGTGGACAGGTGTCTTTTATACAGGTAACAAACTGAGATTAGGAGCACTCCCTTTAAGAGTGTGCTCCTAATCTCAGATCGTTACCTGTATAAAAGACACCTGGGAGCCAGACATTTTTCTGATTGAGAGGGGGTCAAATACTTATTTCCCTCATTAAAATGCAAATCAATGTATAATTTTTTTGACTTGTTTTTCTGGATTTTGTTGTTGTTATTCTGTCTCTCACTGTTCAAATAAACCTACCATTAAAATTATACACTGATCATTTCTTTGTCAGTGGGCAAACGTACAAAATCAGCAGGGGATCAAATACTTTTTTCCCTCACTGTAAGTTGCACAACTGAATGCATTCAACTCAAATGTCTTCCGCATTTAACCTAACCCCTCTGAATCAGAGAGGTGTGGGGGGCTGCCTTAATCGACATCCACGTCATTGGCGCCCGGGAAGCAGTTGTTGTTGGGGGTTAACTGCCTTGCTCAAGGGCAGAACTTCAGATTTTTTTCCCCAACGTGCCAGCTCGGAGATTCAAACCAACGACCTTTCGGTTACTGGCCCAACGCTCTTAACCGCTAGGCTACCTGCTGCTTCTTATCTCTCTCCTTCCCTCCCTCTCTCAAATACACTTATATAGGATCAATTGGTTTGCATGTGAAGCATGAGTGGCTAGCTGATTTCTCTACAGATTACACAGAAGTCAACCAAACACCCTGGTTGAACACTATTCTACTTCTCCTACTAGGCTACATGCTACATAATATCGGCCTGTATTTGTCTCCGTCATTAATGTATGTAGTGTTTCAAATTCACATTTCTACGGCGTGTGGGTGTGTGGTTATATACAGATGCATTGGCTACAGGTTATGGTTCCACACCTCCTGACTTGACTGTCAGTGACCATCCTATGTATGACCTTTGATGACGCTGACTTTTGACCCTCCATAGGCCAACAACATCACATCCTGTCCCTTCTCTATATGAAACACTCTTCCCCCTAGTCCGGCTTGAGCACTCAACAGTACATTGACAGTCTGTGTGTTCTGTTCTCTATTCCCGGCCTCATGGTTAAGCACTGGAAGCCAGCCATTGCTTTCTTTAATTTAGATCAGTGCTTTTCCAGAACAGCCCCCTCTCTCTCTCCTCCCTCTTTGCTCTCTTCTCTTCAGAGGCACAGGCCAACCCAAACTGGTGGCCTAGTGTGGGGCAGATGTGTGTGTGTTTCCTGTGTACCCTCCCACTATGGCAGAGGCTTAACACCACAACAGCCCCAGTGGGTTGACCTCTGAACCCTGAGGTGGCCCCAGCTCTGACCCTGGTAGTGATGGGAGACAGATGAGGGACTGTCATGCTCGGGCTTCTCATAGACACTGGCCTGGAGAGAGAGAGGGATGCAGGGGGGAGAGAGAAAGAGACACAGGGAGGCAGAGAAAGTGTGAGAGCGTGCGAGGGAAGGGGAGAGCGTGCGAGGGAAGGGAAGGGGAGAGCGTGCGAGGAGGGGGGGAGAGCGTGCGAAGGAGGGGGGAGAGCGTGCAGAGGGGGGAAGGGGAGACTCGTGGAACAGGGAGGGGAAGTGGAGAGCGTGCAGGAGGGAGGGGAGAGCGTGCGAGGAGGGGAGAGCGTGCGAGGGAGGGAGAGCGTGCGAAGGAGGGGGGGAGAGCGTGCGAAGGAGGGGGGGAGAGCGTGCGAAGGAGGGGGGGAGAGCGTGCGAAGGAGGGGGGGGAGAGCGTGCGAAGGAGGGGGGAGAGCGTGCGAAGGAGGGGGGGAGCGAAGGAAGAAGGAGGGAGGGAGGGAGCGAGCAAGCGAAGGAGGGGGGAGAGCGAGCGAAGGAAGGAGGGGGAGGGAGCGAAGGAGGGAAGGAGGGAGCGAAGGAAGGAGGGAGCGAGGGAAGGAAGGAAGGAGGGAGCGAGCGAAGGAGGGAACGCTACTGCAAGAACGCTACTGTTATTCCCCATACTTTTATAATTTTTTGTACACTCAGTACAAAACATCATAGCTTTAACCTGGATCATAGCTTTCACCTGGATTCAACAGCCAGTTTATTAGGTACACCCATCTAGTACTGGGTCGGACCCCCCTTTGCCTCCAGAACAGCCTGAATTCTTGCTGCAGGTTGGAAGGCGATACACCACCGCCACCAGCCTGTACCGTTGACAACAGGCAGGATGGGTTCATAGACTCATACTGCTTACGCCAAATCCTGACTCTGCCATTAGCATGACACACCAGGAACAGGGATTCGTCGAACCAGGCAATGTTTTTCCACTCCTCAATTGTCCAGTGTTGGTGATCGTGTGCCTACTGGAGCCGTTTCTTGTTTTTAGCTGATAGGAGTGGGACCCGGTGTGGTTGTCTGCTGTAATAGCCCATCCGTGACAAGGATCGACGAGTTGTGCATTCCAGGATGCCATTCTACACACCACTGTTGTACTGCACTGTTTTTTGTATGTTTCTGGCCCGCCTGTTAGCTTGCATGATTCTTGCCATTCTCCTTTGACCTCTCTCATCAACAAGCTGTTTTCGCCCACAGGACTGCCGCTGAGTGGATGTTTTTTGTTTGTCGCACCATCCTCGGGAAACCCTAGACACTGTTGTGCGTGAAAAGCCCAGGAGGGCGGCCGTTTCTGAGATACTGGATCAGGCGCGCCTGGCACCGACGATCATACCATGCTCAAAGTCGCTTAGGTCACTCATTTTGCCCATTCTAACATTCAATCGAACAGTAACTGGATGCCTGTCTGCCTGCTTTATATAGCAAGCCACGGCCACATTACTCACTGTCTGTAGGAGCGATCCATTTTCGTGAATGGGGTGGTGTAGCTAATACACTGGCCGGGTAGTGTAGGCTAAGTCATGAGAATAGGCTATATTGAAATGAGCCTTGCCTCAAATATCCGGTATTGTTATTTTAGTATTGTGCACAAGCTGCTAGACAGAAACAGTAGGCATAAATGCCAAAAATCTTGCCTATGTAGAGTAAGATGATTGCAAGGTTTTGCAAATAATCCTCAACCACCTGAAGATTGAGATTCATTAGATATTTCTTGAATGTGGGGTAATTTGTAGAATTCAAATGTCACATGAACATATTCAAACCGCAAGTATTTGGGAAACATAGTGTTTTCTATGGTCCTATTGTAAAGGGATAGCGCACCCAAATGAATTACATATTTACAAGGAGAGACTGAAATCCATCCCATGGTTAGCCACCAACTTAGTATTAGCATTTTCTAACCAAAAACCAATGTAATTTCATGTCCGCCAGTTAGCATACTCTAAATGTCATGCCCAAATAATCTCAAAGTAACTTCAAACCAAGTCGTTGAGAATCCTGACCTGGGATATTAAAAAAAAAATCAAAATCCACCCTGGTCATGGGCCTTAGCCATGTAAAAATATGTAGAATTGCAGGAAATGAGCTTTAAAACAGATGTTTTCCCCTGGGGGGGGGGGAAACCACCAGACCCCCTGGTTAGGAATGGAGCTAATGACATTAACAACAACTTGGAGTGTGAATTCCTATCTTCAATAGTTGGCAGCCCTGTTTTAAAGCTTATGGACAACAACCCAAAAAGTGGTGTGTCTATAATTGTATTACAGCAAGGGCAGTGCTGTCCAAGTACAGCTCAGACTACAGGCAGTGGCTGATCTCTCGTCTCTGTGGCTGCATCCCAAATGGCACCCTATTCCCTATATAGTGTCCTACTTTTGACCAGAGCCCATAGGGTGCTATTTTGGACGCAGCTGTCTATACGGTAGCACCACCAGCGTATTTGCAAACAGAAAGGAGGCTTATTTCATTCTGTTCTTTTCCTCTTCCTGTCCTCCTCGGTTAGCCATGATGTCATGCTGTAAAGAAGCCCTGTCCCTGGCGCTGTAACCATGGCGATGCTTGTGTTTGATGGACTGCTGGGCTTGGGCGTTGTTATGGAACAGCCCGTGTGGGGAAAATAGGAATTCTGCACATCTTGGCCATTTCCTGTTCTGACCCACTCAACTGCCACCCTGTTCCCCCCCTCTCCGCATGCACAGCTACTACATACACACAACGGGTGTGTGCACTGTTCACTGTACATTGTGTATCACCTATATGGTGGCCATGCCAACTAAATGGTTGACTGTGATGGCCAAGGGGTTTTAAGGGGGGCGATGGATGGGCGGCTGTAGAGACACAGTGTGGAAAGACTGTGTGTGCGTGTAACTGGGCGGCAGGTAGCTTAGTGGTTAAGAGCGTAGTGCCAGTAACCGAAAGGTTGCTGGTTCTAATCCCCGAGCCGACTAGGTGAAAAATCTGTCTGTGCCCTTGAGCAAGGCACTTAACCCTAATTGCTCCTGTAAGTCGCTCTGGATAAGAGCGTCTGCTAAATGACTAAAATGTCAAATGTAAATGTAACTGTGCATGCCTGTAAATCTGCACGGTCACACACACAGCAGTGGTTCTGTGTAAGCTAGCTACAGTGAGGGAAAAAAGTATTTGATCCCCTGCTGATTTTGTACGTTTGCCCACTGACAAAGACATGATCAGTCTATAATTTTAATGGTAGGTTTATTTGAACAGTGAGAGACAGAATTACAACAAAAAAATCCAGAAAAACGCATGTCAAAAATGTTATAAATTGATTTGCATTTTAATGAGGGAAATAAGTATTTGACCCCTCTGCAAAACATGACTTAGTACTTGGTGGCAAAACTCTTGTTGGCAATCACAGAGGTCAGACGTTTCTTGTAGTTGGCCACCAGGTTTGCACACATCTCAGGAGGGATTTTGTCCCACTCCTCTTTGCAGATCTTCTCCAAATTAAGGTTTCGAGGCTGACGTTTGGCAACTCGAACCTTCAGCTCCCTCCACAGATTTTCTATGGGATTAAGGTCTGGAGACTGGCTAGGCCACTCCAGGACCTTAATGTGCCTCTTCTTGAGCCACTCCTTTGTTGCCTAGGCCGTGTGTTTTGGGTCATTGCCATGCTGGAATACCCATCCACGACCCATTTTCAATGCCCTGGCTGAGGGAAGGAGGTTCTCACCCAAGATTTGACGGTACATGGCCCCGTCCATCGTCCCTTTGATGCAGTGAAGTTGTCCTGTCCCCTTAGCAGAAAAACACCCCCAAAGCATAATGTTTCCACCTCCATGTTTGACGGTGGGGATGGTGTTCTTGGGGTCATAGGCAGCATTCCTCCTCCTCCAAACACGGCGAGTTGAGTTGATGCCAAGTGCTCGATTTTGGTCTCATCTGATCACAACACTTTCACCCAGTTCTCCTCTGAATCATTCAGATCTTCATTGGCAAACTTCAGACGGGCCTGTATATGTGCTTTCTTGAGCAGGGGGACCTTGCGGGCGCTGCAGGATTTCAGTCCTTCACGGCGTAGTGTGTTACCAATTGTTTTCTTGGTGACTATGGTCCCAGCTGCCTTGATCATTGACAAGATCCTCCTGTGTAGTTCTGGGCTGATTCCTCACCGTTCTCATGATCATTGCAACTCCACGAGGTGAGATCTTGCATGGAGCCCCAGGCCGAGGGAGATTGACAGGACTTTTGTGTTTCTTCCATTTGCGAATAATCACACCAACTGTTGTCACCGTCTTGTAGCCCATTCCAGCCCTGTGTAGGTCTACAATCTTGTCCCTGACATCCTTGGAGAGCTCTTTGGTCTTGGCCATGGTGGAGAGTTTGGAATCTGATTGATTGCTTCTGTGGACAGGTGTCTTTTATACAGGTAACAAACTGAGATTAGGAGCACTCCCTTTAAGAGTGTGCTCCTAATCTCAGCTCGTTACCTGTATAAAAGACACCTGGGAGCCAGAAATCTTTCTGATTGAGAGGGGGTCAAATACTTATTTCCCTCATTTAAAATGCAAATCAATTCATAACATTTTTGACATGCGTTTTTCTGGATTTTGTTGTTGTTATTCTGTCTCTCACTGTTCAAATAAACATACCATTAAAATGATAGACTGATAATTTCTTTGTCAGTGGGCAAACGTACAAAATCAGCAGGGGATCAAATACTTTTTTCCCTCACTGTATCTTGAATGTGTCCGCTCATGATCCGAAACAGACTCCTTTCCAGCTGCTGTGTGTGTGCATATTTTGCACGCATGACCTTTTGTGTGTTGTGTGTGAGGGTATACGTGTGTGTGTTTTATGGCCTGTACCAGTGCCCACCAGGCCCACTCACACACTCAGCCAAACTAGGCCCAAGTCACAGGCTGGGTAACCACAGGATGCTAACTGCAACGCAGCACAGCAGCCCTTTTTCTCTCTCTCTCTATCCCTTTTCTCCCTCCCTGTTCTCTCTTCTTTCCCTCGCTCTCCTCCCTCCCTGCTCGCTCTCCTCCCTCCCTGCTCGCTCTCCTCCCTCCCTGCTCGCTCTCCTCCCTCCCTGCTCGCTCTCCTCCCTCCCTGCTCGCTCTCCTCCCTCCCTGCTCGCTCTCCTCCCTCTCTGCTCGCTCTCCTCCCTCCCTGCTCGCTCTCCTCCCTCCCTGCTCGCTCTCCTCCCTCCCTGCTCGCTCTGCCTTTCTCCCTTCCTCTCTCGCTGTCTTTTCTGCTTCTTCCTCTCGCTCTGCTCTCTCTCTCAGGGGAATAAGAGGTGAGGGGATTTTCAAAGCAAGCCCTTCCTGCCCTTCCTCTCCACTGCCCCCGCCACACTTAAACACAGTGCTCCTCTCTTTGAGACAGATTGCTATTACATTACACTACCTCTCACACACACTCTCCAACATGATGCTGTAGAAAATGATATTGTACAGATACAATTTCAATTGAGTTCGAAATGCTGATCTTGGATCAGTTTGCGAGTCCACACACACAGCTTTATTTTCGTGAAATTTCAGGACTTTCTGGTGAGTAATAAGGTTTGAACATTAAAAATCCTATTTTCCCTAACCTCTAACCTCAACCTCAACCCTAACCCCAAAACCATAAACCTAACCCTTAAGCTTAAAATAGCATTTGAACAAATTCAGGACATGAAAAATTGTTTTCCTACCCTGTCAGGACATTCAGGTGAATTATTAGGACATTGGGGTCCTGTTAAGGTTGGGAAACAAGTACACACACAGTATCAAAAGCAGGGGTCAATTTGGGGTTAGCCCCCTTATGTACCTGTGGAGGGTCCTGTTGTCTGGTACAGTACAGTCCCCCATCAAGGGGCTCACAGCACGGTTAGGGGGAAACACTATACCCCCTAGAACACCAATGAGATTACCTTAGGCCTGAGCTTCTAACAGTCTAACTGTTCCATCTGAATGGGCTGCTATCAGACCTGGCTTCAAATACTATTTGAAATCATTTCAAATACTTTATCTGTGCTTGATTGAGCTCTCCTGGTGCAATGGAACCCATAGAATAGTCCCCAAACTGCAAACCCTGCCCGTCTGGCACTCTAGGCAGGCTAGAGCAAACATTCAAAGTATTTGAAAGATTTCAAATAGTATTTGAACCCTGGCTGTTGTAGGGGTTAATGTACTGGAGGAACACAGATGTTGTGGGGATAAGACTGGGCCTTTGTGTCTTTAGGTGACTTTGTCACACACTGCTGCCGTGCCATTGAGCCCGTGATCCCATGTCGTCGTGTGTGTGTGTGCGTGCGTACATGTTTCTATGTCACCTCTCACTAGTTGTGCTCTCAGAGAATGCCTGTGCGTGTGCGCGTGCGTGCGTTAAAAAGAGAGGGGGGGCGTAGTTATTGAAACTAAATCTGTGGTTACAGTTTAGTGGTACTGTGTGTGTGTGTGTGTGTGTGTGTGTGTGTGCGTGCGCGCGGGCATCCGTGCGCGTATGTGACCATGTGTGAGGGAGTGTTTTCTTGTGTCCGACCGTGCCATGGCCCTGCCTCCCCATGTCCTCATGTAGCCTATCAGTAGATAAAGATAAGATGGCATTCCTCTGACTAGATCCTATGCTGTGTTTTCATTCCTAAGGTTGTGTGGCACTAATACTCCCCCACTAAACTGGCTCCCTATCCAACCAGGAAGTGATGCAATAGGGACAGGATGTGAAGGGGTCTCTGGTGATACTTTTAATAGTATCAGAAGAGGATGTGAAGGGGTCAGCTACCACACCAATATGCTTCTGTCTGCCCGAGGTTGTAATGGATCAGGAAGGAGTGATGTCAGAGATTGGTTAAGCCACATAGTTGTGGTTGATGGTTAGGGGAAGGGAATTCAAGTGGGGGCTTCGGTGACGCATGTGCACACACTCTCACCCCTAGGGGCTTTAAAGGGCTTGTAGTGTCACTGGCTCAAGTTCTACCAGTGTGGCTTTGAGTCATGACACTACACATTACTTACACACGATCCCAGCTGTGTAAAAGGTGGGAAATTAAACAAAAATCACCTGTTTCCAATCTGTCCACAAGAGGGCGCTCTGTCATTATCATTAGATGGCACAATGTGGCTCGGTGATACAGAATACCATGGTTACGTCCCAAGTGGCACCCTATTCCCTTCATAGTGCATTACTTTTGACCAGAGCCCTAGTGCACTATAAAGGGAATATGGTGCCATTTGGGACAAAGGTCATGACTGGCTGTGGCTGACACTCGACTTTGACTCTTATCACCAATGTCTGACCATGGGTATGATGGGTTTATGAATTGATGTGGGGCCTATGTGGAACGTGTCATGTGGTCATTTCAGTGCTCACTGCTGTACAACACAGCCAAACCAGTATGGGCAGCCACTTGTGGGGAATAGGCCTTGGCTCAACTTAGTAGGCCTTCCAAAGGCCTCCAGCACGTGGTATACTGTATCTCTGGCAGACACAACAGGGAATAGCCTCCTGCCGTTGCGCAGCCGTATCCCTCCACGCTATAGAGCTCTTTTGGCGGTTGCCATGGTAACAGATAAGGAGGTTGCGCTGGTGAAGGTGTGGATTCATCGCTGCCGCTGTGTGATGGAATTCTCTCCTTAGTAAATGTGTGTGCGAATGCGTGCGTGCACGTGAATTGAAATGTTTTAATCCTTTTGATTGTAATGTGATTTCTATATTCAAATGAGGTACTCTGTGTGTGTGCCTCCAGATGGCAGATATGTCGGACGATGAGCTGGACCACGGGGCAGAGGAGGAGGACAGTGATAAGGAAGACCAGGACCTGGACAAAATGTTTGGAGCCTGGTTGGGAGAGCTGGACAAACTCACACAGGTATTGCAGTAGGGGAGAATGGGCGTATCCTGGTAACTGTAGCCTGGCAAACGTATCCTGGTAGCCATGTCATACATACCATATCTTGGCAACGGTATCCCAGTAACTGTATCCTAGAAACCATATCCAAGTAACCATATTCTAGCAACAGTATCATAGTTACAGTATCCATGCAACCATGTCCTAGTAACTGTAACCTAGTAACCGTACCCTAGCAATCGTATCTTGGTAACCGTATCTCGGCAACCATATCATCCTAGTTACCAACCCCCACCCCTCCCACCCTTTCGCTAAGTCATGGTTGCTTTCTTCCACTCCCTTCAAGCCTGTTCAAATCTGGTCTTGTATTGTTATGCATTAAAGACATGCTCCGGTACTTTTGCAACTAGTAAGTATTTTTTTAAACCTCCTGCTTTGGGCTGAATTGTTTCATGTGTAGTTCATACATGCATAATCTATCAGCAGAATTACTGTTTTACCTCAGTTAGCCATGAAATCCCTAGTTTGTAAACGACTGTTTTCTGGAATCTGTGTGGTGCCATTTTCCCTACATTTACCCCCACGTGGGCCAGCCCCTAGCAATTCGAGTTTCATTCAATGAGCTTCAGCCCCTCGCCATCTGAGTGACAGCTAGCAAGACGCACACACAGTAGAGCGAGAGAGCAATGATCTGTGACGTAGTACGCAACTTTCGGGGACCACTTTTGGCTCGTGGGCGCTATATTCAGGACTAGTGGCTAAAAAGTATACAAAAGTATCAGAGAATATCTTTAAGATGGTGGTGATTTTGATGGTGTGATTTGTCCTCTACAGAGTCTGGATGACGGGAAGCCACAGAAGCCGGTCCAGAAGGCCCCTCTCAGACAGGAAACCAACATGGCTAATTTTTCCTACCGCTTCTCCATGTACAACATCAACGGTAAGACACACACACTCAGACCTGTATGCCCTACCTACTTCCTGCAGAGCATGGTGTCTGTGACATGCCTGTGTGACCCAACCAGCATTGCTTTACCGCTGTGCAAAAGTACCTTTTCAACCATCACACTTTCATAAAATCAATATTTTAGCTTGTGTTTGTGTGTGTACTAGCATGTGTGAATACAAGAACGTGGATTCACACTCCCCTTTTCCCACTCCTTACAGAGGCTCTGAACCAGACAACAGAGACCGTAGACCTGGATGCCCTGATGGCTGACCTGTGTTCCATAGAACAGGAGCTCAGCACCATCGGCAAGCCCAACACCGGCACCGCCCGCCAGGTTAAATGTCAACAGCGAGGCCCGGGGGGTCGCAACGCCAGTGCCAAGCAGACTGGCAGCGGTGGAGGGGGTAGCAGCGGGGGCAGCACCAGCAGTAGTACCCGGGCGTCACCAGCCTCCACCGTCCGAGGGGGCAGCTCCAACTCCCACGGGCGCCCGTCGGCGTCCAATTTCTCGCTGGACGACATCACGGCCCAGTTGGAGCAGGCGTCGCTCAGCATGGACGAGGCGGCGCACCAGACCTCTTCTTCCTCGTCCTCTTCCTCCTACTCCTCGGCCACCCTCCGGCGCCCTTCGGCGGGTTCCTCGTCCTCGCAGCACCGGAGAACAGGCTCGGTGGGCGCGGTTAGTGAACACGAGGCGGGGGGCCACTCCTCGAGGTCCAGCGTTAATTCTGCTTCCGCATCCAGCATGGACTCTCTGGATATCGACAAGGTGCTGTCTAGGGCAGCAGGAGGGGCTGAGCAGGAAGGGGGGTCCCAAGGCCCCCAGCCGCCACAGGGCCTGGCTAGTACTGAGGTAAGGCACACACACTCATACACACACTCTAATCTTCACAATCCTGTTTTCCCAATTATGTCCTAAAAACGGACTAAGATGTACCATGGATAGCAATATCTCTAAGTGAAACATTATTACCACTGACAGTTTGTTCATTTCCTTCCTCTGTTGTTGTCTGTATGAGAGTCAGCCTGCAAACAAGGCCCAGTTATCTCAGCCTATCAAAAGCCCATTTTCATGTACAGGCTTTTAGTTTGGGCAGGGTAATGATTGCCGTTAATGGGGAATTGTGGGACTTACTTTATTCAGACTAAAAGGGTGGGCTGACTATTTGAGTTATGACAGTGAAAGGCTGTTTGGTTAGGGGGAAAATAAACTGCTGCAGGGGTTTGTTTGTTTGTTTGATGATGATGAATGGTATGATGATGAATGTGTGTGCGTGCGTACGCAAGTGCCCTCTCAAAACCACCCTCTCTAGTTCCCTGCATAGTACATTTACACTGCATGATGTTTTGAAGTTCAATTGCATGTCAAATGTGCACCGTACAACTCATTGTATTACATGTGTTTGCTATCCGTATAACACACAATGTTGTGTGTGTATACTGCCCATTGGAAAGTGTGGTATTTACAGTACAGTAAGTGAATGCATTGTAATCACTGCAGTCTGCATGTATGATATGGATTACAATGTATCTACTGTACCTGTTTTGCTGTAAACTCAACCTGCTTGACTTATGTACGGGGACTTAGTTTAGGTTTACAAGAGGGAAAGGACAAATATATATGCAACTTAGCAGAGGCTTTTATCTAAAAGCGACTAACGGTACAGTGCGTGCATACATACAGTATGTAGTACGTTATCACTAATTGAACCCACAACCTGGCATTGCTAGCGCCACACTCTTACCAACTGGGCCACACATGACCACATATAGAGTCAGTATGCGTTGTCTTTTCTTTGTTTTGGGGGTGGTTGGGAGGGAGATGTTGAGACAGATTAAAGAGATGGAGAGATTGAGGAAGTGTTGAAAAGAAAACGTGAACTTTTTAAATAGAGAAAGAGAACTTAACCCCTGCTTGAATAACGTGCACCTCCCCGTCCCCTTGCATGTTAACTGTGTGTGTTTGCATCCTCTCTGCACCCATAATGCACCTCCCCGTTTCCCAGCATGCCTCACTACCGCAACGGGCCAGTGGTAAGCCGGCCAGACGGCAGCTTGACTTCACCTCACGGGAGGGTGAAGTGGATGTGGATCTGGGCACTGTAAGTGTGTGTGTGTGCAAGTGCGTGGGTGTGTGAACATGTGTTGGAGCGAACGAAAGACATGTATATAGTGACAATGGATGTACAGTATGTGTGTGAATGTGTACAGGTGAGTATTACCAATCACCTTCAGTAATCACAGCAGGATCATCTTTAGAAAGTATACTTTTGATAAATCGTCTCTTTTCCCCATCCACAACTATCTAATATGACTACCACAACAATCAATGCTCCAACTTTTGGACCTCTCTTGCTTCCACACTTTAAACCCCACCCTCCCCCTGGATCAAAAGCATTTTTAATGAGCCATTGAGAATCATTGCACTGACTGTCTTATCTGTTTCTCTCCTCACCTCTGCGCCACCAAGCACTCCTATCTGGACAGAGAAACGTCCCTCATTCTGAAAAGCATTGCAGGAAAGCCTTCTCACCTGCTTACCAAGGTGACGCCTCATTAGCTTGCTTATGCTTGCTTTTGATTGAACATCACTTCTTTACCATCTCCCTAAGCCCCTCCCACGGTGCCAACACCCACCCACTGTGCTCGATTGACCTGATTGGCTTGTTTTTACTTCTGTCTCATCCTTTCTTTCTCGCCTTTTTCCTGCATGCAGCCCCTGCTTATATGCCTCCTTTATCCATTTTTCCCCTCGTCTTCCTCCCAGTGCTGATGTGTCCATTTGATTCCCTGCACTCCTTTTCTCTAGTAGGGGGAAAGAAATGGAGGGTAGGTAACTGGCACTGTGGCCCAGTACAGTTTTGCACTGTATCTAACTTCACTGTCATGTCAGTCTTGCAGACAGACCTGGGTCATATACCTTTATGTAAAATACTTTCAAATGTTCTTGACTTGATTTGCCTGGGACAATAGAACCAACGTAATCCCAAAAGTGCAAACTCCCAAGTTAAATCAAGCACACCTACTGACATATACTTTTCTTGAGTAGAATTTGAAAGTATTTGACATGCATTTGACCCAAATCTGGAGTGTTGTTTATAATAACCACATACATATGGGCTGCATTCAGTTGCGCTAGGTCTGGAGCATGACTGCATGCCTGTGTGCGTCGACTCTGGTTGACATGTGCCTGAGCATAGAGAAATGGAACTGGATGTGTGTGTAACTCTGAACGCTCCCTTTTATATTATGAAGTCTTTGTGTGAGCCGCTAATGCTGTGGTATAAACCAGTGTTCCTCAACCTGCGGTCCACGGGCCGGGTCTGGTCCCTGGGATGTTGCTTACCAGTCACTTTCCAGTGCTCGTTTTAATGGAAGTGGTCAACCAGGGAAGAATGGTAATTTTACATATACAGTAGTTTTGCAGCCCCCTGGTCCAAAAAAAGGTTGAGAAACACTGGTATCAAGGTTGGTGTCGATTCCATTTCAATTAGATCAATTCAGGAAATTAACAGAAATTCCAATTCCAATGTTCCTTATTGTTTCTTACTGAATTGAGATAATGTTAATGGAATTGACCCCAACCCTGCCAGGTATGGTAAGTATGATTCTGAAACCAACAGGAGCCAAGGCTTATACATGTTTTCCTCCTCATTGTTGATAAAAGGCTACTTGGCTGAAAACGTCAATGGATTTGACCTGACCCTCCTCTCCAAAGCTAATGAGAAATAACAAGCCGAGTCATTTATAGGTTACTGACTGGTCTGGTGCAGTGAAATGACACTGAGGGAAATTTCCATGAAGAAAATAAGGAGCAGTGTAGAGTATGTTGTTTAAGATGTCGTCTGAGAAATTGCTGGCCTGTTTTATTTGAATGGCCTAATCCTCTTTAGGGTTAGGAAAGATGGTTGCTCTCTCCCCCTCTCCGTGCCCCACTATTCCTTCGCTCTCTCTCTCTGTCTCTCTCTGTCATGTGTTTATTTATCCATCATCTTTAATCTAGAACCCCTTCTCCCCTCCCTCCCACAGATTTGCACAGTAAAGTACATTCTTGGCAGTAGCAGTGACATTTCCCATCATGCATTTGGGTACATTTGTTTGATGGTTGTGTGTCAGATGTTGACTTTGGTGGATTGTAAAGTTGGCCACTTTCTATCATGATTTATTTTGCCTTCAAAACAAAAGCAGCTGAGCCAAGTGCTTGTCCTGGGATACACAGAGAGCAGTAGTGATAGATACTGTATTCTAGGGTGAAGTATGGAGATATACTGTATTTCTGTCAATGTTGTAAATGACAACATTTTGACAGAAATCTACCTCTATTGTGATGCTTGGACATTGTTTTAGATGCACAGACCCAAGAGTGTTTGTTTTCACCATTCCTTGATTAGCGCAAACGCTAGCCAAGGCCATCTGACATATTAATAAACCCGTTAATAAATCTGTTAATAAACAATTAGCTCTACACAAAAGAAGCCCCAAAACAAATTCGTCAAGCACTTTTTAATTTATGCAGAATGTATGGGAACGTAATTATGCAGTCATTCTCAGGGGGTACTTCCTGTATCGCTGCTCATTCGAATGTTATGGATGACAACACTGGAGGATTGTGGGTAGGAGGAGGCACACATCTGTATGTCGTCTGACATAGTATCTCGAATTATTAACCACACATACAAACGCAAAATTCATCTGCCCCCGAATTTCATGGCCAGAACCTTGGGGCCGTATGATATAATTGACTAATTATGCAGTTATTATAGTCCAATGTAGCACAAGGCTATTTGTTTATGAGCTGTTTTTAAGCCAACCGTCTGTCCATGTCTGTATTCAGACTGCCATCCAAATGGGTTTAGAGGGAGAAGCGAGGGAGAGAGAGAGCCTGCCTGAGGTGTTTGTGGCAATGGACGGGTTTGTATGTCAGTGTTACACTGCACTTTTACACAGAGACGGAGAGAGCGAAAGAAAGAGAGAATAGATTGCAGTTTCACCACACTATCCTTTCTCCCCTGCGTCATGAGTCAGAATAGAACCAGGAAGTACAGAGAGATGTAGATGGGAAGAGGGAGAAAGAGAAAGGGAGGGAGGGTAAAACTTCAAAGGGAAAGAGCGAGACCGGCTTTTTATAGGCGCAGCAGAAAAGCCTGTTTAAATTCAGCCTCCATGGAATCCTGTGAAAATGCAGTAAGAAAGTGCCTGTAGTAGGGAAGCAGGGATATCTAGCTTCCAGTATTTACTGAGGAGCATGCAGGAAGCAAAGTGCTGTAGAGGGGGACATGGAGAAGGGGTGTCGCAGTCTCTCTGGATGGAAGTCCAAAGGCTAAAGTAACAGTGTGACTGGGATTGACTCCATATTGTAATCCCCCATTGGTCCTGTGAACCCTTACATTTACATTTACATCATTTAGCACACACACAAACACACTCCACACTAAAAGCATGTCGCTGTGTGTTGGCCAAACAGTGTGTTTCTTGCATTACACCACAACTCATGCGGAAAGGTAGTCTGGGTCAAGGAGGGGGTGCCCAGATAAGAGGCTTGGATCTTAATACCCCAAACCCCTCCTCCTCCTCCAAATATTCACTGCCCCACTACCCTAATACCGTTTACTGTTTTCCGGAGGGGGGGGGCAAAGCTGGTCACAGCTACCCCTGCACTGATTAGATAAGGGGGAAGAGGGTCTGGCGAATGGGTCCTCCTGGTTGGTCAGAGGAGAGCGGGTAAACATTGTGATTGGGTGACGGGACAGAGGGGTCCTCTCTGTCGCCAGCCGGGGAAGGGGGTCTCCTGTTTGTGTGGGGATTATGGCTCGGCGATTGGGCACGCTCCCAGGACTCTGCAGCTGTTCCACAGAGTGAGGGAGAGAGAGAGAGAGGATGGAAGGGGGAGGGGCGTCTCGCCTCCAAGTCTCTCGACGTTAAGAGAGGTTAGCAGTGCTCATCTTGTGCGTACAGTACGTGTGTGTATGCCGGCCTGTGTGTGTCAAGGAGCCTGTACTCTCACACACTCCACTCCGGTCTTGCTGTCCTGGCTGTAGTCTGTCAGTCAGAGGAGAAGTGAGTGGAAGCAGGTTGAAGTCGCTTTGCATTGGTCTCGGTTACTCCTGAAGGACTTAAACAAATATCTCTCTCTCACTCTCTACTACAGTCTATCGATTTCCTTTTCTTGACTACATTGCTTTCTGCCATTCATCTGGACTCAATACGGTCTTGGAAGGAGAAGATTGGGATTTTGGAATGGTGACATTCCAACATCGGGAAACCCCCTTTTTTTTGTTGTAGGATTTAGGCTTTATCTATATACTATATACTATGTAAGCGTCAGTTTTTTTGTTTTGTAGTGGAGGAAACTGATAATTTTAGGACCGAACTTCATATCATCCGCAGATTCTTGCCGTTTGGGGGACCCGCCACTATTGTCTCCCATCCGCTGTGTAGCGAGATCAAAGGGAAATCCACACCTCGGCTGCTGCTCTAGTAGAGAGAGAGGACGATAATGGGGAGAAAAGGATGAATGAGCGGCCATCTTTGAGTGCTTTTCTTTCATTTTTACGAATGGAGCATTGGAGCACTGGGGATTTAGGGCTATCTACTGTTGGGTTGGAGTCGGAAGTGTTGGGCTGATCTGTGTGTGAGGACACACACACACACACACACAGGTTCTGTGTTGTGGTGGCTACCAGAGATGGAGGTGATGGCGTCTTGCTGGAGGGGCCAGGTAAACGATTCCAGAGCCATTGATGGAATGCACAGTATGTATCTCTGTCTATGACTGAGTGGTACTAAGTGATAAGGTGTGTGAGGTGTTGGTCTCACTCTGGCAAATGGAGTTCAGAGAGCATCAACTCAACTGTCTGCCCTACGATGAGGAGAGGTATGGAAAGAGTAGGAGAAAGTGATAAAGGATGAGGTTGGTTCAGTACTAAAGGCTCCTGTTGGTTTTTGTGCGTGTGTGTGTGCCGTGTGTGTTTGGCCGTTGCCTGTGTGTGTGAACTGTTGCTGTGTGTCTGTAGGAGGAGCAGGCAGCCAAAGTGAAGGCCGAGAAGATCCGAGTGGCCCTGGAGAAAATCAAGGAGGCGCAAGTCAAAAAGGTACGGTTATGACCTAACCAATGTACAATAGTATACACACACAGTGATTTTTTGCACTTGTATTTTCACAGTATGTGCTGTACACTCCCATTGTGATACACAGTTCCATAAGATCCTCTCCTCCATATCTGCTTCAGATTCACTGCGTGAACTAACTTCATTCAGAGAGATGCAGCGAAGTGCTAAGAAAATAGGTCATTGCAGTGTTTGTGTGTGCCTGTGTGTGTGTGCCTGTCTCTGTGTGTGTGTGTGTGTGTGTGTGAAAGAGAGTGAGAACAAGAGACAATCAGACATTTTGCACTGGCATCCGTAAGACAGTTTATTCTTTGGGTTGATTAAAACAAGTCTTGTTTCGTGAACAACTGGGGTCCTTTGTTTGCACTGTGTTCCAGTCAGTGAATTGGTTCTGCGAGCCACACCAGGCACCAGTTTCAGGCCATGGGGCTTGAATGAAGTGCAACTGCTCTAAATGAAACGGCTCCATTGAACACAGTGATGTGCTCTTATTCTCCCAGTACATTATTATGGAGAGAGTAGACCCACCATTTCAGCCCACACTGACTGACTGAGCCAGCTGCTAGATCAAATTGATCAATTTTAGCATAAAAATACACTAGATATTAGCAAGCAAAGATTGTGCCCTTCAAATATGTTGGTGTATAACACCACTGTAGATATAGTATGTTAAGTGTATAGAACACAGAAAAATATGTAACATTTTGTGAATGTTGCTTTGAAGCTGTGTATTTTTGAATTTGTTCTACACTGCTCAAAAAAATAAAGGGAACACTAAAATAACACATCCTAGATCTGAATGAATGAAATAATCTTATTAAATACTTTTTTCTTTACATAGTTGAATGTGCTGACAACAAAATCACACAAAAATTATCAATGGAAATCAAATTTATCAACCCATGGAGGTCTGGATTTGGAGTCACCCTCAAAATTAAAGTGGAAAACCACACTACAGGCTGATCCAACTGATGTAATGTCCTTAAAACAAGTCAAAATGAGGCTCAGTAGTGTGTGTGGCCTCCACGTGCCTGTATGACCTCCCTACAATGCCTGGGCATGCTCCTGATGAGGTGGCGGATGGTCTCCTGAGGGATCTCCTCCCAGACCTGGACTAAAGCATCCGCCAACTCCTGGACAGTCTGTGGTGCAACGTGGCGTTGGTGGATGGAGCGAGACATGATGTCCCAGATGTGCTCAATTGGATTCAGGTCTGGGGAACGGGCGGGCCAGTCCATAGCATCAATGCCTTCCTCTTGCAGGAACTGCTGACACACTCCAGCCACATGAGGTCTAGCATTGTCTTGCATTAGGAGGAACCCAGGGCCAACCGCACCAGCATATGGTCTCACAAGGGGTCTGAGGATCTCATCTCGGTACCTAATGGCAGTCAGGCTACCTCTGGTGAGCACATGGAGGGCTGTGCGGCCCCCCAAAGAAATGCCACCCCACACCATGACTGACCCACCGCCAAACCGGTCATGCTGGAGGATGTTGCAGGCAGCAGAACGTTCTCCACGGCGTCTCCAGACTCTGTCACGTCTGTCACATGTGCTCAGTGTGAACCTGCTTTCATCTGTGAAGAGCACAGGGCGCCAGTGGCGAATTTGCCAATCTTGGTGTTCTCTGGCAAATGCCAAACGTCCTGCACGGTGTTGGGCTGTAAGCACAACCCCCACCTGTGGACGTCGGGCCCTCATACCACCCTCATGGAGTCTGTTTCTGACCGTTTGAGCAGACACATGCACATTTGTGGCCTGCTGGAGGTCATTTTGCAGGGCTCTGGCAGTGCTCCTCCTGCTCCTCCTTGCACAAAGGCGGAGGTAGCAGTCCTGCTGCTGGGTTGTTGCCCTCCTACGGCCTCCTCCACGTCTCCTGATGTACTGGCCTGTCTCCTGGTAGCGCCTCCATGCTCTGGACACTACGCTGACAGACACAGCAAACCTTCTTGCCACAGCTCGCATTGATGTGCCATCCTGGATGAGCTGCACTACCTGAGCCACTTGTGTGGGTTGTAGACTCCGTCTCATGCTACCACTAGAGTGAAAGCACTGCCAGCATTCAAAAGTGACCAAAACATCAGCCAGGAAGCATAGGAACTGAGAAGTGGTCTGTGGTAACCACCTGCAAAACCAGTCCTTTATTGGGGGTGTCTTGCTAATTGCCTATAATTTCCACCTGTTGTCTATTCCATTTGCACAACAGCATGTGAAATGTATTGTCAATCAGTGTTGCTTCCTAAGTGGACAGTTTGATTTCACAGAAGTGTGATTGACTTGGAGTTACATTGTGTTGTTTAAGTGTTCCCTTTATTTTTTTCAGCAGAAGCGTCCCTAATGGCACCCTATTCCCTATATAGTGCACTACTTTTGACCAAAAGTAATACACTATATAGGGAATAGGGTGCCTGCCATTTGGGACTCATCCCATGACTGTGGATGTAGGTCAAACTCAATGGATGCCCATGTCTAGGGCACAGTCGCTTCCTGGCTGCTGTTTGGTTTAGAGATCTATTTGATCGGCTCTACTGACTTAGTGATTGGATGTTGTGGTCCCTGAGGGAGGGGATTTGTGGGCCCTTCCAGGGGTGCTGGCTGTGTTTTGCTCCCTACCATGTCATACACAAAATAAATATGTTTTATTGTCACATACACCAGATGGGTGCAGTGAAATGTGTTGTTTTACAGGGTCAGCCATAGAAGTACGGCACCCCTGGAGCAAATTAGGGTTAAGTGCCTTGCTCAAAGGCACATTGACAGATTTTTCACCTTGTCGGCTCGGGTATTTGAACCAGCAACCTTTTGGTTACTGGCCCACCACTCTAACCACTAGGCTACCTGCCGCCTACACTCACACTGCTGGGGCTATGGGATCCCGGTTGTGTCACAAGGGGGATTTTGTTGCAGTGGTCTTAGATAAGGCTGAAGCCTATGGGGTGCATTCAATGGACCAAACCAGCGCTGGAGACAAGGAATGCAGCAGAACAGGGGCCTGAATTTGTTGAACATTGTATACGTTAGATATGTTTTATAGATGGCAACATGAAGACATGACTAAGTTCAATTGAAGACCGTTTCAATCTTTGGAGCCATTACCAGTTTAGATCCACTTGCTAAATACACTGTGGCTGCATCCAAAATGGCACCCTATTCCCTATATACAGTAGTTGCACTACTTCAAAAGTAGCGCACTATATAGGGAATAGGGTGCCATTTTGGATGCAGTCTGTATTTAACCAGCATGTTGTGACACCATACTACACACTGTCACATATGGTGCATATCACAGGTTCAAATCACATCCTCAATAGTTGTCCTAGGGGGAACTGAAACATCCCTCTTAAATTGATTTCATATCAACAATTATGTTATGAAGTAGGCTGGTCCAAGATCTGTTTATGCTCTTGCTAACCTTGTCCCCAGGCTCAAGTATCTGGTGCATAGAGCCTGGTAACACTGTGCAATTAAGTGGGACTTGAAAGGGGTGTGATTTAAAATTGAGGCAGGAGAGGGAGTGAGCCTGCTACAGCTATATTAGATTGAAAAATGGCAAATCGCCAATCAAAATAAACGTTATCACATTGACCATAATATTTTGAGGAAGCCCAATTGATTCTGAGTTAGGGCATATCACGTTTTTATGTGTGAACTATTTCTAAGATGCGTACTTTCAGATTTTCCAAACTCACTTCCTTGTTTAAATAAATCACTTCTGCTGCTCGTGCTTTGAAGTCCACAATGTAGGGGGGAGATTTGAAGGGTTATGCTAGATGGTGATGGACTAAGAGATCAGCCTATTAAAACCAGCGGTTGTTTAGTCCGCTCCTGCCTTCCAGTCAAGTCCCGTTCTGAGGCGCTGTAAAACCCGACAGTTCAACCGAGAGGGAGCCAGCTGGTGGACGAGATGAAGCTCTTGCTAACTCCATTGTCATCATTCTCAAGCCAAACATTCGTTATGACAACGTTTTGGCATGATGGCACAAACAGACTGGCACTCAGGCTAGTGAGAACTGTTTCTATACAAAGAGGCTGACCATTCTGCACCTCTTCCTCTTTCTCCTCATCCCTCTTCGTCTTCCTCCTCAGCTGGTGATCCGGGTGCACATGTCGGACGAGAGCTCCAAGACCATGATGGTGGACGAGAGACAGACTGTCAGACAGGTGCTGGACAGCCTGCTGGACAAGTCCCACTGTGGCTACAGCCCCGACTGGTCACTGGTGGAGACCATCAACGAGCTGCAAATGGGTATGGATATACTGGCAGACAGAGACTGGCAAAGATACTGGGAGAGAGTGAGATATTGGGGAGATACGGAGTTATACTGGGAGAGAGTGAGAGATACTGGAGACACTGAGGGTGAGTGAGATATTGAGGATGATACTGGTGGATATACAAGGGGGAAACTTGGTGGGAGATATTGGGAGAGAGTGAAGCATACTGGAGAAGTACTGTGAGACAAATGTGGACACTTGGACAGTGTCAACTCTGACAGTGTCAACTTGTAGTGTTGTCTAGGTAGTAGCTAGTATTGTATCCGTTTGTGTTTTCAAGACTGTCCGTGAGTGTCTCTGTAACTGTTGGTCTGTCTGTCTATGTGATTGAGTGAGGCAGGGGACGGGCGCCCAGCCTTTAGAATGCTAGAGGAAGCACTCGTGGTAGGTGCAGGCAGCATGGTTGATTTAGGCTGCGTCACACATGGCGCCCTTTTCCTTCTATAGTGCACTACCTTTGACCAGATCATGCTTAGTCTGGATTGAACCATGTCTCACACACACTCCCTCTCTCGCTCTGTCCTCAGAGCGGATCTTTGAGGACCATGAGAACTTGGTGGAGAACCTACTGAATTGGACCAGAGACAGCCACAACAAACTGATGTTCATCGAGCGCATCGAGAAATACGCCCTCTTCAAGAACCCCCAGGTAAGACCTTGGAACTAGGAAACCTTCCCAATGTGTTGTGTGTGTGTGTACACTACTCACACAGCTTCAGTGTAGAGTACACACACACATTTCTTATGCATGCTAAGAGCCCTTGAGAGAGTGTGTGTTTAAGAAGTAGGTCACAGCTCTGGCAATAAGTGACTGAATAATGCATTGGACATGAGAAGGCTAAGTGAGCCAGGTCGCCTGGAGGAGTGTGTGATCTGCTGTTTTCAACTCTTGTCTATTTCTCCTTTGCTTTCCTCTCCACCTCTGTTTATTTTTCTCCTTCTCTCTGTTTTCCCCACTTATATACAGAACTACTTGTTGGGGAGGAAGGAGACCTCTGAAATGGCCGATAGGAATAAAGAGGCCCTGCTAGAGGTGAGACACAGACAGACAGATGCATGCTCTCTCTCTCTCTCTCTCTCTCTCGCTCTCTCTCTCTCACCCCCTTCAATTACACTAATAACGATGATGTGTTTGTGCAGGAGTGTTTCTGTGGCAGCTCGGTGTCAGTACCAGAAATAGAGGGACTCCTCTGGCTGAAGGAGGATGGGAAGAAGTCGTGGAAGAAACGATACTTTCTACTGCGCGCATCAGGAATCTACTACGTGCCCAAAGGCAAAGCCAAGGTTAGCCACCCACTGAATACGCGAATCATAAACACTTTGTGACAACTGCTGATGTAAAAAGGGCTTTATAAAATACATTTGATTGAATAGTGTGTGTGCGTGTGTCCATGAATTTGTGTATGGGGTTCACATGTTGTCAGTTATGAGAAACAGATCCACACCAACTCTCTGGTATTTCCTGTTTCTGGATATGATGACACAGGACTCCACAGGGACCGAACCGCGCACATGCCTCCTCTCCTATTGCATCATGGGTCATTGGTTACCCCAGGAGACCAATATTTCTCAACCGCAGCCCCATGTTGTGGATATATGCTTTAGCTTTTAACCCAGGGTCGTGTTCAGAAGGCATGAATCGGAAGTAAACCTTGGACTTGTTTTCCCATTCTGTGCCTATTGAAAATGCCTCAGGCCAATTGGGGGGTAGAGGTAAGAACCTTAATTTGTGTCCCACTTCCTCATCGTTTACCTTTTCCCTTTCTTGTCCTCTCTGATTATCCCATCGGTCGTCTCCTTTTTTATGTATATGCAGTGCCACCTTGTGGTGTGTTAATTCTGTGAACCAGAAATCTGATAAGGTTTGTCGCGTTGGCCTCCCGAGTGGCGCAGCGGTCTAAGGCACTGCATCGCAGTGCTAGAGGCGTCACTACAGACCCAGGTTCTATCCCGGGCTGTATCACAACCGGCCGTGATCGGGAGTCCCATACGGCGGCGCACAATTGGCCCAGCGTCGTCCGGGTTAGGGGAGGGTTTGGCCGGGGGGGCTTTACTTGGCTCATCGCGCTCTAGCGACTCCTTGTGGTGGACTGGGCGCCAGCAGGCTGACGTCGGTCGTCAGTTGAACGGTGTTTCCTCCGACACATTGGTGCAGCTGGCTTCCTGGTTAAGCGGGCGGGTGTTAAGAAGTGCGGTTTGGCGGGTCATGTTTCGGAGGACGCATGACTCGACCTTCGCCTCCCGAGCCCGTTGGGGAGTTGCAGCAATGAGACAAGATCGAAATTGGGGAGAAAAAGGGGGGTAAAATACACCAAAAAAAATGAAACATACAAAAATATACGATTTGTCACGTTGAGTTGTTGCAACACATACACACACCACTAAAAGCCTGTCACTGTGTGTTGGCCAAACAGTGCATATTTCAACCTCTACTTGAATTAATACCTTATCAAACCAGTTTTGCCTCTCTAAGCATGGGCCTTGGCCAGTCTGGAACCAATTATATGTCAAGATATCTCCACTCACTCTCCTCTCTCTCCCTCCATATAGACTTCTCTAGTCTAAAGCCTCAGACAATTTATTAATTACATTTTTTTTTTGAAAATCAGTCTTCCTTTTAATTTACTGCTGTTGAGAGTTGTAATAGTAGACGGCACAAGGAGTATTTAGAAATGTGGTAGTGCGTGGACAGTTCTCCTCTTATGTCATTCACTGACAGACCTTAGAGCAGTGGTTCCCAAACTGTGGGGCACGTCCCCGTCGGCCGCGCCACCCCCTTTTTTTTTTTTTTTAATTTTTTTTAAAAGGAACTCAGTCCGGCTTTAAACTTACTCTTGAAAGTTGTAATAGTAGAATGCACAAGGTGCAATTTTGAAATTGGGTAATGCATCATCAGTTCCTCTTGTCATGTTAGTCTTGCATACCTTAGAGAGCTATTTATAACTTGTCAGAAATGTACAGATCAACTAGCCCATGTCAGCTATTCTTTTTGCCCATATATATTGTTGAATACACATTAGACATGGCAAAATGTATAGAATTGCAAGAAAATTTGCTTTAAAACTGCAAAATTGTCTTTGCACCCCATGAAAAAATGTGTAGAATTGCAGGAAATGAGCTTTAAAACTACAAAATGTTATTTCCGCCAAGAAGGGTGGTGTGAACAGTTTGGGGTTGCATGGGTCGCGAGGTTAGGGTTTGTTACTATGCCGATAAATGACAATATCCCAATCTTTGCCACCTAGGAAATGTGTGTGACCGGACCTTCTCAAATAGTATTTCTGTACCCCTGCAATATATTATATAATCAATCATATCTCAATATATCAATCCTCTCTCCCTCCATATAGGCCTCCAGGGACCTGGTATGCTTTCTCCAGCTGGACCACGTTAATGTGTATTACGGCCAGGACTACCGCAGCAAGTACAAGGCCCCCACAGACTACTGCCTGGCCCTCAAGGTAAGCCAACCCCCCCCCCCCCCCCCTTTCACCTAATGGTACACTCCACTTCTGCTCCTTCTAGAGAATTGATTAGCGACATGGCCTAACCCATTTTTATACAAGGGGTGGCACATTTTTAGAGTAGGGATGTTGCGGTGAGCCTGGACAAGCCCATTAAGATGGATCTGTTGTGTGAGTGGATGTGGTCCCAGGGGCTTGTCTAGGTAATGACATCCTGTGAGGCCCTAACACCAATGCCCTGTCCACTTAATAGGACCATTACCATGCCATTATGATCGGCATACTGGACAGATGTCAAACTCATCTGCCACTTTCAGCCTGTCTCTACTCCACTTCTTATTAAAAGCACAGACCCTAAAAAACACCAAAAATAAGTGTTAAGGCGCCACTCTCCTATGTTATTAATGTCGATCCACCTATTTATAGCTGTAGTCAAACCAACAGGCACAAAGGCTTTGGAATCAATGTCTTTACCGGAACGATCAGGGCCGGTCCTGGCTGTTCTGCCGCCCGAGGCAAGACAAAAACATTGTCGCCCTCAGTAAAACTAGAATAGTCCCAGTAAGGAAAATGACTTTGAGAAGACATCTAAAATACGTGTTTTCCAGACGTTGGAAGTTAGGTTCAATTTAGGTGCTGAATGAACGTTGAAAATGCGTATTTTGCAGACGCTGAAAATACACTACCGGTCAAAAGTTTTAGAACACCCACTCATTCAAGGGTTTTTCTTTATTTTTACTGTTTTCTACATTGTAGAATAATAGTGAAGACATCAAAACTATGAAATAACACATGGAATCATGTAGTAACCAAAAACGTGTTAAACAAATCAAAATATATTTTATATTTGAAATTCTTCAAATAGCCACCCTTTGCCTTGATGACAGCTTTGCACACTCTTGGCATTCTCTCAACCAGCTTCACCTGGAATGTTTTCCAACAGTCTTGAAGGAGTTACGACTCATCCCAAACCATCTCAATTTGGTTGAGGTCGGGGGATTGTGGAGGCCAGGTCATCTGATGCAGCACTCCATCACTCTCCTTCTTGGTCAAATAGCCCTTACACAGCCTGGAGGTGTGTTGGGTCATTGTCCTGTTGAAAAACGAATGATAGTCTCACTAAGCCCAAACCAGATGGGATGGCGTATCGCTGCAGAATGCTGTGGTAGCCATGCTGGTTAAGTGCGCCTTGAATTCTAAATATATCACTAACAGTGTCACCAGCAAAGCACCCCCACACCGTAACACCTCCTCCTCAATGCTTTACGGTGGGAACCACACATGCGGAGATCATCCGCTCACCCACACCACGTCTCACAAACCAAAACCAAAAATCTCCCATTTGGACTCCAGACCAAAGGTCAAATTTCCACTGGTCTAATGTCCATTACTCGTGTTTCTTGGCCCAAGCTTCTTATTGGTGTCCTTTAGTAGTGGTTTCTTTGCAGCAATTCGACCGTGAAGGCCTGATTCACACAGTCTCCTCTGAACAGTTGATGTTGAGATGTGTCTGTTACTTGAACTCTGAAGCATTTATTTGGGCTGCAATTTCTGAGGCTGTTAACTCTAATGAACTTATCCTCTGCAGCAGAGGTAACTCTGGGTCTTCCATTCCTGTGGCGGTCCTCATGAGAGCCAGTTTCATCATAGCGCTTGATTGTTTTTGCGACTGCACTTGAAGAAACTTTCAAAGTTCTTGAAATGTTCCGTATTGACTGACCTTCATGTCTTAAAGTAATGATGGACTGTTGTTTCTCTTTGCTTATTTGAGCTGTTCTTGCCATAATATGGACTTGGTCTTTTACCAAATAGGGCTATCTTCTGTATACCCCCCTACCTTGTCACAACACAACTGATTGGCTCAAACGCATTAAGAAGGAAATAAATTCCACAAATTCACTTTTAAGAAGGCACACCTGTTAATTGAAATGCATTCCAGGTGACTACCTCATGAAGCTGGTTGAGAGAATGCCAAGAGTGTGCAAAGCTGTCATCAAGGCAAAGGGTGGCTATTTGAAGAATCTCAAATATAAAATATATTTTGATTTGTCACTTTGGTCACTACATGATTCCATTTGGGTTATTTCATAGTTTTGATGTCTTCACTATTACTCTACAATGTAGAAAATAGTAAAAATAAAGAAAAACCCTTGAATGAGTAGGTGTTCTAAAACTTTTGACTGGTAGTGTATATAATAGTCTGTCTACATCACTGCAGGTGGGCTGTGACTGTGCTTATGGATGTGCTTTGTCACAATGCTTTTGGCCCATCTAGTGGACTCGCTAAATTGATGTAAAAAATATTAACCTTATGGGTTACCGCCAAAAATGTACACAGCATTATTTACCTGATATTTATTCAGAACCTGCCTGGTGAAATGGTAATCATAACAATTACACCTCAATTTCACTTTGGTAGGTGATGTTTCGGTACATGCAGGCTACCAAAAGTGTTTTCTAAGTAAATACCATCTTGTTTTCAATACCGTTGTTGATGCACAGAGTTCTATTTCAGACACAGGGAAAGCTATCTTAAGCCCACTTTAAAGGTGCCTTGCGCAAGCCTCCTCCTAGGAACAAAGTGAAACTACATTTGTTGTGTTGTCATGGTAACACATCTGTGTGTTCAGCACCCCCAGATCCAGAAGAAGTCCCAGTACATCAAGTATCTGTGCTGTGACGATGTCAGGACCCTCCACCAATGGGTCAACGGCATTCGCATCGCCAAGGTAAACCTTAACCTCCACGTAGCTCTTAAACATGACTATTAAAGAGGCTATATAGAACTTTTGCTCCTGAGCCAAAAGTGGTCCCCTAAACTAAAAGCTTCTTTAAAACAAAAGTTACTTTCCCCTAAAACTAAAGATTTGTGTTTTACAAGATAAGACATTGGTAAATATTATATAATATATTTATATGAACCATACAACCAAAGTACAAAATTCGATGTAAACAATTAAATAAACAACTGTGACCTCTCTCTTTCCCCCACGGTGGTGTAGTACGGGAAACAGCTGTATGTGAACTACCAGGAGGCCATGAAGCGCACGGAGGCGGCCTACGACTGGTCCTCCCTCTCCACCTCCAGTATCCGCTCGGGCTCCAGCTCCGGCTCAGCCAGTCTGCCCGGTGAGTCAGCCTTCCAGGGCTTAGCTTGGTAACCATGATCTTAAATTGAGGTCAATTTGAATTCAGTCGATTCAGGAGAGAGATTGATATGCTGTTAATTAATTGATTGCCCGTTATTTTCAATGACAACTTTTCGATTCAATTTCTGAATTGGAGTTCAGATTGACCACAACCCCTGTCTAGCAGTAGGTACATTGATTCTAGTTCTGATCTTGAATCAGTTCTTGTGGCTTTGAGGGTACACGATAAAGCTCTAGTTTAACTATAGACATGTGGATTCACCCTTTTTTTACACATTCACTCCCATTACTCAAATCTGCAAAAGACGGAGTACTGGCAGGTAGGAGCGTTGGGCCAGTAACCGAAAGGTTGCTGAATCGAATTCCCGAGCTGACAAGATAGAAATCTGTCATTCTGCCCATGAGCAAATCACTTAACCCACTGTTCCCCGGGCGCCGATGATGTGGATGTTGATTAAGGCAGCCCCCCGCACCTCTCTGATTCAGAGGGGTTGAGTAAAATGCGGAAGACACATTTCAGTTGAATGCATTGTTGTACAACTGACTAGGTATCCCCCTTTCCCTAATATGGCGGTTCGGTGGCTTCAGAGCCTCTTGTTAGCAAATGCATAGGTCAGCAATCTAGTGTTTATATGCTCCGGGGTGAAGTTTCCCCCTAGGTACAGATCTAGGATCAGCTTGCCCAATCCTAACCTTAACCATTAGTGGGGAAAATGCAACACTGACCCAAGATCAGCATCTAGCGGCAAATTCACCCTGCTCTGTGTTTATTGAGTCTAACATGCTCTCTCCCATGACTGTGTGTGTGTCCTCCAGAGTCCCAGTCGAACCACTCGGGCCAGTCAGACAGTGGAGTGGACACGGCCTCCAGCCACGGGCGCTCCCAGAGCGTGGTTAGCTCTATCTTCTCTGAGGCCTGGAAGAGAGGAACTCAGATGGAGGAGAACACCAGGGTGAGTCCTTCTCCCCTTTGACCTCTCCTCTTCACTCCAATATATCCCTCCTTTGTATTTTCTCCTTTTCTCTCTCTCTCCATTACATCCCTCCTTTCACCTCTTCTCTTTGTCTCTTTTCAGTGTATAACCATCAGATTCTTTACTGTAATGATTGATTTTGTCTCAATCTGAAGTTTTTTCCTTTCTGTCTTTGCTTGAAATTTTCTTTCACTCTCTGCTGGTGCTACTAAGGTGCTGCTTTAGGGTAACACTTTATTTTGATAGTCTGTAAAGCATCTACAGATCAGTTACATTTCAACCAGGGCCGGCGCCAGAACAAATCAGTTGGACGCCTTTTGATTTCCGTAGGGGGCCAAGTTTTTTTGCGGGACCTCCTTCCCGTGAAAAACTAGAACCGCTTGTCTTCGAGGGACCCCTAATTAGTTTATGTTACTGTTTATTTAAAAACAAAAAAACACTGACATTTTATTTGTGGAGTGCCTTTGTTACAACTATGAAACAGAAAGCATATGTTGGAATACGGTAACAGCTTTTTATAACGGCAAAACAATATATAATATCCCAACCACCAAGATGCACAGTCAAATTATGAATGCACGGTCAAATTATGAAAACATTAGTTGCCTTGTCATTATAAGCGCGAAGAGTGCTTGATAAATAGTGAAAATCGGCACAAAAGCTTAAATGGCATTCTAATGAATATATGACCGCAGTCAAAAATAGTAAATGATTGTCAGCTCGTGCTTACAAGGTGTGCGTCTTCACGCAATGGCTGAAGTTGGAGCATGTCCATGTCACATAAACAACGAAAGCTGGTGTGTGCGAGCTGATGTGGTTTTTTGCTTGAGATGTTGGGCCTGCTCTCTTATGACATTTTGTGCTGATAATCAGCCAGTAGCATTGTCACCGGCTTGTTCTATCCAAACGGTGCCGTCCCTTCCTTTCTCCTGTCTCTCCGTTTTCATTTGGTGGTGGCGCGGGCACTTGCTCAGTGCGCACCGTTTTGGCTTTTTTGCACTTAGGCCTTGGAGGGTTAGGTTTAGGCTGAGGCTCAGAATCAGAAGAATAATCATCAGAGATGTCATCATGATTAATTTCTTCCCCACCATCTGAGTGGTTTGATTCAAATTGTGTAGCAACGCTAACGCTGCATGTGCATCCATTCATCTTGGTCTCCTTGCCTTTTGTAAATGATGGCCGCTCTCACTGTGTACTCCAAGTAGGCCAGAGTAGACTGATAAGACTGCTTGGATTCGGTGGACTGATATAGGGTACATACCATTTTGAGATTATATAATTAGAATAGATCAATACAATAGAATGGCTCGCCCTGTTCTTCATTTACAATTGGTGGTTACATAATTATGCATTGTTCGCTTCAACCTCGTTCATCAACTCCCCATTTTGCCCCTTTCTTCCTCATCATACTTTACTTCCCTTCATTTATTTCATCTGTTATATGTGTGAAATTAGTTTCGGTATTTGTTCAGTTTCGACGCAATTATCGGGGTAATTGTTAACTGGGCACGGCACCTTTAATTATCGGGAGAAGGAGGGGCAACGGGGGAAAGCCATAAAGAAAATGACATGCCCTCCTAACACTGGTTGTAACACCAGTTTGGTTTGTGATATTAAGATTCTAACAACGGCAGTGTGTTTTATAGACTTAAAACATGTCAGAGTAATACAAATTTTTCCCCCTTTTAATGTGGCATGAATACAACCAGTCATGATGTTTTCAACTGATTTGTCAAACAAATCACTTTAAAAAGTAGGTTACCTTCACTCAAAATTATTCCAGCATCCAAACCGCCAACTTTCCTTCAATTTGCAAGTGGCTGAAACTACTATCTCACCGGAGAAAGCATCCGAGCGAGCGAAACGGCGCCCCTCTGTTTTACAACGTCAACAAAACGAAGGAGCTGATCGTGGACTTCAGGAAACATTAGAGGGAGCACGCCCCCATCCACATCGACGGGACTGCAGTGGAGAAGGTGAAAAGCTTCAAGTTCCTCGGCGTACACATCACTGACAATCTGAAATGGTCCACCCACACAGACAGTGTGGTGAAGACGACGCAACAGCGCCTCTTCAACCTCAGGAGGCTGAATAAATTTGGCTTGGCCCCAAAGACCATCACAGACTTTTACAGATACACCATTGAGAGCATCCTTTCGGGCTGTATCACTGCCTGGCACCTACAGCACCTTATGTCACAGGAAAGCCAAAAAGAAGGCCAAAAGGATCATCAAGTATATCAACCACCCGACCACGGCCTGTTCACCCCGCTATCATCCAGAAGGCGAGGTCAGTACAGGTGCATCAAAGCTGGGACCGAGAGACTGAAAAACAGCTTCTATCTCAAGGCCATCCAACTGTTAAATAGCAATCAGTAGCCGGCTACCACCCGGTTACTCAACCTTGCACCTTAAAGGCTGCTGCCCTATGTACATAGACATGGAATCACTAGTCACTTTAATAATGTTTACATACTGTTTTACTAATTTCATATGTATATACTGTATTCTAGTCAATGCCATCCTACTCAACTATTGCTGTATATATACTATTCTATCCTACAGATACACTAAGTATTCCATCCACATACTGTCCATAATGTCTATACATCCCATCACATATATATATATATATATATATATATATATATATATATATATATATATATATATATATATATATATATATATATATATATATATACAGTGAGCTCCATAATTCATTGGACAGTGACCATTGTTTTGTTATTTTGGTTCTGTACTCTAGCACTTTGAGTTTGAAAGGATACAATGACAATGAGCGTGAAGTGCAGACTGTCAGCTTTAATTTGAGGGTATTTTCATACATATCGGATGAACCGTTTAGAAATGACAGCACCTTTTGTACATGGTCCCCCCATTTTAAGGTACTACAAGTATTTGTTAAATTGGCTTCACAGATGTGTGTCGTTAGGCAGGTGTATTCATTTGTGTCGTTAGTGAATGCAGGAGAGCTGTTGATGAATAGTAATGATTCTAGATGGCTGCCAGTGGAACAGGCTCACTTGTCTTCATCGATGATGTGACTGCAGACAGAAGTAGAACAATGAATTCTGAAGTCTACAGAAATATTTTATCTGCTCAGATAAAACCAAATGCCTCCAAACTCATTGGACTGCACTTAATCATGCAACAAGACAATGACCCTAAACATACTGCTAGAGCAACAAAGGGGTTTTTGATGGCCAAAAAGTGGAAAATCCTTGACTGGCCGAGTCAATCACCAGATCTGAATCCAATTGAACATGCATTTTACATGCTGAAGAGGAGACTTAAGGCAATAAGTCCCCGAAACAAGCAGGAACTGAAGATGGCTGCAGTACAGGCCTGGCAAAGCATCACCAGGGAAGATACCCAGCGTCTGGTGATGGCGATGCATCGCAGACTTCAAGCAGTCATTGCATGCAAAGGATATGCGACCAAATGTTAACAATGATTACTTTATTCTACATTATGTTAAACTGTCCAATGTTTTTTGATGCCCGAAAATGGGGGGGACCATGTACAAAAGCTTCTATAATTCGTAAACGGTTCATCCGATATGTATGAAAATACCCTCAAATTAAAGCTGACAGTCTGCACTTCACCCTCATTGTCATTGTATCCTTTCAAACTCAGAGTGCTAGAGTACAGAACCAAAATAACAAAAGAATGGTCACTGTCCAGTGAATTATGGAGCTCACTGTATATATTTATACTCCGGACTCCGACATTGCTCGTCCTAATATTTTCATATATTTCTTAATTCCATTATTTTACTTTTAGATTTGTGTGTATTGTTGTGAATTGTTAGATATTGCTGGAGCTAGGAACATAAGCATTTCGCTAAACCCCCAATAACATCTGCTAAATATGTGTATGCGACCAATACGATTTGAATTTATTTATTTAGCCCGTGTATGTGATGCTGTCTGACCAAAAAGAGTATGCCATACTCTTTTTGTCCAGCCAGCATCAGATACATGGGCTACACATACTGAGACAGAGGTGCGCTGTTCCGCTCGTTCGGATGATTTATCTGAGATTTTTGCATCTTTCTGTAGGCGCACATCTCGGTCAGATAAATGATCAATATTTAAATATTTGATTTGGACGGGCAAGGAGGTACGGTAGGGTGGGCCAGGCCCCCTAATGCCACTCATAACGCCGGGGCTGAGTTCAACCATCTACTAACCCTGAACTTAAACCTAGCCCTGACCTTTAAACCTTATCCTAACCCTTACCCGAATCCTTATTCTAACCGTACCCTTAACAAGCCGTTGCTTATCAACAGATAGTCCATGGTCATCCTGTGCTCATTGTGTGTACTCCTCTGTCCCCACACAGATGAGGGAGTCCACCCGAGGTGCCACCCTCCCCCACCCTGCCCACGCGCACCGCCAGACCCCACAACTGGAGCCCCCTGCCTCGGCAACGCCACCACAGCCACAACAGCAGCCACCTCCCCAGACTCGCAGCAGCTACACCCACACTCTACAGGGGGGTACCTCCGCGCCGCTTCAACAGCAACTGCCCCCCCAGATCCGCAGCAGTTACACCCAGGTCTTGCCTTCCCTGCCCCCCCAGCCCTCCCCTCCACCACCCCAACATCCCTCCCCTCCACCACCCCAACATCCCTCCCCTCCACCACCCCAACAGCTGCCCTTCCAGATCCGCAGTAGTTACACCCAGGTCTTGCCTTCCCTGCCCCCCCAGCCCTCCCCTCCACCACCCCAACAGCTGCCCCCCCATATCCGCAGCAGTTACACCCAGGTCTTGCCCTCTCTGCCCCCCCAGCCCTCCCTTTCACCACCCCCCCAGCCCTCCCTTTCACCACCCCCCCAGCCCGCCCCTCCACCACCCTCCCTGCCCCCCCAGCTTTCTCCACCACCCCAACAGCTGCCCCCCCAGATCTGCAGCAGTTACACCCAGGTCTTTCCCTCCCTGCCCCCCCAGCCCTTTCCTCCACCACCCCAACAGGACTTTCCTCCACCACCCCAACAGCTGTCCCCTCAGCCCTGCAGCAGCTACAACCAAGCTATGCCCCCTCCACAACCACCTCCCCCGCCCCCGCCGCCCCCTCCCCCGCCACCCCTGCCTGCCAGCAGCACCCCTCACCATTCGGGCCCCACCGTGTTTGCCAAGTACAGCACCATCACCCGGCTGCAGAACCAGAACGCCGCCCACCAGGCCGCCAATCACCACAGGGCGCAAAACAACCACCAGAGCCCGCCCAGGGCGCCAGCCCAAGCCCCGCCTCCTCCCCATCAGGCGGCTGTCAAACCGCTGGTCAACAACATCAATGTCCCGCCTCCCCCTCCGCCCCCTCCCCCGCCCTCCATGCCCGCTCTGGGGTCAGCCATGGCCGCACTCAGGCTCGGGCCCTCCAGCTCGGCCGCCCTGCCCCAGTTCATCCCACCACCCCCACCGCCGCAGGGCAACAACATCCCCCCTCCTCCTCCACCCCCCCCAGACCCCATGCCAGGCCTGTGCCCATCGCCCTACGGTGCCAACGCCCTCCAGCAGACACTGGCCCAGAAGTTCCCTAGCCCTCCCCCCCAGGACCTCTCTCCCCCCGCTGCCAGACTGGTTGAGTCGCCCCCGGCACCTCCTCCGCCTCCTCCTCCCCCGCCACCTCCCCCTCCTCCCCCGCCACTTCCCCAGCAGCTCTCTGTGCCTGCCCCCCCTCCACCTCCCCAGCAGCAGTACTCACCTGCACCTGCTCCCCCCCCTTCCCTACCCAAAACCTTCTCCCCAGGCTTTCTGCTCCACCACGGTGCCCCGAAGCCCCTCTACCCTGTTTCCCCTCTCCCTCCCGCCCCACCTGCTGTCCCAACTCCTCCCCCACCCCCGCCCCCTCCTCCTCCGGTGTCAATGAAGAAGCAGCACAGCCTCCAGATAGGCCACACCCCCAACCAGCCCCCTCCCACCTTTCCCAAGCAGCACAGCCTCTCCAAGCCACCACCCCTGTCCTTCACGGCTCCGCCCACCACCACCTCCCTGGTCAAACAGATGGCAAGCCAGTTCCCAAGGTCCACACTGTCGACCAATCACATTGAGAGCCCCAAAGCCCCCCTGTCCCCTCCTGCGGTGAAGGCCAAACCAAAATGGCAGCCAGGCGGTGGACAGGCCCAGCAACAGGCCTCTGAGTTCCCCCCACCCCCTTCCGAGAGCAGCCTGCCTTTCCCTCCCCCTCCCCCGCCTCCCCCGCCTCCACCTGCTCCGGTCACCGGTCCTGTCCCCCCTGCTCCACCTCCCCCTCCCATCACTGGCCCCACCCCTCCGCCTCCCCCTCTCCCCCCCGGCAACCTGGGCTCGCCCCTGAAGAGGTCCCCATCAGGCTCCTCCACCTCCTCCTCGGGCTCCTCTGGCTGGGGGGGCAGGAAGCCCCCGCCCACCACCCCCCAGAAGGCCTCCAGCATCAAGTCTAACTCCTCGGCTGAATACCAGGAGTCACGCAAGAACCTTCTCAGCAAGTTTGCCCCCAAGTCCTCCTCGTCCCCCTCCACTTTCCCTTCCTTCCCTGCCGTATCCTTCGGTAGTTCTCCCTCTAAGGACTCCTCCTCCCCGGCCGGCCCCCCGGCGCCCCCCAAGCCAGGCAAGCTGAACCTGGCCAACCTGCCCCTGGCCCTGCAGGCCAAAGTGGGTCAAGTGGGCCAGCAGCGCCAGTCCACCGCCGACATCCCCTCCCCTCTGCCCGAGTGCGCCGTGGCCTACTTCCCCCCTCCCCCGCCGGCCTCTGATCTCTTCCCCCCTCCCCCGCTGCCCAGTGACGGCCACGTCGGGGCACCTAAGGTGGCAGTGGTCAACCCCCAGCCGAAAGTACCCCCCGCCCCTCCTGGTCCCCCTCCCCCCTCCACCATCAACTCCTCCTGGGGCAAGGGCTCCCTGAAGAAGGCCCCTCCCCCCACGCTGCAGCGGAACCAACCGCCTCCCCCGGCCCTGTCCCCGACTCCAAAGTTGCCCCTGCCCACCTCGCCCCCCAAGGGGAACAGCAACAACGGCACCCCCCAGCCGGGCAACTTCATGGACGACCTGAACCAGACTCTGAAGCGCAAGTCGGTGAGCCGGCAGGGCTCGCTTTCCTCGTCCCGCCTCTCCGGCGCCAAGCTGGAGCCCGCCGCGGGCACCATGGACGACATGGAGTTGGCGCTGCCCCCTCCACCGCCCGAGTTGCTGTCGGGGGGGAACGTCTCAGGCTATGCAACACTACGGCGGGGGCCCCCGCCGGCCCCACCCAAGAGGGGGGGCAACACCAAACTGACACACTGACCAGGGGAGTGGTCGAAAAGGAGACTGTTGGATGATGCCTACTTTACACCTCTCTTGGAGAGGAGCTTCGATCTATCATATCTATCACAGGACCGTCAGTGGACATTGACAAACTGAACTCCTCGTGTTCCATGATTATGATGGTGAATACTTAAACATGTAAATAAGGAAACGCCAAACCATGAATCAGCTTCTTCTTCTTCGCCATATGTTTGTGCCACGTAATCAGAAAACCATAATAACGCCGTTAGGATTTATTCTGCATTGGTACTGCATGGACATGCTGTAAAGACGAGCTGTAAAACGTGAAGCTCTTTGGTGAATGTGCGTGTGTGTGTATCCGTTTGTGTGCGTACCCGTGTATGTTTGCGTGTGTGTGAGTGAGAGCGAGCGATAGAAGGGGATATGGGGGACAGCCCATAAAGGAAGGCCTCTCTGTAATAGGGATTGTTATTTTGCCTCTGTTTTTATATGAAATTATTTAATACATGAAAGGATTTTCTTATTTTATAGTTACGTTTTTTTCAAGCTAGTTGCTAAAGGTAAGATCAATTTGTTTGGAAATCATGAAGAGAAAGCTGCAAGTATGTTGGAGAGATGCAGATAAGATCGAAAAACTGTAGCTTATAGGCTGAAAGGTTATTTTTAATCAATGATCTAAGAATTCCCTGAGTTTTCTTAACGTTTCCTAAGTATTCCCTGAATGTTTTACAAGTGTCTCGCTCTCTGTGCTGCGATTGGGCGACACGCAAATCAGAAGGACGGATTTTTTCACAGGCTATTGCACTCTCTCTAAATAATCTCCAAACGAAAAAAGGAGATTCCCTCCTCCCAAAGGCATGAAACCATGACTGTGCAACTGGAAACATTTGTGACTTGGATTTTGTTTTTCATAGTACATTTTTTATTTAATGAATAACATTTTTTGCTTAACTGAAGACAGAAACGGCATGAGGCATGTCGTGTGTATGTCTTCAAAGGCCCTGTGAGTCTGTGGGTTGTGTGCTGTGTTGGTTTGACCGACCTGCCTCTGGGTCGTGTTCATTAGGCCCCAAGCAGAAGAAAACGGACTGTGAAACGGGGAGGGACTCACTGGACTTGTCCAATAAGAAACAAAAAATGACGCTTTTCGTTGCAACATGTTTTAAAATGTTTGGTGCATAATGAACATCTGCTTCTGTTTATCTGTACAGTAACAGCTTCTGCTCCCCTCCCATTGGCCCCCGCCGCCTTTAGATTGTCACATGGCCTATAAATCATAGAAATAGTGTATAGAGTGGGGACAGCTGTGCTCCAGGTGCAGTTTACGTTATACTCAGTTCTTCAAAACATGGTGGCTAAAATTGAAATGACACATTGTTGCTTTAAGGTACTGAGCATTGAATTATGTTGTCAGGACCATTAGACTAGACCTGACTGGCAAAATTAACCCACACATTCCTGCCTGGCTCGCATAAAAATGGAATGTTGCTTTCTACTCTGTCCTATATATCCTGATTTTATGGCCTAAACATCCCAGTGTTGTGCAGTTTCCTGCTTCTCCTGCCAAAGTGCAGTGCGGCGACTCCGCTCACTGTCTCGCACTCAGTGAGGATCATGGGGGGGGGGGGGGGGGTCTTGCAGCAATGCCTTCATTTCAAGGGTGCTAGTGCTTATTGTCCTAATAAGCCTGGATATCAATGGGCATCAAGGTGCTGACATCTTAAAAGTTAAATGTAGGCTTCGTCCCAATTCTCCACTCTTCTCCCGAAGTGTGACCATCCAGGATTGGATCGATATAAGCATTAGCTACGGTTTCCAACATTGTTAAATCCATGACGGGAAGTATGCTAGTGCACACTTTGGGAGAAGGGTGGAAAATCGGAACACCAGAGCAATAGATGGTGACCATAACCACATAAAGCTGAATGACCGTACTGAACTTAAGTGGGCCATGAATGTTTTGGGACCACTACTAGACACATTTAAAACATGCTGTCATATTAATCTTGCTTAATGCCCTTGAGAGACTCTGTATTGGTGAAGTTGGCTCTAGACGCTGATCTTGGGTCAGTTTCGCATTTTTACCACTAATGTTTAAGATTGGGGGCAGGAAAGCTGATCCTAGATCTGTACCTAGGGGAAACTTCACCCCAGAGCCTGTGTATTTTCATGACTGAATATCATCCTTTTCAGGTTGTTGGTTTGCAGTATGTCAAACTGAAGTAGGCATTAAATTATTGAAGTGTTGTGTATCTGATTTTGGGGGCCAAATGAAACTAAATGAAGAAAACGGGGGGAGATTGCAGACTGAATGTCTCTTCTTGCATATAAACCGAAGATCACAATATAAATGTTCAAGTCATACCTCGACCATGTCTCACTGTCTCGTTTATCACCAAGTCTATGGTTCATTTATTGGTTACCTTAAAGGGGCAATCTGCAATTCAAACACACATTTTTGCAAAATAGCTAAGGAATGGGGCTGGAGCAATCTAACCACTCAAGAATTCCTAGATGGATGCAAACTATTCATTATTATAATTTTTTACCAGGGCCGGGATTGAATTCACTTGCGCCTGTCAACTATGCGCCATCTAAAGGTAATTTACGATTGAGCCGACATCTGCAGCGTTTACCGGGAATGCAATGGAGTAAAACAAGCTTATATTTTGGGTTTTGATTGTGGCAGGTGTAATTAAGCTCAAAAGGCATTATTCTAAAATAATCAATGGCTATGTATAATTAATTGAAAAGTCAAATTGGATGTACCAATCCCAGATTGTCCCTTTATCCCTACTGTTGTGAAATAATGAAATTTAAATATTGAGGCTAGAGCATCTAATGCTTCCTTCCTTGATCTGACATACACTACATTACCAAAAGTATGTGGACACCTGCTCATCAAAATCATGGACATTAATATGGAGTTGTTCCCCCTTTTGCTGCTATAACAACCTCCACTCTTCTGGGAAGGCTTTCCACTAGATGTTGGAACATTGCTGCGGGGACTTACTATTTTTACGTGCTACACCACTCGGCGTGTCCTGTTGTATTCTAGAAGAGTATTCTACACGTCACTGGTATAATAAACATACATATACGCTGTGTACAAAACAGCTGCTTTTTCCATGACATACTGACCAGGTGAATCCAGGTGAAAGCTATGATCCCTAATTGTTGTCACTTGTTAAATCCACTTCAATCAGTGTAGATGGAGGAGACCGGTTAAAGAAGGATTTTTAAGCCTTGAGACATGGATTGTGTGTGCTATTCAGAAGGTGAATGGGCAAGACAATATTTAATAGCCTTTGAACAGGGTATGGTAGTAGGTGCCAGGCGCACCGGATTGAGTGTGTCAAGAACTGCAACGCTGCTGGGTTTTTCAAGCCCAACAGTTTCCCATGTATCAAAAATGGTCCACCACCCAAAGGACATCCAGCCAATTTGACACAACTGTGGGAAGCATTGGAGTCAACATGGGCCAGCATCCCTGTAGAACGCTTTCGACACCTTATCGAGTCCATGCCCCGATGAATTGAGGCTGTTCCGAGGACAAAAGGGGGTGCAACTCAATATTAGAAAGGTGTTCCTAATGTTTTGTACACTCAGTGTAGAACAAAGTCTGCGTTTATACACAGGCCACCCAATTCTGATCATTTTCTTCCACTAATTGGTCTTTTGACTAGTCAAATCAGCTCTATTGACAATCATTTGGCAAAATATCAGAATTGTGCGGCCTGTATAAACACAGCCAAACACATATCTATGATAATAAGATGGAATGTAGCTCTGGGTTCAGCGTTGATGGGCTTTGAGTGCCGCCTTGTGGTCGCCACATGTCCTGCATACACAGGTGACACAGGATCACTCAGATCCCTGCATGTGTATTTCAATGACGATGGCCAGTGGATCATTTGTCATTCATAGAAGTGATCACATCTATTACATTCCAGAGGCATCAGAGGATACAATTTCCCTAAAAGAAACGTGTATGTCCCACTTACTGATCATGAAAATGAATGACGACTCTCATTCAGACGAGTAATCAATTTAATTGGAAATGTTCTCTTATAATGTTCCAGCGCTACCATCAGAACTTCCTAAGCTCCCTGCTCTCCTACAAGTACTGTCAGGGCCTGATGGTACAGAGAGAGTCCCCAGGGGCCTGATCAGGAGGATCACGTTACAGAATGTTCAGATATAAATGTATTGTGTAGAACAGACACAGTTGTCTGTCAGATAGAATAGGGAATTGTGTCAGCTCTATACAGTACAATTATATCTGCAACACTCCGAATGTTTCACATCACTGAATAGTGTATTCTTTGTGTGTCTTGCCGAGTCACTCCAGGTGGTTGCTGATGCTGTCGCCCCTTGGGATCAGCTGAGGCTCCACTTCCTGTCTGGGGAAAGAGTGGCTGGTAAAGAGAGGGGCCTCAGAGAAGCCAGTTGGGGCAGGGCCTGCAGCAGGAAATTATTTTGGTTATCACAATGATTATTTTTTGTGTTCTATACATTGGTGTCACCTGAAGCAGGTTTGCTTTAGCCTGGTTCCTAGATCTGTTTGCGCCGTCTTGCCAACTGACCAAAGGAGATTGAAAGACCGCAAGAACAGATTTGGGAACAGGCTAGGTTTGCTTACCCCTGTTCCCGAATGGTTGCACATTCAACTGCTGCCTCTTCCTCGTGAAGTTCTGTTGATAGAGAATCTGGATTTAGTTATTTTTCTGTACGGCCCAGCCGGACACTTCAGCTCTGTTTATACCTGGTGCTAACATGGATCCTTTGTCCTGATCTTGTCTACATTCTGATTGTGCACACAATCAATGACTTTAAGTCATCATTATTCCACCCTTTAAATGGTTTCTCTGTCAAGATCTGTCTACACTTGTAAGATATCCATACACAAAGTGTGTCTGACTACCTCCGGAGGTGGGCAGGATGATCTGATCACAAGCAGATCACAATGTGTCTTGATTGTCTACGCCTGTCTAAAAGTGTGGGCACAATCACAATGTGGACATGATCAGGACAAATGACGCAAGTTATAACCAGGTATAAACGGGGGTTTTGATGATCAATCCCAAACTGAACCCTAGCCCCTACCTCTAGGCACTCAATGTCCATCTGAAAGGATTGGATAGGTATCAGATGAATGGTATTAACTAAACCTTGCCCTCTTATAGGCTAGGTGGAATTTTTGTCATGTCACTTGTACGTATCAAATCCTTAAAGATAAAGGCCCTAAAATGGGGTTGATTTTGGGATTGGGCATCTCTTAGGGTGTTTTCACACTTGGTCCCTTTAAGACAATTTTTGGGAACTCAGTCCGGTTTCGCTTACATTTTTGTGCAGTGTGAATGCTTCAAAGGAACTCAGAACCCTCAGAAGAGCCCCCGAAGCAAACCGAACTGAGACCATCTCGAGAGGTGGCTCACTTTTCTTGTGCAATGTGAACACAAAGCTCTCCAGGTTCACTTATCATTACTTCCCCACCATGCACTACAAGCTCCTGCAAAACCGTTTCCCCTGCCATAGCCCCTCACATTAGTGCCACAAACTAAAAAAGATGATGTGCAGGTTAGCGTTACAATTTTAAGTATAACATTTTCAATTAAAGCATTATTTAATCTGCAATGATTGTTCTGCCATTTATCCTGTTACCAGTAATTTTTACATGTAAATATTATATTTTGATTATAATTAGTATGTCTTATTTTGTAACTAAATGCAAACTACATTATTAGCTTCCAAAATGTATGTAGGGACATCCCTGGCTGTCCGATAACAGGTTCTGATGGTATGTATGGCTTGTCGTGCACTTTATATTTACCCAGAGTGCATTGAGTAAATGTTGGAAAGAAATCTTGGTTATTTTCTAAGCATAGCAATGTGAATGCAAAGAGGACTCAGACCACATACATGTTAAAGTGAACTGGCAAGAGAGCTAAGTCCTCATTCAAATCCAAGGGCAGTGTTATTTTTCTTTTTTTCACCCCAGAGCTCACTTTAAAGAGGACTGAGATCGGTTATTTTAAAGAGGAATAAGGTGAAAACACCCTTATATTCTCTTCATCTATTGGGCATCCCCCCTCTCTCTGTCCCTCCCTCTCTCTCTCACCTCTTCACTACTGGACTCGGAGCTGGAGCTGTCCTGGCCACAGTTCAGGGACACAACCTGGGTGAACTCTGCAGTGACGCGCACACGTGCGCCGCAGGAGGCGGCCGGCTGGGAGAGAGGGAACGAGGGAAAGGAGGATTAGTGGCAGTTAAGAGAGAAGAAAATAATGGGCATACAATAAAGCACTTTGATCAGTATGCTAGTACAGTATGAATGCACAATGAAGGCTTCCCTCTATCTAAAAATCTATATCTTTAGTGTTTATAAACCTAGCTTTTATAACAGGCACCAGTACTGTTGGAATGATCAGGACAGAGAAAAACTAATTTGGTGACATTCTGTTCTCCCCTGTCTGTCACAACAAACACAGCATCCCATGCCAAAATCAACAGTGTGTGGAGTCTGTCAACAGTAGACTATGTCCTAAAAATCGTCAGTTTAGAGATGAACCCCACAAACCCTTTAGCGGACTATCACAGTTATCTCTGTCCAGGACCAAACGCAAACCATTTGCTCATATTGTTATCCGGTATTGATGTAAAATACAGCTACTGCAGTTTATGTAGGTATTTTTCCTGTTCATCTGGTCCTAGATTTAGAAAATATTTTGAATTTGTGGGTCAAGAAAATAATTTGCTAAAGAGATGTGGTCATGTATTTATCAGTCCCAATCCTTCGTTAGCTATGTATTGGGGAGGAATTATTTATTGTACTGAGTCAGTGTGGTAGTTTATCAGAAAATGTCAGTCTCAAAGTAGTGTATAGAGTTGAGTGCTGATCTAGGATCAGGTCCTCCCTGTCCATAGTGTATTTTTATTACTTATGATCTAAAAGGGAAAACCGATCCTAGATCATCACTCTTACTCTGAGATGCTTGATACATACGGCCCCTGATCTACTTCTTGTACTGAGTTCATAGGCTGCGTTTACACAGGCAGCACAATTCTGAACTTTTATTCACTAATTGGTCTTTTGACAAATCATTTATTTTCTTTTGCCAATAATCAGGAAAAATATCAGAATTGGGCTGCCTGTGTAAGCCATAGATTGCTAGGATTGGGTCTCACCACAAAGAAGCCCAGTCTGAAAGCACATCTCTGTGGGTCTTCTCCAGAGCTCTTCAGACAGTCTGTCTCCTTTATCCCAAAGTTCATCATCAGGTCATATGTGTTCAATCCTATAGGAACAACCTGGAAGACAAGAAACATTAAGGGTAAGGGAAAAGGGGATACCTAGTCAGTTGTACATCTGAATGCATTCAACTGAAATGTGTCTTCCGTATTTGGGGAGAACAAGTATTTGATACACTGCCGATTTTGCAGGTTTTCCTACTTACAAAGCATGTAGAGGTCTGTAATTTTTATCATAGGTACACTTCAACTGTGAGAGACGGAATCTAAAACAAAAATCCAGAAAATCACATTGAATGATTTAAGTAATTAATTTGCATTTTATTGCATGACATAAGTATTTGATCACCTACCAACCAGTAAGAATTCCGGCTCTCACAGACCTGTTAGTTTTTCTTTAAGAAGCCCTCCTGTTCTCCACTCATTACCTGTATTAACTGCACCTGTTTGAACTCGTTACCTGTATAAAAGACACCTGTCCACACACTCAATCAAACAGACTCCAACCTCTCCACAATGGCCAAGACCAGAGAGCTGTGTAAGGACATCAGGGATAAAATTGTAGACCTGCACAAGGCTGGGATGGGCTACAGGACAATAGGCAAGCAGCTTGGTGAAAAGGCAACAACTGTTGGCGCAATTATTAGAAAATGGAAGAAGTTCAAGATGACGGTCAATCACTCTCGGTCTGGGGCTCCATGCAAGATCTCACCTCGTGGGGCATCAATGATCATGAGGAAGGTGAGGGATCAGCCCAGAATTACACGGCAGGACCTGGTCAATGACCTGAAGAGAGCTGGGACCACGGTCTCAAAGAAAACCATTAGTAACACACTACGCCGTCATGGATTAAAATCCTGCAGCGCATGCAAGGTCCCCCTGCTCAAGCCAGCGCATGTCCAGGCCCATCTGAAGTTTGCCAATGACCATCTGGATGATCCAGAGGAGGAATGGGAGAAGGTCATGTGGTCTGATGAGACAAAAATATAGCTTTTTGGTCTAAACTCCACTCGCCGTGTTTGGAGGAAGAAGAAGGATGAGTACAACCCCAAGAACACCATCCCAACCGTGAAGCATGGAGGTGGAAACATCATTCTTTGGGGATGCTTTTCTGCAAAGGGGACAGGACGACTGCACCGTATTGAGGGGAGGATGGATGAGGCCATGTATCGCGAGATCTTGGCCAACAACCTCCTTCCCTCAGTAAGAGCATTGAAGATGGGTCGTGGCTGGGTCTTCCAGCATGACAATGACCCGAAACACACAGCCAGGGCAACTAAGGAGTGGCTCCGTAAGAAGCATCTCAAGGTCCTGGAGTGGCCTAGCCAGTCTCCAGACCTGAACCCAATAGAAAATATTTGGAGGGAAACCTGGTCAAGACCTACAGGAAACGTATGATCTCTGTAATTGCAAACAAAGGTTTCTGTACCAAATATTAAGTTCTGCTTTTCTGATGTATCAAATACTTATGTCATGCAATAAAATGCTAATTCATTACTTAAAAATCATACAATGTGATTTTAGATTCCGTGTCTCACAGTTGAAGTGTACCTATGATAAAAATTACAGACCTCTACATGCTTTGTAAGTAGGGAAACCTGCAAAATCGGCAGTGTATCAAATACTTGTTCTCCCCACTGTATGTGATGACGTTTATGAAAAAAAAACAGTAATGTAACGACCCATACCTAGGTACAGTGGGGAAAAAAAGTATTTAGTCAGCCACCAATTGTGCAAGTTCTCCCACTTAAAAAGATGAGAGAGGCCTGTAATTTTCATCATAGGTACACGTCAACTATGACAGACAAAATGAGGAAAAAAAATCCAGAAAATCACATTGTAGGATTTTTTATGAATTTATTTGCATATTATGGTGGAAAATAAGTATTTGGTCAATAACAAAAGTTTCTCAATACTTTGTTATATACCCTTTGTTGGCAATGACACAGGTCAAACGTTTTCTGTAAGTCTTCACAAGGTTTTCACACACTGTTGCTGGTATTTTGGCCCATTCCTCCATGCAGATCTCCTCTAGAGCAGTGATGTTTTGGGGCTGTCGCTGGGCAACACGGACTTTCAACTCCCTCCAAAGATTTTCTATGGGGTTGAGATCTGGAGACTGGCAAGGCCACTCCAGGACCTTGAAATGCTTCTTACGAAGCCACTCCTTTGTTGCCCGGGCGGTGTGTTTGGGATCATTGTCATGCTGAAAGACCCAGCCACGTTTCATCTTCAATGCCCTTGCTGATGGAAGGAGGTTTTCACTCAAAATCTCACGATACATGGCCCCATTCATTCTTTCCTTTACACGGATCAGTCGTCCTGGTCCCTTTGCAGAAAAACAGCCCCAAAGCATGATGTTTCCACCCCCATGCTTCACAGTAGGTATGGTGTTCTTTGGATGCAACTCAGCATTCTATGTCCTCCAAACACGATGAGTTGAGTTTTTACCAAATAGTTCTATTTTGGTTTCATCTGACCATATGACATTCTCCCAATCCTCTTCTGGATCATCCCAATGCACTCTAGCAAACTTAAATGTACTGGCTTAAGCAGGGGGACACGTCTGGCATTGCAGGATTTGAGTCCCTGGCGGCGTAGTGTGTTACTGATGGTAGGCTTTGTTACTTTGGTCCCAGCTCTCTGCAGGTCATTCACTAGGTCCCCCCGTGTGGTTCTGGGATTTTTGCTCACCGTTCTTGTGATCATTTTGACCCCACGGGGTGAGATTTTGCGTGGAGCCCCAGATCGAGGGAGATTATCAGTGGTCTTGTATGTCTTCCATTTCCTAATAATTGCTCCCACAGTTGATTTCTTCAAACCAAGCTGCTTACCTATTGCAGATTCAGTCTTCCCAGCCTGGTGCCAGGTCTACAATTTTGTTCCTGGTGTCCTTTGACAGCTCTTTGGTCTTGGCCATAGTGGAGTTTGGAGTGTGACTGTTTGAGGTTGTGGACAGGTGTCTTTTATACTGATAACAAGTTCAAACAGGTGCCATTAATACAGGTAACGACTGGAGGACAGAGGAGCTTCTTAAAGAAGAAGTTACAGGTCTGTGAGAGCCAGAAATCCTGCTTGTTTGTAGGTGACCAAATACTTATTTTCCACCATAATTTGCAAATAAATTCATTAAAGATCCTACAATGTGATCTTCTGTATTTTCTTTTCTCATTTTGTCTGTCATAGTTGACGTGTACCTATGATGAAAATTACAGGCCTCTCTCATCTTTTTAAGTGGGAGAACTTGCACAATTGGTGGCTGACTAAATACTTTTTTTCCCCACTGTATGCTTGCTACGATCTTCCCCAAGTGAGCAGAGTTTAGAAAGTTTGATTTGCTACATTGGTGTCAGAAGTGGGATGGTGCCTGTGAGGCCATTCAGGGAGGTGTGTACATGTGAGGGAATTGGTAGGCTAGATAGACTTGTTAATGTATACTGAACAAAAATCTAAAACGCAACATGCAACAATTTCAAAGATTTTACTGAGTTACCATTCATAAAGGAAATCAGTCAATTTAAATAAATAAATGAGGCGCTAATCTATGGATTTCATGACTGGGAATACAGATATCCATCTATTGGTCGCAAATATCAGAAAACAGTCAGTATCTAGTGTGACCACATTTTCCTCATGCAGCGCGACGTCTCCTTCGCATAGAGTTGATCAGGCTGTTAATTGAGGTCTGTGGAATGTTGTCCCACTCCTCTTTAATGGCTGTGCGAAGTTGCTGGATATTGGCGGGAACTGGAACACGCTGTCGTACACGTCGATCCAGAGCATCCCAAACATTCTCAATGGGTGACATGTCTGGTGAGTGTGCAGGCCATGGAAGAACTGGGACATTTTCAGCTTCCAGGAATTGTACAGATCCTTGCAACATGGGGCTTAGCATTATCATGCTGAAACATGAGGTGATGGCGGTAGATGACTGGCACAACAATGGGTCTCAGGATCTCGTCATGGTATATCTGCATTTAAATTGCCATTGATAAGATGCAATTGTGTTCGTTGTCCGTAGCTTATGCCTGCCCATACCATAACCCCACCGCCAGCATGGGACACTCACAACGTTGACATCAGCAAACCGCTCACCCACACGACACCATACACGTGGTCTGCGGTTGTGAGGCCGCTTGGACATACTGCAAAATTCTGTAAAACGATGTTGGAGGCGGCTTATGAACATTCAATTCTCTGGCAACAGCTCTGGTGGACGTTCCTGCAGTCAGCATGCCGATTGCACGCTCCCTCAAAACTTGAGACATCTGACATTGTGTTGGTGACAAAACTGCACATTTTAGAATGGCCTTTTATTGTCCCCAGAACAAGGTGCACCTGAGTAATGATCATGCTGTTTAATCAGCTTCTTGATATGCCACACCTGTCAGGTGGATGAATTATCTTGGCAAAGGAGAAATGCTCACTAACAGGGATGTAAACAAAGTTGTGCACAACATTTTTGAGAAATAGTACTTTCCTATAGTAGGAAAATGTAAAGCTGTAAAGCTGAAGTGTTACAGATTCCGCGATAGAAATGTCAAGGTAAGGCCTCCCGAGTGGCGCAGCAGTCTAAGGCACTGCATCACTACAGACCCAGGTTCGATCCCAGGCTGTGTCCTAGCCAACTGTGACCGGGAGACCCATGAGGCAGGGAGAAAAAGTACCATAAATAAATTGTATTAATGTCAAGGTAATTTCTGATTGAGCTGACATATGCAGTGTTTACCACTAAAGCAGGAACATTGCCCTTAAATTTCATGGCTGAACTCCCGCAATGTGGATTGAATAGACCCCTTTACCACATTTTGTTGAATTTAAAATATATTACATTGAGATTTTGTGTCACTGGCCTACACAAAATACCACATAATGTCAAAATGGAATGTTTTTAGACATTTTTAGAAATGAATTAAAAATGAAAATCTGAAAAGTATTCAACCCCTTTCTTATGGCAAGCCTAAATAAGTTCAGGAGTAATAATTTGCTTAACAAGTCACATAATAAGTTGAATTGACTGTGTGCAATAAGTGTTTGACTATCTTTCCCCCTTCACATACAATTATCTGTAAGGTCCCTCAGTCGAGCAGTGAATTTCAACCACAAAGACCAGGGAGATTGTCCAATGCCTCGCAAAGAAGAGCACCTATTGGTAGATGAGTAAAAAAACAAGAACAGACATTGAATATCACTTTGAGCATGGTGAAGTTATTCATTATACTTTGGTGTATCAATACACCCAGTCACTAAATATATAGGCGTCCTTCCTAACTCAGTTGCTTTATTTCATTTTCAATACATTTCTAAAAACATGTTTTCACTTTGTCATTATGGGGTATTGTGTAGATGGTTGAGAAAAAAAGTATATTTAATCAATTTTAAATTCAGGCTGTAACACAAGAAAATGTGGAATAAGTCAAGGGGTATGAATACTTTCTGAAGGCACTGTAAATGTAGCCATTCCACTATGAGGTTAGGGGTGAGAAGACACCTACCCTTTTGACAGAGCCACGGGTGACTCGGTATAGACGAAGGCCAGCGTACAGATTGTTGACTTGGGTCATGGTCACGACAAGAGCCTTGTCTGCCATGGACGCCAGCTCTGACTGGTACAGGGGCAAGCCTGCAGAGGTCAAAGGTAACAGAGGAGACTCTGAGCACACATACAGTACATTTCACATCAGGGGTATTTGGGAGGTAATATTGTCCTGGGTCCCTGTTGTCAGCATTGTGAATGATTATTTTTTGTCATTGATTAATATAAAACCTTGAACTGGGTCGTGTTCATTAGGGCTCACCGTAGCAAACAGTTTTGCAACAACAACCAAAAATAAGCATTTCTTATTCATCCCCATTTTCCTGTTTTCTTCAGTTTGGTGCCCAATGAACACAACCCAGACTTCACCTGACCCTGACGCAAATGACAAATCAAATAAATAAGCCATTTAGCAGACGCTTTTATCCAAAGCGACTTACAGTAAATAGAATGAGGCATGTATAGAAGCACTATCAGAGGCAGCTGCAAAGTTGAGTTCTACACCAGAAAGGATTGTATATCACTTACCTGAGCAGCACAAAGACTGCAGCAAGGCCAGCAGGAGAACAACACACCACTTCATCTTCTGTCCAGCATAAAACAAAACACCTCGATCATCAATTCCCCCATTCCTTAAATACAGTACGCTCAGCCTCTACCCTGCCCTCTCCCTCCTGTCCCCTCCTCCTTGCCAAGGCACTGGCTGACCTTAGTTATTTTGGTTTATTTCAATGCCAACAGTATTGACCTACAGGCTGAAATCTCATTACTTTGAAGTGGTCTTCTTCCTGGAACTAAACTTGCCACTTGTTCATTTACATTTCAGTCATTTAGCAGATGCACTTACAATCAGTGCAAACAACTACATATCACAATAATTGCAAGTAAAACCTTCAAAATAGCCGCCATATGCGGAGGCAGTGCTAGCAAAAACAGAAATCAAATACAACAGGTGTAGACCTTAGTGAAATGCTTACTTACAAGCCCTTAACCAACAATGCAGTTTTAAGAAAAATAAGTGTTAAGTAAGAAATAGATAAGTAAAAAATTGTGGGTGCAAGAAGAAGACCGGTACAACAGTTGTGTTTTCTGATCGTCCCATTCATGTTTTTACTTTGACAATAGGGCAAAATGTCCTTTTCCCGGCATCATTCAAGTTGAAACACTGACGTCCACATGTTCATTGTACTCTAAAATGCTTGTTGATTAATTTATCATTGCACTAAAGATGACAAAAACAATTTTATAAAATGTTTTAATATAAAAAAATACTTCCTACTTAGGATACAGAACAGTACTTTAGTTATTTCAAACAGTAACAAAATAATGATTACAGCACAGTCATCATCAGGATTGTGAAGTTCGTCTCTACAGGCTCGTCCCTATCCTCTCAAGGATGTCATCATCAATGTCAGACACACTGCCGGCATTCCAGGTTGCCTTTTTTGTAGTCACACTACACAAGAGATAAGATCTCACAACGCCTAGAGAAGTGTTTCACATCCCAAGAACCACATTAATACTGTATGTAGCCTAGCGGTTAGGAGATCTGGGTCAGTAACTGAAAGGTCGCTGGTTCAAATCCCAGAGCCGACAAGGTCAACAATGTTGATGTGCCCGTGAGCAAGGCACTTAACCCTAATTGCTCCAGGGTCGCCGTCAATAATGACTGATCCCTGACTGGGATATGAAAAAAACAAAAATGTCCATTTCACACATGCACGTGTGTGAAATAGGACAAATGTAAGCACCCACCTAATTTTCTTATTATAACAAATCTTCTGAGATTTGTAGTTTGACAGCAAAAATACAACCTGGAATGCCATCAAAATCACAGTGAGCAGTTGTGTCCAGTCCTTGCTAGACAAGCACTCATCTAGTCTACTAGCCAGATTTCTGTATGCTTTAACAATTGAGACTTGGAACTTGAAGGAGGTTAGACGAGCACAACAAATGTTATGCCTCAAGTACAAATACATTGGAAAAATGGAATGGGTCTTGAAAACATAAATACTAAACATACAGTACGGCCCTCTAGAAAGAGTGTGGACGCCTGGACTGATATGTCAATAAATAAATCTCTCTTTCATTTAAGTCAAGGTATTCCTTGTGCATTTTAACGCAATCTGTATCCTATGTCAACTAAAGGAATGGCTAGTATGCCTAAATGTGCCAAGGCAGTACAAGCATGAGTTTTAGTCCCTCAACCACCAACACACACAAACACAAATCTATGCAATCACCCAGGTATCAATGCGCATGCATGCACGTGCACACACACACCCATGAGCCTGTGACACACACACACACACACACACTTCCACCCACAGACACTCCTCCACCCATACCCCTCCCCTCATCGCTCCAGTGTCCCCATGAGAGGCTCCATGGCGGCCAGGAAGCAGGCCTCAAACTCCTGGTCGGAGAAGCGGGTGACTGAGAGGCGGGCGTTGCGTCGGATCTCCAGGCGGGCTGAGGGTGACAGGGCCAGGATCCGCTCCATGGCATCTGCGTAGCCATCCTCATCCTCGGCCAGGAAACCTGTCTGGCCGCCCTCGTAGGGCACCACAATGTCCAGCCTGGGGCCTCCAGACTTGTGGGCCAGGATGACGGTCCCAGCTGCCATGCACTCCACCACCCCTGGGAACGAGGAGAGCAGAGGGTACAGGGTAAGTGCTGGCTTTAAAGTTAGGTAGACACATTGCTGGATGTTTAACTGCATTACCTAAGACTGCATTTATATTGAACACTGAAAGATGAAGGTACACAAGCATTTTAGTGATAACCGCCACCTGGCTAGCAACCTAACCATTTTGGGAAACTTGCTATGGGCAGTAAAGATGCCTGTATGGCTTCACCTTTCATTTATATCGAGGAGGATGTTAGCAATCAAACAAGGTCTTTGCACTGGTGATTAACAAAAGCATATTGTAACAGAACAATGTACTACAATTTCAGAATGGGCTGTTGAATAGAGCGTATCAGGACTCCATTCAGTACAGGATTATAGAGTACTAAATGTTGAGTATGTAGAGAGAATGAGCTTTGCATTGGAATAATAGCCACTCCAGGTGTTTTTAATAATAGAAATATAATGACAGTAGTATAGAATGATAGTAATTCTATTTCTGTTTTTACCTATGCCGAAGTGTTCGTTCCACATGGTGTGCAGTCCCACCGTAGCTTCCCCCAACTCCCTCTTCAGCTCCTCAAACGGTACGTTGAGTTTAAACTCCACCCTGTCCGCCACGCCCAGCTCCTGGCACAGCCCCCTCAGCATCAACACCCTATCCTCATCCTCTTGGTTCCGGCATCCACCAATCAGCACCAACCTCAGCGACTCCCTTCCTCCCGGCCCCGCAACTAGCCCCGCCTCTTTCCTCTGCAGCACCTTTCGGAAGGCGCGAATCTGAAGCCGGTGGTCCTTCTCCGGTCGAAACTGACCAATGGAAACAATGGAATGGCACTTCCGGTCCGAGTCCTCTTCCAATGGGAGCTGGAGGAAGGCGTGGGTGTCGCAGGGCGGGAAGACTAGGCAGGTGCGGTTGGTCGCTCGCCACAGGGTCAGGATGTGGTTCAGTGTCCAGCTGGAGTTGACCATGACCACGTCGCTGCAGGAGCCGGCCAGACCGTAGAGCAGCGCCAGCAGGCAGTAGTAGACCACCTTGACCGCGCTCAGGAACAGGTTGTTGGAGATGTAGTCTGCGTTGTTGAACCTGGAAACATAGTGGGAGGTTGGTTAGGGAATGGTGAAAGATAACATGATAGGATCAGGTGAGGTAAAAGGAAGCATGCACAACAAGAGGAAGTCATGTATGGATGTCAATGACTCACTAAGTGAAAAGTGGACCGAAGTTACAACATGAACAACACTGATTGATGCAGGCTTGATGACAGTCCTAACAATGATAGCAGTGCAACGTGTTAGTTAGTGCTGGTAAATTCCCAGAGTATTTGCAAATCCCATATTCCCCTTAGCCTGATTTGATCCTGATCTTAGCCTAGGTCAGATCTGTAGGTGAGTTTTTAGCCAACTTCTCTGACTAACATTGTCATGCAATGGTAGTCAGATGACATTGACAATAACAGTCAGAGAGGCGTTGGCTAAAGCACATTCAGATATGGACCAGGCTACAGTGCCTTGCAAAAGTATTCATCCCCCTTGGTGTTTTACCTACTTTGTTGCATTACAACCTGTAATTTAAATTGATTTTTATTTGGATTTAATGTAATGGACATCCACAAAATAGTCCAAATTGGTGAAGTGAAAAACATTACTTGTTTCAAAAAAATAAATAACAGAAAAGTGGTGCGTGCATATGTAGTCACCCCCTTTGCTATGAAGTCACATAATTAGTTAAATAAAGTCCACCTGTGCACAATCTAAGTGTCACATGATCTGTCACATGACCTCAGTACATATACACCTGTTCTGAAAGGCCCCAGAGTCTGCAACACCACTAAGCAAGGGGCACCACCAAGCAAGCGGCACCATGAAGACCAAGGAGCTCTCCAAACAGGTAATGGACAAAGTTGTGGAGAAGTACAGATCAGGGTTGGGTTATAAAAAAATATCAGAAACTTTGAACGTCCCACGGAGCACCATTAAATACATTATTAAAAAATTGAAAGAATATGGCACCACAACAAACCTGCCAAGAGAGGGCCGGCCACCAAAACTCACAGACCAGGCAAGGAGGGCATTAATCAGAGGCAACAAAGAGACCAAAGATAACCCTGAAGGAGCTGCAAAGCTCCACAGCAGAGATTGGAGTATCTTTCCATAGGACCACTTTAAGCCGTACGCTCCACAGAGCTGGGCTTTATGGAAGAGTGGCCAGAAAAAAGCCATTGCTTAAAGAAAAAAATAAGCAAACACATTTGGGGTTCACCAAAAGGCATGTGGGAGACTCCCCAAACATATGGAAGAAGGTACTCTGGTCAGATGAGACTAAAATTTAGCTTTTTGGCTATCAAGGAAAACGCTATGTCTGGCGCAAACCCAACACCTCTCATCACCCCAAGAACACCATCCCATGGCAGCATCATTCTGTGGGGATGTTTTTCTATCGGCAGGGACTGGGAAACTGGTCAGAATTGAAGGAATGATGGATGGCGCTAAATACAGGGAAATTCTTGAGGGAAACCTGTTTCAGTGTTCCAGAGATTTGAGACTGGGACGGAGGTTCACCTTCCAGCAGGACAATGACCCTAAGCAACATTTAAATGTCTTGGAATGGCCTAGTCAAAGCCCAGACCTCAATCCAATTGAGAATCTGTGGTATGACATAAAGATTGCTGTACACCAGCGGAACCCATCCAACTTGAAGGAGCTGGAGCAGTTTTGCCTTGAAGAATTGGCAAAAATCCCAGTGGCTAGATGTGCCAAGCTTATAGAGACATACCACAAGAGACTTGCAGCTGTAATTGCTGCAAAAGGTGGCTCTACAAAGTATTGACTGGGGGGGGGGGTGAATAGTTATATGCTCAAGTTTAGTGTTTTATTTCTTGTTTGTTTCACGATAAAAAATATTTTGCATCTTCAAAGTGGTAGGCATGTTGTGTAAATCAAATGATACAAACCCCCCAAAAATCAATTTTAATTCCAGGTTGTAAGGCAACAAAATAGGAAAAATGCCAAGGGGGGTGAATACTTTCGCAAGCCACTGTATATTCCCCTAGTTAAGACTGTCTCAAGGGCTGCGGGGTCTGTAGTGGGAAACAGGCTTCTGAGCCGATTACCTACCTGGGGTTCCTCTCGCGCACCACTGACAGCATGTCTGTGCTGATGGTGGGGTAGTGCACGTAGCTAGCCACTTGACATCCCCCTAGGTATTTAAACACAGGCAGAGTGAAGGCGTAACCCATGGAGTCAATGTAGACATCTGGGACAAACTCCGTAAGGGCTTCCCAACCAAGGAAGATTGAGCCTACACTCTGACCAATCAGAGTGAAGTGGGGGAAGAGGCTGGCCTCGACCAATAGGCGGTGTTTGAGGAAGACAAACTGGACGGGTCGAGGTAAAAGGATGTTGAAGCGCAGCCGGGCGCCATCAAGAATCTGCTGACCCGTCACACCCTGGTCGCCCGTGTACACCATGAAGTTGACATCTTGGTACCTGGGACGTGGAGAAGACCATATTTATTATTGCATACAGTAGTAAACCCTTTTGCAATGGACCCTTTTGCAACGAAAACAATAGTTTATTGGACAAGTTCAGGTAGTCCCTCCCCGTTGGTAGTACTTCCCTCCCCTGTATGTTTGTTTGCTTCTATTTGGTTCCTAGTGAATATGACCCAGGTGTGTGAATTAATGTGGAAGACTGGGAGATGTTCATTAGGGCACATAACAGAAAATTTTACGCAAGGGGAAACTAAAATGGGCGTTAAGTCCCTCCCTTTTCCAATCTGTTTTCTTCCCTTTGGTGCCTAATGAACATGGCAACAAATTACTGTTGGAGATGGATTTTTTCATACTGTCTCAACATTCTAATCAACATAATGCTTGAACATGGGTAGCAAGCTGAGATTAGGTAGATAAGCCACCAAAGTAACTTATTCATGCTGAATGCACTGCGCACTCTGTAGTAAAATCCTATAGCTAGGAATATTTGTCACCAGTGATTATTAGCTGGTGTGGCTTAGCTTAATCAAGGTGCGATGACATGCATTGAATGTGCAATTTTCCCTTACCTATTCTGCAAAGCTCTGAGGGCACACCACAGCACTCTCTCACCGCCACCTCCCGCGTTGCAGTACGGGTGAAAGAAGGCCACTGTGGGACGCCCATCACGCGCTCGCCGTGCGTTCCTGTTCGCTTGCAGCCACACGCGCACACCCATGACGAGTGCAACCAGGATGGCGGTCAGGAGCATGCACAGAAACACGCATGGCAGAAGCAATGTCCACAACAACCTGGGGTAATGAGAGAACTATAAGAGATAAGGTGACAGACCTGCTCTACAGAAAAGGTAGGGCCCATTCAGTAAGACAACGTTGTGGAACGTTCAGATAGAGATGTATAATGTAGCTAGAACAAACATGCATCTCTGACTTGTAGAATATGGAATCACATCAGCTCTATTCATGCCATTTCTATCTGCAACCATCTGCGTTTGTTTACTACTGAATGCTCAGATATGTAGCTAGCTAGAGCAAACATGCCTCTCTGACATGTCGAATAAGCTATATCAGAACCATATATGACCTATAGCAGCTCTATTCATGACATTTCTACCTGCAACGTTCGCCTAACGTTACTACTGAACAAGGCCCAGGAACCCTGTCAAACTGATTATCTATACTCTAAACTAGCTCTCGAAAAACCTTCTCTGTACGTAGGGTTTTCAGCGGTTACATTCGCCCACCATTGGCTCCATGTGTTTTAACGTTAGAAACGTAAATAATCATGGCTTTCAAACCGGTTTTCGAAACATATGCTGATATACCCTATTGAGGACAGTATATTCTGGCCAGGGGAGGTTTGTTAAGATCCCCAACGATCGTTCTGAATGCTAAAAACGCATTGCTTGCTGTAAGGTTATGGAAACATAAGGAACGTATCTTTCATATCAGATAAATAATTTTCAAAAAACAAATGTTTAAATTACTACACATCTTGATAGTGTTAGTGTTCCCACACGGCCATGTTACATTGCTTGTTTACAGAAAGATTGAAGAAATAGGCGGTCATCTGGTTGTCACTGTTACCACACAGCCACAGTCGAAATTGGCTATTGTAAAAATTCATGGAAATAAAAAGTAGCTTTTTGTTCTTAATTTTAGGTTAGGTTTAAAATCAGATTTTTAAGAAGAGAAATTGTAGAAATAGGCAGGGTTTATGACTGTGGTAACTAGTGATGACCTGTGCTAATTAGCTAGCTATCTAACTTGCTCTGAACACCTGTGTGTAAGCGTAACTGGGGAGGAAGTGTAGTTGTTCATCAATTGGATGCACACACAGTTTATGGATCTGTATAAAACTGCTACAGTAAGTGTAAATGTATCATGCATCTTTCTAGCTGACATGAAAGATAAGGGGTGGCATATCAGCGTATGTTTCAGAAACCGTTTTGCAAGCGATGATTGACGTTTCTATACGTTAAAACACACACTCAGCGTCGGAATTGTAGTTCACACGCAGCCAACAACCGTGCGTGTGCGAAGCTAACCGCTGAAAACCCTACGTCACGGATAATACGCGATTTCGAGAGCTAACGTTAGCTTAGTAAGAAAAATGACACGAGTCGATATTGATAAACAGATGAACATAGGCTAGGAATTACTTCTGATAAAATAATAGCTGGCTTAACGTTAGCTAGCTAGCTGTAACGTAGGTGATGTGCTGTTGACAGCTAGCTAGCCAGCTGATTAGCTATAATACCTAACTAGCTGACTAAAGCAATCAATCGCACAATGTTTTGTCTAGTTAGCTTGGCAAATATCTAACATCTTCAGACAAAAATATGTACATAAAATACCAACCTGATTAGATCACACAAACATTGAGCAAGTTGATCATGGACAGACATCTTGACAACACAACCTCTAAACCGGAACTGTTTGTGCTGCGAGTTCACTATCGGTTTTTATTTTAGGTTAGCGCGTACGTTCATATTATACCTCAGTGAGCGCATAGCGCCACCTGGTGTAGTCAATGATGTGTATAAACCCTGGATGATTGACAGGGGGCGCTGTATTGACGCCACCGCGTAGCCATCTTGGCACTCCAACTCAATTGTACAAAATATTTTGAAAGCTATAGAAAGACATTTATTAATGTCTACATTAGTTTTTGACACGTTTATTCTATTATACACCTTAATGCATACTTTTAAATTATATTATGTGTGCTAAACATAAAAATAAATGAAAAAGTATTAAAGCATTTTTTTAGAGAGTACTAATGTTACTGTCCCCACTACAACAACAAAATACTTAAATACATGGAATTTTGTCCTTGAAACATTTAATTGAAATACTGTCGAATTCCATTCATTCCTATGGAGAACTACTCCTACTACGGAGTGCCAATATAGCCGACCGGTGCCTTCAAAGCCTCTCAATGGCCAATACATAGCATTTGTTATCTAGGGTTTATATAGTGATTGGGTATAGGACAGTGAATTTCTCTGTGAGCTGACAGATTTTGCATAATGAATATACAATATTCTGTAGACCTACTAAAGCAAATTATTTTCTGGTAAAAGGCAGTTCCAGGATAAAGTTTAAACCCACATAAATGACAATAAATCATTTTGTTAATCAAGATGTGGAAAGGTTTTAAAACAAAGACCTATATTATTGAATCGTATTTTTTTGGGGGAAATCATGGCGTATTAAACAGCTCACTGTTATTGCAAAGCAGCCCAAAGCCCTCCTCAAAAAAGTAAAGTTTAACTTAGACTTTACTCTGGCTAAATCAACACAGATCTCTCTCTCTCTCTCTCTCTCTCTCTCTACCATGTTAACCAAACATCTTGCACAAGTTTTGGACACATTAAACATGAAGGCTCTTCTAATATGGGCTGTTTTGCTGAACTTTTACAAACTCCTTAAGACAGGTGACTGCACTTCAAAACAGTAAGTTTCCTACAGTAAACATTGTCATAATTGTTTAGGAGACTTTGCTTAACCTAAATGAAAAATAGATGCATTTGATTGACAGATCCAGAAGGACCACCACATGATCACATGATAATGTTTACTCGTTCCACTGTATATCCTCCTACATGTTTTCACCAACTGTATTTTGTTTAAAGTAGAATTGAAGTGATCATTGACATGATTTAAGGAATTCACATTCGCAAGAAATTATGAGATGACAGGACAAATCTAAACCCATGTAGTTGCTATAATACAGAACTGTAATGAATAGCAAACTATATGGATCTGGGAAGAATAACACTTCAATTTGCTCAATTTGCCATTGGCTCAATTTACCCCAAGGCAAACATTTTGACTATATTAGCCCACACAGCTACAAGGATGCACTTTCATGCTAGGTTTAAGACCTCATATTGAAGCTTATAGAGACCCCAACTGGTGTATAGAACAATCTTAAAATGATATACTTTGGTTTAGATACAAGCATCATGAAACCTCTAACCCAATAATTAATTTGACTTGGTAAAAATCAGTTTTTTTACAAACTCGCTTACCACTTTTTCCATGTGGTTTATTCCTTCACAGACTCCATGAAATGATGACCTCTTCCTAAATATTTGGTCAAATTAATAATTTTGTGTATGGTTTCCTAGAAACAAGGGAACTTACCCCTTTGGCTCAACTTACCTCACGCTCCCCTACATCTCAATAGTCTTGTGACCTCTCCTCATCTCCTTTCCTATGTGCAGATGAAGAGGAGACGAGGAAAGGAAGCCACATTAGACTATTGAGACCTAGCCTATTTTTCCTTTGTCTTTCACAGTGACCAAGTACTCTCAATCCAAGTCACAACACACCAACAGGCAGATATTGTGAGAAACATATCCAGCCAATATGAGGTACAATAACGATGTGATAATAAACAAATAATTATCTTCTGTTTAAAAATAACTTTTCACTTCACTGGTCTTGAACCAAGAACATTGTGCAATTACTATTTTTGTTTCTGTAATAGGTTACGGTGTGTTGTTTTCAGACTTATTGTTACTCACAATTAGGATACATTATTTAAAAAGTTTATTCATGTGTTTGTGTGTGTATGAACGTGTGTGTGTGTTGTGTGTGTCTCCCAGACAGTTTTGTGGTCACCTGCTTCACCTGAGCACATTGGAGCAGACACTGAGGTGCACCTGTTTGTTCCTGCCAACAACTTGGGGACTGTCACAGACCTGCTGCATACACACCACATAACACACCAGTATGTCATGTGATCAATGCTCATATTTTAGCGAGACTAGCAACTTTAACACAACACCTAACTGGCTCATCAAGAATATCATATTTCTTGTCTTAATGGCTAAGGTGTTGTGTTTACTGTAGCAAGATCTTGAGTTCAAGCCACGGTTGGGACTACCAGCCGACTTCGCTTTAACTTCAATGTTGATTTTGTTATGTTATGCCCTTAAGGTCATATCCATGATATTGAATAAGCTTTCAGTATTATGAAATGCATGTAGAATGTTTTTAATAGTTCAGAGAAATCCTCAAGAGCAATACTGTGTGTTTGTTTCAGAGTGCTACTGGACAACACAGAGGAACTGATTGAGATGCAGACCAGGAATGAATCGGCGGACCCTCGAAGCAGCACATCTTATTATGAGAGATACCATTCTCTGGGGGACGTAAGAGACCTGATTGTGTCATGTCATTACCAAATGTTATTAACATAACCTTAATGTAATGTAACATTAACATAATCTCAATGTAACATCCCATTAACATTACTTTAATGTCATAACCTTTTCTGGGCCCGTATTCATACAGCGTCTCAGCGTAGGAGTGCTGATCTAGGATCATTATGATGCCTTTTAGATAATAATGAATAATATTATATGGCCGGGGCAGCTGGTCCTAGATCAGTTTACTACTGTGAGATGCTTTATGAATACAAGGCCCTGGTCATTTGTGGTCCCAGCTGGTAGATGAAAATGTTATCATGCTGTCTCTTCTATAGATATACTATTGGATCAACAAGACTGCCCAGGAACACTCAGACATGGTCAAAGTCATCCTGATTGGCTCATCGTATGAGAAACGCCCACTTTATGTTCTCAAGGTGCCCCAAGCTGCCTTTTTAGCAATGATTGATACAATAATTATATTTTGAAATAATGTAATTGTCATAATCATTTTATACAAGCAACAGTCACATGTTCATCATCTGATCAAATGATTGCATTTCTCTGTTGTCTTTTTCAGTTGTCCGGACGACAAGAGAGAGCTGAAAAGAGAGCAATGTGGATTGACTGTGGCATTCATGCTAGAGAGTGGATCTCCCCAGCCTTCTGCCTGTGGTTTGTGCAATATGTCAGTACCTTGTTCCTAAAATCCAGATTCTCTACCAACTTACACTCTATCTATTCTGATACTGTATACATCTTTGGTTATATAGTATCTTCATAACTCATTGGTTATGAAGTACAATTCAAAAATTTTATGATGGCTCTGGAATATAAAATTGTATTGCACACTATTTTAAATTTGGAACACAGACAGATATATTAAATTGTTGAATCTTCCTTGTGCTCTTTCCTCAGTCCTTGAATTTCTACAATCAAAACAATGACATCACTGAGATGCTGAACAGTATGGACATCTATGTTCTGCCTGTCATGAACCCGGATGGATACAAGTACACATGGACAACGGTAAAAAATATGACAATTAATAAGATGTATCGAAATTGAGTCAGTGGTTGCGTTCCAGGACGACAACATTGCAGACGTGGTATCGACCAATAGTTGTGTGCCACGTAATCGACTGCGCAGTCATGCATCAGATTGCTATATGATGTGGTTAGCTGATATGATAAACACCTATCCAGTGAGATCTGGCATGAGTCTGCAATGTAGTCTGTCTGGAATGCCGCCAGTGCCTTCAAATATGTCAATCTGAGCTACACAACATTTGTCATCTCTATGGGCACTGTGCATCATATGGACATACACTACATAACCAAAAGTATGTGGATACCTGCTTGTCGAACATCTCGTTCCAAAATCATGGGCATTAATATAGAGTTGGTCCCCCCTTTGCTGCTATAACAGCCTCCACTCTTCTGGGAAGGCTTTCCACTAGATGTTGGAACATTGCTGCGGGGTAGGGCTGTCCCCGAAGGAAAACAAATCTTGGTTGACCGAAAGTCGGCTGTTCTTTCGACCAATCGATTGCAAAACAATTTTTTACTTGTATTTTTCCAAATCTAGACACACCCTATGTGTTTTAATAAGATCAACTATATGCATTGAGCTTGTCTGATGCTTTAAGCTTATGGTTTAATGCCTCGAGGACGCCAGAGATCTAGATAACCAGAAGAAGAAAAAAAACGTAACCTGACCCAACTATTCTCCTCCCGCTCCAGCTGGCTTTCGCAGATTCTGCCATTACTCTCCCGAAGTTGCCGGTAATAGGCTACAGTAGTCGTTGGTAACCTTTCTCATGTGGAATGCAAATGTATCTTACCATTTCTACCGATCTGCGTGCAAGTTATGGTTTTCATATGCACATTTTCGTGAAACAGTTTCATTTAATTTATAATAATGTCTTCATATCTCAAAATCATTGTCATGTGGTTAATCAAAATTCTATCCAAATCTAAATAAAAATGATACAAACCTAAAAAGTAACTTCTATTGCCATTGCCAACTATGTAAAAATAGCCTACATCAAGCCAACAAATAAAAACATTGCAGCCTGCAGGTAGAAAATATCCTGATAAAAATAAATATCCTATAAATCACATTGGCTACACATGGCCTGTCTGCAACGAACTTGAAACATTGTATCAACTATTAACTTGGGTCTGGCCCAAAGCTTGTGCTAGCAAATTTGCAACATTGTATAAAATATTCTGGGCCCTCAGTTTCCCACACCAGTGAGCTCGGACAGACACAACTGTACGCTATTTGTGCAAGGCATAAGAAGCAGTGCTTGTTTTTGACTTGGGCAGGAGCTCACCGGAGCTGAGTACCGGCACCTACACATTTCTACTGCTTGAGCTCCTGTTCCTCTTATAGAATATTAGCTCAAAAGTATTGTGGAGCTCCTGCACCTAAATATAAACAGTAACAGCATCCAAAATGAGTACCGGAACCTATTTAAGTCAAAGTCAAGCTCTGATAAGAAGCCTATTTTATGACGTTTCCGCTGGATCAGAGCATGCCATTTTCCCCTTTCATGCTGAGTGGTTATCAAAAGGGAGACAGCTGGAAATAATTTTCAAATACATTGAGGAACTATTGTAATTCTCAATGGATGTAAAAACAGACTTTGTTTGCTTGCTGTTTGAGGTGAAGAAAACATTACTTTGAGAAGCTCCACAGATCATTAGTGGTGGTGCGTTAAGCCAATCAGAAATACTATCAGTGTCACGCTCTGGCTCCGGGACTTTGTATGTTGAGCTAGGGTGTGTTCGTTTCGTTGTGTTCTGTTTGGTTGGGTTGTCTATGTGGTTGTTTTTCCTTGGTTGTATTGAGTGACTCCCAATCAGAGGTAACGAGTGTCAGCTGTTGGCTCGTTAGCTCTGATTGGGAGCCATATTTAAACTGTGTGTTTTCACCTTGTGTTTGTGGGTTTTTGTTCCGTGTTCAGTCAGTGTTACTGTGGACTTCTCGATCGTGTTTTGTTTTGTATTTTGTGCTTTAACTATTAAAGTCATGTTCATTTCACACGCTGCGCCTTGGTCTACTCCTTCTCGTCAAGACGATCGTGACAGAAAAACCCACCATCAAAGGACCAAGCAGCGTGTCCAGGAATCGGCAGCCTGGACGTGGGAGCAGCGTCGGAGGGTCGAGAGGCAACCCCAAAAAAATTTTAGGGGGGGGCACACGGCAGGGGCGACTGGGCAGCAGGAGGCTGCCACAGGGCGATTAGTTGAGGAGGCCACCAGGTTAAGGGAGCTACTGGCGAAGAGGGAGCAGGAGTTAATGTTGCAGAGGATGGAGCTATTAGAGGCGATTAGGGAAAGGGTGAGAAATGAGGCACGGCGAGAGGAACTCGGTAGGCAGCTGAGGGAGCGGAAGGTTATGATGAAACCCAGTCCCGCTCCTCACACCAAGCAAGTGGTGTGCGTCACCAGTCCGGTCCGGCCCGTTCCTGCTTCCCGCACTAAGTGTACGGTGCACGTCGCCAGCCCGGCCCGGCTCGTTCCTGTTTCCCGCACTAAGTGTACGGTGCGCGTCGCCAGCCCAGCCCGGCCTGTTCCTGCCTCTCGCATCAAGCCTACGGTGTGCGTCGCCAGCCCTGCCCGGCCTGTTCCTGCTCCTCGCACTAAGCCTAAGGTGTGCGTCGCCAGCCCAGCCCGGCCTGTTCCTGCTCCACGCACCAAGCCTACGGGGTGCGTCGCCAGCCCAGCCCGGCCTGTTCCTGCTCCACGCACCAAACCTACGGGGTGCGTCGCCAGCCCTGCCCGGCCTGTTCCTGCTCCACGCACAAAGCCTACGGTGTACGTCGCCAGCCCAGCCCGGCCTGTCCCTGCTCCACGCACAAAGCCTACGGTGTGCGTCGCCAGCCCAGCCCGGCCTGTCCCTGCTCCACGCACAAAGCCTACGGTGTACGTCGCCAGCCCAGCCCGGCCTGTTCCTGCTCCACGCACAAAGCCTACGGTGTGCGTCGCCAGCCCAGTCCGGCCTGTCCCTGCTCTACGCACAAAGCCTACGGTGTGCGTCGTCGGCCTGGTCCAGCCCGTTCCTGCTACTCGCACCAAGCCAGGGGTACGAGTCGTCGGCCTGGTCCAGCCCGTTCCTGCTACTCGCACCAAGCCAAGGGTGCGAGTCGTCAGCCTGGTTCAGCTCGTCCCTGCTACTCGCACCAAGCCAAGGGTGCGAGCCGTCAGCCTGATCCAGCCCATTCCTGCTACTCGCACCAAGCCAGGGAGGCGAGTCGTCAGCCTGGTGAGGCCCGTTCCGGCTCCACGCATCAAGCCTAGGGTGCGTATCGTCAGCCAGGTCCGGTCCGTTCCTGCCTCACGCACCAAGCCAGGGGTGCGCGTCGTCAGTCCAGATCCTACCAGCTGGGTCAGATCGGACCGGGGGCGCTACGGGGGGATTGAAGAAGGGTGGTGGTCAAGCCCGGAGCCGGAGCCGCCTCCGAGGAGTAATGCCCACCCAGCCCTCCCCTGTTTGGGGTTATTGAGGCGCGGTCGCAGTCCGCGCCTTTAGGGGGGGGTACTGTCACGCTCTGGCTCCGGGACTTTGTATGTTGAGCCAGGGTGTGTTCGTTTCGTTGTGTTCTGTTTGGTTGGGTTGTCTATGTGGTTGTTTTTCCTTGGTTGTATTGAGTGACTCCCAATCAGAGGTAACGAGTGTCAGCTGTTGGCTCGTTAGCTCTGATTGGGAGCCATATTTAAACTGTGTGTTTTCACCTTGTGTTTGTGGGTTTTTGTTCCGTGTTCAGTCAGTGTTACTGTGGACTTCTCGATCGTGTTTTGTTTTGTATTTTGTGCTTTAACTATTAAAGTCATGTTCATTTCACACGCTGCGCCTTGGTCTACTCCTTCTCGTCAAGACGATCGTGACAATCAGATCCCCAAATGGGCACATTTATATGCCTACATTTGCTAGCAGGCCAGGTAGCCAATAGGCCTAATTCTATGTGTGCGCGTCCTTACTCAACATTGACAGGAGCACTCCAAACAAAAGACAATGGACTAAATTGACAGAACTCGTAAATTGAATTAAATAAACCAAAACTTGTTTTTCACAAGCGTAGCATAGGTTGTGCACTCTGCGAACAATGTGTCCACTCCGACAATGAGAACAGGAAGACTGGAATACTAATATTGAATGCATTAAAATAAATGACTGTAATCAAAGTAACAAACATTGTATATTAGAAATTATAAGAATTAATGGTAAATGTACAACTGGTGATATATGTAATGGGGAATTGATATACACCAACAATCAAATGCAAACAATTCTCACAATGAAGTTATGAAAAAATGAATATGCACAAATTGGCGGGAGAGTGCGCGTTCTGGAGAGAGAAGTGCATTGTGCATCTGGGCGCATGGTCAATCCGATGTCTGCATTTACTGTGATATGGCCTCAGCAGAAGTCAGGGCAAGAATGGCCTCAGCAGAAGTCAGGGCATTCATACTTCTTGCGCTTCGCAGAGCCCTCCACATTGTTACAAAATGTGGGAGGCGCATGGCGATGCGTACAGAGCTCGATTTGGCCTCTGCATGCCTCTGGAGGCTCTGCAACACCCTCCATATGGAGCTTCCGACCACATTTTAGAGTCAAACATAAATAGGCTTTTAGTCTAGGCCTCCGCAATGGATTAGTTCACTGAGATGGGTGTAAATATACAGTACCAGTCAAAAGTTTGGACACACCTACTCATTCAAGGGTTTTCCTTTATTTTGACTATTTTCTACATTGTAGAATAATAGTGAAGACATCATAACTATGAAAAAACACATATGGAATCATGTAGTAACCAGAAAAGTGTTAAACAAATCAAAATATATTTGAGATTCTTCAAAAAGCCAGCCTTTGCCTTGATGACAGCTTTGCACACTCTTGGCATTCTCTCAACCAGCTTCACCTGGAATGCTTTTCCAACAGTCCTGAAGGAGTTCCCACATATGCTCAGCACTTGTTGGCTGCTTTTCCTTCACTCTGCGGTCCGACTCATCCCAAACCATCTCAATTGGGTGGAGGTCGGGTGATTGTGGAGGCCAGGTCATCTGATGCAGCACTCAATCACTCTCATTCTTGGTAAAATAGCCCTTACATAGCCTGGAGGTGTGTTGGGTCGTTGTCCTGTTGAAAAACAAATGATAGTCCCACTAAGCCCAAACCAGATGGGATGGCGTATCGCTGCAGAATGCTGTGGTAGCCCTGCTGGTTAACTGTGCCTTGAATTCTAATTAAATCACAGACGTCACCAGCAAAGCAACCCACACCATAACACCTCCTCCTCCATGCTTTACGGTGGGAAATACACATGTGGAGATCATCCGTTCACCCACAACGTGTCTCACAAAGACACATCGGTTAGAATAAAAAATCTCAAATTTGGACTCCAGACCAAAGGACAAATCTCCACCGGTCTATGTCCATTGCTTGTGTTTCTTGGTCCAAGCAAGTCTCTTATTATTATTGGTGTCCTTTAGACCACAAAGGCCTGATTCACACAGTCTCTTCTGAACAGTTGATGTTGAGATTTGTCTGTGACTTGAACTCTGTGACTCATTTATTTGGGCTGCAATTTCTGAGGCTGTTAACTCTAATTACCTTATCTGCAGCAAAGGTAACTCTGGGTCTTCCATTCCTGTGGCGGTCCTCATGAGAGCCAGTTTCATCATAGCGCTTGATGGTTTTTGTGACTGCACTTGAAGAAACTTTCAAAGTTCTTGACATTTTCTGTATTGACTGACCTTCATGGACTGTCGTTTCTCTTTGCTTATTTGAGCTGTACTTGCCATAATATGGACTTGGTCTTTTACAAAATAGGGCTATCTTCTGCCCCCCCTACCTTGTCACAACACAACAGATTGGCTCAAATGCAATAAGAAGGAAATAAATTCCACAAAATAACTTTTAAGAAGGCACACCTGTTAATTGAAATGCATTCCTCATGAAGCTGGTTGAGAGAATGCCAAGAGTGTGCAAAGCTGTCATCAAGGCAAAGGGTGGCTATTTGAAAAATCTCAAATATAACACTTTTTTGGTTACTACATGATTCCGTATGTGTTATTTCACAGTTTTGACGTCTTCACTATTATTCTACAAAGTAAAAAAAAGTAAAAATAAAGAAAAACCCTTGAATGAGTAGGTGTGTCCAAACTTTTGACTAGTAGTGTGTGTGTATATATACATATATATTTTTTTATTTATTCATTTATTTATTCATTAGTTTGTTTGTTACTGCTCGACTAAAACAATCTGTCGACCAACAGCCTAATAACCAAAAAATGGACCAGTCGACTAATTGCTGTCAGCCCTACTGCGGGGACTTCCATTCAGCCAAAAGAGCATTAGTGAGGTCGGGCACTGATGTTGGGCGATTGGGCCTGGCTCGCAGTCAGCGTTCCAATTCATCCATCGCAAAGGTGTTCGATGGGGTTGAGGTCAGGGCTCTGTGCAGGCCAGTCAAGTTCTTCCACACCGATCTCGACAAACCATTTCTGTATGGACCTCGCTTTGTGCATGGGGGCATTGTCATGCTGAAATAGTAAAGGGCCTTCCCCAAACTGTTGCTACAAAGTTGGAAGCACAGAATCGTCTAGAATGTCATTGTATGCTGTAGCATTAATATTTCCATTCACTGGAACTAAGGGGCCTAGCCCGAACCATGAAAAACAGCCCCAGACCATTATTCCTCCCCTACCAATCTGTACAGTTGGCACTATGCATTGGGACATGTAGCGTTCTCCTGGCATCCGCCAAACCCAGATTCGTCCGTCGGACTACCAGATGGTGAAGCGTGATTCATCACTCCAGAGAACGTGTTTCCACTGCTCCAGAGTCCAATGGCAGCGAGCTTTACACCACTCCAGCCGACGCTTGTCATTGCACTTGGTTATCTTAGGCTTGGGTGCGGCTGCTCGGCCGTGGAAACCCATTTCATGAAGCTCCCGACTAACAGTTATTGTGCTGATGTTGCTTCCAGAGGCTGTTTGGAAGTCAGTAGTGAGTGTTGCAACCGAGGACAGACTATTTTTACGCGTTTCAGCACTCGGCGGTCCCGTTCTTTGAGCTTGTATGGCCTACCAATTCGCGGCTGAGCCGTTGTTTCCACTTCACAATAACAGCACTTACAGTTGACTGGGGCAGCTCTAGCAGGGCAGAAATTTGACGAACTGACTTGTTGGAAAGGTGGCATCCTATTACGGTGCCGCGTTGAAAGTCACTGAGCTCTTCAGTAAGGCCATTCTACTACCAATGTTTGTCTATGGAGATTGCATGGCGGTATGTCGATTTTATACACCTGTCAGCAACGGGTGTGGCTGAAATAGCCAAATCCACTAATTTGAAGAGGTGTCCATATACTCTTGGCCATGTAGTGTACTTTGTGCACATGATCTAATAAATATATATATATAATTTTTATCACACAGATCCATTCCACTCACTCCTAAACAACTCAACTTCATTTATTCTGCATAATGAATATACAGAATGTCAGAGAGATTTTGTGAGTTTACGTCAGTATAGGTTTTATGAGTATATGGCAGTAGGCTATAGGTTTTATGAGTATATGGCAGTAGGCTATAGGTTTTATGAGTGTATACAGTATGTCAGTATTTGTTTTGTGATTATACTTTGTGTGCTGCTTTATTTGACCAGAACCGAATGTGGAGAAAGAATCGTTCCTCGAACAAGGAAAGCAACTGTGTTGGAACCGACCTCAATAGAAACTTTGATGCAAACTGGTGCAGTAAGTCTGAAATGGGAACTGAACTGGTAGCTTGAGGGCTACTGGTCTCTGATCCCACATACAAACTACTGCCGTTGTTCCCTTGAGCAAGCCACTTATCCTCAAAATTGCTCTCCATCCAGGGGCGTTGCACCACCACTGACTCTGTGTCGCTCAACATGTGTGTGTTTCTGGGGGTGTTGGGAAAAAGGCAGAAGATGGCTTTCCATTCTAACCAAATGGACAGATGACTTTCCATTCTAACCAAATGGACAATAAACTGTCTATTCTATTCACTCTGCAGCGAAGGGCGCCTCCAACAGGCCCTGTGATGAGATATACTGCGGCCAGTTCCCAGAGTCGGAGCCTGAGGCGGAAGCCGTGGCTAACTTCCTGCGCAGCCACAAAGACTCGGTAAAGCTCTACCTCTCCATCCATTCCTATGGTCAGATGCTGCTCTTCCCATACTCCTGCTCCAATGAGGAGGTGCCTAACCATGCCGAGCTGGTGAGTTGTTGGGAGAGCTGAATGGGCGGATGAAACCCAGGGATCACATATTAGGCATTCATTTGTAGTTGATAAGTGTGTTTGTAAGTAGCTAATTAGGCCTATATTCTGTATAATTAGTCATTTATTAAGCCTTTATTCAGTGTTGTCCTATTCACACAAACACTGAATAAAGGCCTAATAAATGGCTAATAGTACCCGAAATGGCATAATTCGCTACTTATAAATGCTTATATGGTGATCCATGTACTGGTTTTTGATCAGTCAGTAAATATCATAACCCACAAAAATGCTAACTTCCCCTGTTAATGATAATGGTGAGAGGTTAGCATGTTTTGCGGGTGTCTTTGTGCCTCTGTAACTTTCTCAATCATCATTATTCACGATTCATTCAGGCTTATCCGTAATCATGGTAATCAAGGGTTCAGAAATATATTATATTCTTATTTACAATTAAAGTGACCCCAAAATGACACTACGTGAATTTGTCCAAATTATTTTGGTTCCCTAAAATGGGGGGACTATGTACAAAAAGTGCTGTAATTACCCACAGATTAAAGCTGACAGTATGCACTTTAACCTCATAGTCATTGTATCATTTCAAATCCAAAGGGCTGGATGTTTTTTAAAAATGTGTCACTGTCCAAATACTTTTGGACATTTACATTTACATTTTAGTCATTTAGCAGACACTCTTATCCAGAGCGACTTACAGTTAGTGAGTGCATACATTTTTGGACCTCACTGTATATAATGGATTCTTTTTTTATGAATAGGGGCCTCTTTTTATTATTTGTATTAACTGTGTTCAATTGTTTTTTTAACAGTTTGAGCTTGCACAGGAGGCAGCCATGAAAATCAGAAGACACTACAGGAACAACTACAAATATGGCGCATCAGCAAAAACAATATGTGAGTCAGTCTTCATCAGAGTTGGGGTCAATTCCATTTTAAATTTGGTAAACTCAGGAAACATTGGACTGGAATTGACCACAAGCCTGGTCTCCATCAAAGACAACATTGTGATACTCACAGAATTTTTGTCTGCATCACATAGGTTGGAGTGGCAGGCAGCAAGGTTCAGACAAACCCCCACTGTTGCAAACCAAATGTTGGCTAGAAGCATGGGGATATAATGGAGATTATGTTTATGAATTGGCTGGCTGGGCTGTGGGACAGTGGATAATTCAAATGGAAATGTTAACAGGCATTACCCGTGGATTATCTTGAATAACTCCTGGCTATCAATCAATCAGCATCCAGGATCCAAATATACAGTTATATAAAACCTGGTCTCAGAGCATTTCGTATTATTCTGTACGTAAATCCGTTGACATGATATGTTACTTTTCGTATAGTATGTATTAATTTGTGGATGTCCATCACCCATTTCGTATGATATGTTATGAATTACAATTTGTATTACACTGAACAAAAATATAAACACAACTTGCAACAATTTCAAAGATTTTACTGAGTTACAGTTTATATAACGTCAATGTAAATAAATAAATTAGGCCCTAATCTATGGATGACTGGGAATACAGATATGCATCTGTTGGTCACAGATACCTTAAACCAAAAAAAGGTAGGGGAGTGGATTAGAAAACCATTCAGTATCTGGTGTGACCACCATTTGCCTAATGCAACGGAACACATCTCCTTCGCATAGAGTTGATCAGGCTGTTGATTGTGGCCTGTGGAATGTTGTCCCACTCCTCTTCAAAGGCTGTGCGAAGTTGCTGGATATTGGCGGGAAATGGAACACGCTGTCATACACGTCGATCCAGAGCTTCCCAAACATGCTCAATGGGTGACATGTCTGGTTCCAGGAATTGTGTACAGATCCTTGCGACATGGGTCAGTGCATTATCATCCTGAAACATGAGGTGATGGGGGCGGATAAATGGCATGACAATGGGCCTCAGGATCTCGTCATGGTATCTCTGTGCATTCAATTTGCCATAGATAAAATGCAATTGTGTTCATTGTCCGTAGCTTATGCCTGCCCATACCATAACCCCACCGCCACCATGGGGCACTCTGTTCACAATGTTGACATCATCAATCCGCTCGCCCACATGATGCCATACACAATGTCTGCCATCTGCCTAGTACAGTTGAAACCGGGATTCATCCGTAAAGAGTACACTTCTCCAGTGTGCCAGTGGCCATTGAAGGTGAGCATTTGCCCACTGAAGTCGGTTACGACGCCAAACTGCAGTCAGGTCAAAACCCTGGTGAGGACGACGAGCACGCAGATGAGCTTCCCTGAGACGTTTTCTGACAGTTTGTGCAGACATTCTTCAGCTTTCCGGGTGGCTGGTCTCAGACGATTCCACAGGAGAAGAAGCTGGATGTAGAGGTCCTGGGCCGGCGTGGTTACATGTGGTCTGTGGTTATGAGGCCAGTTGGCCGTACTGCCAAATTCTCTAAAACGACATTGGAGGCAGCTTGTGGTAGAGAAATGTAACATTCAATTCTCTGGCAACAGCTCTGGTGGACATTCCTGCAGTCAGCATGCCAATTGCATGCTCCCTCAAAATGCTCCCTCAAAACTTGAGACATCTGTGGCATTGTGTGGTATGACAAAACTGCACATTTTAGAGTGGCCTTTTATTGTCCCCAGCACAAGGTTCACCTTTGTAATGATCATGCTGTTTAATCAGCTTCTTGATATGCCACACATGTCAGGTGGATGGATTATCTTGGCAAAGGATAAATGCTCACTAACAGGGATGTAAACAAATTTGTGCACACAATTTTAGAGAAATAAGCTTTTTGTGCGTATGGAAAAATTCTGGGATCTTTTATTTCAGCTCATGAAACATGGGACCAATACTTTACATGTTGCATTTATATTTTTGTTCAGTGTATATGTTACGAATTTGCAAAAGGTACAATATGTTACGAATGTGCAAAATGTACAATATTTCGGAGTTAGGTTAAAGGGTTAAGTTTAGGGTTAGGGGAAGGGGTAGCTAACATGCTAAGTAGTTGCAAAGTAGCTATAAAGTAGTATATAGTTAAAAAGTTGCTCATTAGCTAAAATGCTTAAGTTCCCCATGATGAGATTCAAACTCGCAACCTTTGGGTTGGTAGACGTTCGCGTTACACGCCCACCAATCCACCCTGACCAACCACCCTACTTTAGTTTTTGCCTTAAGCAACCATCATGTAACTATACCAAACGCAACATATCATACTAATTTGAGTGTCCCGGATTTACGTTTACTATGTTACGTATAATCTATGAGACCAAGCTCTTTTATAATAAAATGTTGACAATTGCTTTGTAAAGCTGTTATAAGTTATTGCTTTATAAACTGTCACTACAAAACAAGTAAAATTCCTTGTTCTCCCTTTGTCCTTCTCCAGACTTAGCCCCCGGAGGATCTGACGACTGGGCCTACAACCTGGGTATCCACTACTCCTTCACCTTTGAGCTGGAGGACCGTGGTCGATATGGTTTCCTCCTACCGCCATCATTCATCTCCAAGGCCTGCAATGAAGCCCTCCTCGCTGTTAAGAGTATAGCTGTCAGAGTCATTCAGAAAACACAACCCCAACCCTAACCCTTTATGCTCCTGAGAAGTTGGCTGTGTAAACCTGAGCAGTTTCACGTCTGATTTGGTCCAAAGTAATGCCTTTTATCAAAGTCTGTTTTGTGTGCGTGTCTGTCAAACATGATTTTAAATTGTATCATCGCCTAAAAAAGTATTCATGTTTTTTTTTAAGGAGTGGGGCAGTCACACTCATTACATAATTAGTTGTTTGTTGGAGGAGAGGAAAGACGGGGGAGAGAGTGCTGAAATAGCAATGGGTCTGATTCAAACCCATGCTGCAGCACATTGTATTCCATGGGCAGCGGCTTAGACCGCAAGGCCACCCTAGCACAGTATTCATGTTTTGTAGTAAGTAATCATAGCCACTAATGAAATCTTTCTCTTTCAATTCCTTTCTTATTTTTTAAAGTCCAGCTGTATATCCTCCAACAGCTTTGAAGCTTAAAACTATAATTGTGTTGACAGTTCTCTGTGTGTAGGCTTCTAATGGTGTAACAAGATGAATGTTCCAACAGAAAACAATAATGAAATTAGATATTCAAATGTTGATGTTTTGGCCTTTCTGAAAATGCTAATATTTTTACTGGCTTCCCTTTAGTTTGAAGCATGGCTAGAAAACATACCATCATTGCACTGCTATGGTGATGCACACATCTCAGAATACTCATTTTACATTTACATTTTAGTCATTTAGCAGACGCTCTTATCCAGAGCGACTTACAGTTAGTGAATATATTTTTTTTTTATACTGGCCCCCCGTTGGAATCGAACCCACAACCCTGGCGTTGCAAACGCCATGCTCTATCAACTGAGCTACATCCCTGCCGGCCATTCCCTCATGAATGGCCGGCATGAAATGCATTCCTCATGAAGCTGGTTGAGAGAATGCCAAGAGTGTGCAAAGCTGTCATCAAGGCAAAGGGTGGCTATTTGAAAAATCTCAAATATAACACTTTTTTGGTTACTACATGATTCCGTATGTGTTATTTCACAGTTTTGACGTCTTCACTATTATTCTACAAAGTAAAAAAAAGTAAAAATAAAGAAAAACCCTTGAATGAGTAGGTGTGTCCAAACTTTTGACTAGTAGTGTGTGTGTATATATACATATATATTTTTTTATTTATTCATTTATTTATTCATTAGTTTGTTTGTTACTGCTCGACTAAAACAATCTGTCGACCAACAGCCTAATAACCAAAAAATGGACCAGTCGACTAATTGCTGTCAGCCCTACTGCGGGGACTTCCATTCAGCCAAAAGAGCATTAGTGAGGTCGGGCACTGATGTTGGGCGATTGGGCCTGGCTCGCAGTCAGCGTTCCAATTCATCCATCGCAAAGGTGTTCGATGGGGTTGAGGTCAGGGCTCTGTGCAGGCCAGTCAAGTTCTTCCACACCGATCTCGACAAACCATTTCTGTATGGACCTCGCTTTGTGCATGGGGGCATTGTCATGCTGAAATAGTAAAGGGCCTTCCCCAAACTGTTGCTACAAAGTTGGAAGCACAGAATCGTCTAGAATGTCATTGTATGCTGTAGCATTAATATTTCCATTCACTGGAACTAAGGGGCCTAGCCCGAACCATGAAAAACAGCCCCAGACCATTATTCCTCCCCTACCAATCTGTACAGTTGGCACTATGCATTGGGACATGTAGCGTTCTCCTGGCATCCGCCAAACCCAGATTCGTCCGTCGGACTACCAGATGGTGAAGCGTGATTCATCACTCCAGAGAACGTGTTTCCACTGCTCCAGAGTCCAATGGCAGCGAGCTTTACACCACTCCAGCCGACGCTTGTCATTGCACTTGGTTATCTTAGGCTTGGGTGCGGCTGCTCGGCCGTGGAAACCCATTTCATGAAGCTCCCGACTAACAGTTATTGTGCTGATGTTGCTTCCAGAGGCTGTTTGGAAGTCAGTAGTGAGTGTTGCAACCGAGGACAGACTATTTTTACGCGTTTCAGCACTCGGCGGTCCCGTTCTTTGAGCTTGTATGGCCTACCAATTCGCGGCTGAGCCGCTGTTTCCACTTCACAATAACAGCACTTACAGTTGACTGGGGCAGCTCTAGCAGGGCAGAAATTTGTCGAACTGACTTGTTGGAAAGGTGGCATCCTATTACGGTGCCGCGTTGAAAGTCACTGAGCTCTTCAGTAAGGCCATTCTACTACCAATGTTTGTCTATGGAGATTGCATGGCGGTATGTCGATTTTATACACCTGTCAGCAACGGGTGTGGCTGAAATAGCCAAATCCACTAATTTGAAGAGGTGTCCATATACTCTTGGCCATGTAGTGTACTTTGTGCACATGATCTAATAAATATATATATATATATAATTTTTATCACACAGATCCATTCCACTCACTCCTAAACAACTCAACTTCATTTATTCTGCATAATGAATATACAGAATGTCAGAGAGATTTTGTGAGTTTACGTCAGTATAGGTTTTATGAGTATATGGCAGTAGGCTATAGGTTTTATGAGTATATGGCAGTAGGCTATAGGTTTTATGAGTGTATACAGTATGTCAGTATTTGTTTTGTGATTATACTTTGTGTGCTGCTTTATTTGACCAGAACCGAATGTGGAGAAAGAATCGTTCCTCGAACAAGGAAAGCAACTGTGTTGGAACCGACCTCAATAGAAACTTTGATGCAAACTGGTGCAGTAAGTCTGAAATGGGAACTGAACTGGTAGCTTGAGGGCTACTGGTCTCTGATCCCACATACAAACTACTGCCGTTGTTCCCTTGAGCAAGCCACTTATCCTCAAAATTGCTCTCCATCCAGGGGCGTTGCACCACCACTGACTCTGTGTCGCTCAACATGTGTGTGTTTCTGGGGGTGTTGGGAAAAAGGCAGAAGATGGCTTTCCATTCTAACCAAATGGACAGATGACTTTCCATTCTAACCAAATGGACAATAAACTGTCTATTCTATTCACTCTGCAGCGAAGGGCGCCTCCAACAGGCCCTGTGATGAGATATACTGCGGCCAGTTCCCAGAGTCGGAGCCTGAGGCGGAAGCCGTGGCTAACTTCCTGCGCAGCCACAAAGACTCGGTAAAGCTCTACCTCTCCATCCATTCCTATGGTCAGATGCTGCTCTTCCCATACTCCTGCTCCAATGAGGAGGTGCCTAACCATGCCGAGCTGGTGAGTTGTTGGGAGAGCTGAATGGGCGGATGAAACCCAGGGATCACATATTAGGCATTCATTTGTAGTTGATAAGTGTGTTTGTAAGTAGCTAATTAGGCCTATATTCTGTATAATTAGTCATTTATTAAGCCTTTATTCAGTGTTGTCCTATTCACACAAACACTGAATAAAGGCCTAATAAATGGCTAATAGTACCCGAAATGGCATAATTCGCTACTTATAAATGCTTATATGGTGATCCATGTACTGGTTTTTGATCAGTCAGTAAATATCATAACCCACAAAAATGCTAACTTCCCCTGTTAATGATAATGGTGAGAGGTTAGCATGTCTTGCGGGTGTCTTTGTGCCTCTGTAACTTTCTCAATCATCATTATTCACGATTCATTCAGGCTTATCCGTAATCATGGTAATCAAGGGTTCAGAAATATATTATATTCTTATTTACAATTAAAGTGACCCCAAAATGACACTACGTGAATTTGTCCAAATTATTTTGGTTCCCTAAAATGGGGGGACTATGTACAAAAAGTGCTGTAATTACCCACAGATTAAAGCTGACAGTATGCACTTTAACCTCATAGTCATTGTATCATTTCAAATCCAAAGGGCTGGAAAAAAAATTAAAATGTGTCACTGTCCAAATACTTTTGGACATTTACATTTACATTTTAGTCATTTAGCAGACACTCTTATCCAGAGCGACTTACAGTTAGTGAGTGCATACATTTTTGGACCTCACTGTATATAATGGATTCTTTTTTTATGAATAGGGGCCTCTTTTTATTATTTGTATTAACTGTGTTCAATTGTTTTTTTTAACAGTTTGAGCTTGCACAGGAGGCAGCCATGAAAATCAGAAGACACTACAGGAACAACTACAAATATGGCGCATCAGCAAAAACAATATGTGAGTCAGTCTTCATCAGAGTTGGGGTCAATTCCATTTTAAATTTGGTAAACTCAGGAAACATTGGACTGGAATTGACCACAAGCCTGGTCTCCATCAAAGACAACATTGTGATACTCACAGAATTTTTGTCTGCATCACATAGGTTGGAGTGGCAGGCAGCAAGGTTCAGACAAACCCCCACTGTTGCAAACCAAATGTTGGCTAGAAGCATGGGGATATAATGGAGATTATGTTTATGAATTGGCTGGCTGGGCTGTGGGACAGTGGATAATTCAAATGGAAATGTTAACAGGCATTACCCGTGGATTATCTTGAATAACTCCTGGCTATCAATCAATCAGCATCCAGGATCCAAATATACAGTTTTATAAAACCTGGTCTCAGAGCATTTCGTATTATTCTGTACGTAAATCCGTTGACATGATATGTTACTTTTCGTATAGTATGTATTAATTTGTGGATGTCCATCACCCATTTCGTATGATATGTTATGAATTACAATTTGTATTACACTGAACAAAAATATAAACACAACTTGCAACAATTTCAAAGATTTTACTGAGTTACAGTTTATATAACGTCAATGTAAATAAATAAATTAGGCTGTTGGTCACAGATACCTTAAACCAAAAAAAGGTAGGGGAGTGGATTAGAAAACCATTCAGTATCTGGTGTGACCACCATTTGCCTAATGCAACGGAACACATCTCCTTCGCATAGAGTTGATCAGGCTGTTGATTGTGGCCTGTGGAATGTTGTCCCACTCCTCTTCAAAGGCTGTGCGAAGTTGCTGGATATTGGCGGGAAATGGAACACGCTGTCATACACGTCGATCCAGAGCTTCCCAAACATGCTCAATGGGTGACATGTCTGTGGAGTATGCAGACCATGGAAGAACTGGGACATTTTCAGCTTCCAGGAATTCTGTACAGATCCTTGCGAAATGGGGCTGTGCATTATCATGCCGAAACATGAGGCGGATGAATGGCACGACAATGGGCCTCAGGATCTCGTCACGGTATCTCTGTGCATTCAATTTGCCATAGATAAAATGCAATTGTGTTCATTGTCCGTAGCTTATGCCTGCCCATACCATAACCCCACCGCCACCATGGGGCACTCTGTTCACAACGTTGACATCATCAATCCGCTCGCCCACATGATGCCATACACAATGTCTGCCATCTGCCCAGTACAGTTGAAACCGGGATTCATCCGTAAAGAGTACACTTCTCCAGTGTGCCAGTGGCCATTGAAGGTGAGCATTTGCCCACTGAAGTCGGTTACGACGCCAAACTGCAGTCAGGTCAAAACCCTGGTGAGGACGACGAGCACGCAGATGAGCTTCCCTGAGACGTTTTCTGACAGTTTGTGCAGACATTCTTCAGCTTTCCGGGTGGCTGGTCTCAGACGATTCCACAGGAGAAGAAGCTGGATGTAGAGGTCCTGGGCCGGCGTGGTTACATGTGGTCTGTGGTTATGAGGCCAGTTGGCCGTACTGCCAAATTCTCTAAAACGACATTGGAGGCAGCTTGTGGTAGAGAAATGTAACATTCAATTCTCTGGCAACAGCTCTGGTGGACATTCCTGCAGTCAGCATGCCAATTGCATGCTCCCTCAAAATGCTCCCTCAAAACTTGAGACATCTGTGGCATTGTGTGGTATGACAAAACTGCATATTTTAGAGTGGCCTTTTATTGTCCCCAGCACAAGGTTCACCTTTGTAATGATCATGCTGTTTAATCAGCTTCTTGATATGCCACACATGTCAGGTGGATGGATTATCTTGGCAAAGGATAAATGCTCACTAACAGGGATGTAAACAAATTTGTGCACACAATTTTAGAGAAATAAGCTTTTTGTGCGTATGGAAAAATTCTGGGATCTTTTATTTCAGCTCATGAAACATGGGACCAATACTTTACATGTTGCATTTATATTTTTGTTCAGTGTATATGTTACGAATTTGCAAAAGGTACAATATGTTACGAATGTGCAAAATGTACAATATTTCGGAGTTAGGTTAAAGGGTTAAGAGCGGCAGGTAGCTTAGTGGTTAAGAGCGTTGTGCCAGTAACCGAAAGGTTGCTGGTTCTAATCCCCGAGCCGACTAACATGCTAAGTAGTTGCAAAGTAGCTATAAAGTAGTATATAGTTAAAAAGTTGCTCATTAGCTAAAATGCTTAAGTTCCCCATGATGAGATTCAAACTCGCAACCTTTGGGTTGGTAGACGTTCGCGTTACACGCCCACCAATCCACCCTGACCAACCACCCTACTTTAGTTTTTGCCTTAAGCAACCATCATGTAACTATACCAAACGCAACATATCATACTAATTTGAGTGTCCCGGATTTACGTTTACTATGTTACGTATAATCTATGAGACCAAGCTCTTTTATAATAAAATGTTGACAATTGCTTTGTAAAGCTGTTATAAGTTATTGCTTTATAAACTGTCACTACAAAACAAGTAAAATTCCTCGTTCTCCCTTTGTCCTTCTCCAGACTTAGCCCCCGGAGGATCTGACGACTGGGCCTACAACCTGGGTATCCACTACTCCTTCACCTTTGAGCTGGAGGACCGTGGTCGATATGGTTTCCTCCTACCGCCATCATTCATCTCCAAGGCCTGCAATGAAGCCCTCCTCGCTGTTAAGAGTATAGCTGTCAGAGTCATTCAGAAAACACAACCCCAACCCTAACCCTTTATGCTCCTGAGAAGTTGGCTGTGTAAACCTGAGCAGTTTCACGTCTGATTTGGTCCAAAGTAATGCCTTTTATCAAAGTCTGTTTTGTGTGCGTGTCTGTCAAACATGATTTTAAATTGTATCATCGCCTAAAAAAGTATTCATGTTTTTTTTTAAGGAGTGGGGCAGTCACACTCATTACATAATTAGTTGTTTGTTGGAGGAGAGGAAAGACGGGGGAGAGAGTGCTGAAATATCAATGGGTCTGATTCAAACCCATGCTGCAGCACATTGTATTCCATGGGCAGCGGCTTAGACCGCAAGGCCACCCTAGCACAGTATTCATGTTTTGTAGTAAGTAATCATAGCCACTAATGAAATCTTTCTCTTTCAATTCCTTTCTTATTTTTTAAAGTCCAGCTGTATATCCTCCTACAGTTTTGAAGCTTAAAACTATAATTGTGTTGACAGTTCTCTGTGTGTAGGCTTCTAATGGTGTAACAAGATGAATGTTCCAACAGAAAACAATAATGAAATTAGATATTCAAATGTTGATGTTTTGGCCTTTCTGAGAATGCTAATTTCTTTACTGGCTTCCCTTTAGTTTGAAGCATGGCTAGAAAACGTACCATCATTGCACTGCTATGGTGACGTACACATCTCAGAATACTCGTCACACAGTCATTGTCATGTACAGACCGCATAGATAGAAAAATTACCCCTTTATGGCCATTGTTGGCCGGTCACGTGCAAGCCGAACTGTCAAAACCTCAGTCATGCTATATGTGTCACTTCACTGGGTCCTTTTAATACATATTGACTTCAATTCTTCAATCGAATGTTTAAAACTACGATGCACTGTGGGAAACTAAGGTTGGTAGGAGTCACAAGGTGATCAGAGTCGTGTTGGTTTCCTCTTCATTGTAGTTGACAATTTAAAATAGTTCACAATAAATCACACACAGACTAGAGCAGTGCAGGGAACATACACTACATGACCAAAAGTATGTGGACGATATACTATATATACAGAAGTATGTGGACACCCCTTCAAATTAGTGGATTCGGCTATTTCAGCCACACTCGTTGCTGACAGGTGTATAAAATTGCGCACACAGCCATGCAAACATTGGCAGTAGAATGGCCTTACTGAAGAGCTCAGTGACTTTCAACGTGGCACCGTCATTGGATGCCACCTTTCCAACAAGTCAGTTCATCAAATTTCTGCTAGAGCTGCCCTGGTCAAGGAGGATAATGGTCTGGGGCTGTTTTTCATGGTTCGGGCTAGGTCCCTTAGTTCCAGTGAAGGGAAATCTTAACGCTACAGCATAAAATGACATTCTAGACAATTCTGTGCTTCCAACTTTGTGCCCCCATGCACAAAGAGAGGTCCATACAGAAATGGTTTGTCGAGATCAGTGTGGAAGAACTTGACTGGCCTGCACAGAGCCCTGCACAGAGCCCTGACCTCAACCCCATCGAACACCTTTGGGATGAATTGGAACGCCGACTGCAAGCCAGGCCTATTTCGCCCAACATCAGTGCCTGACGTCACTAATGCTCTTGTGGCTGAATGAAAGCAAGTCCCCGCAGCAATGTTCCAACATCTAGTGGAAAGCCTTCCCAGAAGAGTGGAGGCTGTTATAGCAGCAAAGGGGGGACCAACTCCATATTAATGCCCATGATTTTGGAATGAGATGTTCGACAAACAAGTGTCCACATACTTTTGGACATTTAGCGTATGCTAAAGTGAGAACCTTGAAGCCCAGCAAGATGGCTGGTGCTCATCATTCAAGTAACAATACAAACACACATCAGATCTCTTACCAGAAGAAAGTATGATTTTTTTTCTCAGTGCTTGAAATAGCAACTGAACATGTAACCAAAGCTGAGACACAAATAAAGACGAGGTTGCAAGAGAGGAAAATGTCTGTCAGATTGATATTATAATAATAACAATCTGTGCCTCAGTATATTCAAAGAGACCCTCTGGAGCTGCTGCAGTGTGTCTGGGGCTGCTGTGTGTTCTCCTACTGGCTGGGATCATACGCATATGTGTCTACTGTGATGAGTACAACAACCTGACTAAAGAGAGAGACCAACTACAAACCAGTCACAACAACCTGACTTAAAGAGATAGATCAGCTTCAGAGAGAGACAGAAAGACTGAAACCATGCAAATAGGTTTTTATTAGCCGATGCGTTTGACTTGAGGTTCAGCAGTAAATACATCTTCCCCTTCAAGTCAAAACGATCTTCAGTCCTAATGTTTGCACCGCGGTGATGAATGTGGATATGGCTAGAAAACGTACCTCAATCCAGGGATGGAAGATGTCGCTGTACTCCTAATGATCCCATTATCCAATATGAAAAATCAAGAATATTGAAATACTGCTAGTTTTAGCATTAGCTAGCCTAGCATGCTGACGAAAAAGGCAGTTTAACAAAAACATTGCAGTAATTCAATCTTCTTGATTTTCCATATCTATGCGTCATCAATTGCAGTATTAGTAAGTGTTGATGATAATATACTGAACAAAAATAGAAACGCAACATGTAAAGTGCTGGTCCCATGTTTCATGAGCTGAAATAAAATATCCCAGAAATGTTCCATGCGCACACAAAGCTTATTTCTCTCAAATGTTGTGCTCAAATTTGTTTACATCCATGTTGGTGAGAATGTCTCCTTTGCCAAGATAATCAATCCACCTGACAGGTGTGGCATATCAAGAAGCTGATTAAATAGCCTGATTATTACACAGGTGCACCTTGTGCTGGGGACAATAAAAGGCCACTTTAAAATGTGCAGTTTTGTCACACAACACAATGCCACAGATGTCTAAAGTTTTGAGGGAGCGTGCAATTGGCATGCTGACTGCAGGAATGGTCACCAGAGCTGTTGCCAGATAATAGAATTTCCATTTCTCTACCATAAGCCGCCTCCAACGTTGTTTTAGAGAATTTGGCAGTATGTCCAACCCACCTTACAACCGCAGACCATGTGTATGGCGTTGTGTGGGCGAGCGGTTTGCTGATGTCAATTTTGTGAACAGAGTGCCCCATGGTGGCGTTGGGGTTATGGTATGGGCAGGCATAAGCTATGGACAACGAACACATTTGCATTTTATCGATGGCAATTTGAATGCACAGAGATACCGTGATGAGATCCTGAGGTCCATTGTCGTGCTATTCATCCACCACCATCACCTCATGTTTCAGCATGATAATGCACAGCTCAATGTCACAAGGATCTGTACACAATTCCTGGAAGCTGAAAATGTCCCAGTTCTTCCATGGCCTGCATACTCACCAGACATGTCACCCATTGAGCATGTTTGGGATATTCTGGATCGACGTGTACAACAGCGTGTTCCAGTTCCATATCCAACAACTTCGCACAGCCATGAGAGAGGCCTGTAATTTTCATCATAGGTACACGTCAACTATGACAGACAAAATGAGGAAAAAAAATCCAGAAAATCACATTGTTGGATTTTTTATGAATTTATTTGCAAATTATGGTGGAAAATAAGTATTTGGTCAATAACAAAAGTTCCTCAATACTTTGTTATATACCCTTTGTTGGCAATGACACAGGTCAAACGATTTCTGTAAGTCTTCACAAGGTTTTCACACACTGTTGCTGGTATTTTGGCCCATTCCTCCATGCAGATCTCCTCTAGAGCAGTGATGTTTTGGGGCTGTCGCTGGGCAACACAGACTTTCAACTCCCTCCAAAGATTTTCTATGGGGTTGAGATCTGGAGACTGGCTAGGTCAGGGGTGTCAAACGTCCGGCCCACGGGCCGGATCAGGCCCGCAAACGGGTTTAATCCGGCCCGCGAGATGAATTTGAAAGAAAAAAATAAAATAATAATAATAATAATTATAATAATTTTGTAAAGTATAAAAATGCGCTGCAATTTTTCAATAAAATAAACTGCTGTTCCAATTGCGTCCACTGGATGGCGCAATAGCAATTGTGTTAAGCAAGCAAACTGTTTATACCGGGGCAGAGCAAGTAGGTCAAGCACGTGCAGCCAATGAGCTACTTTGTTTTGCCCGCAATATTTATTACGGCTTCTACTTTTAACATTATGTGCTTTGGCACCCTCATTGCCCCAATATGTCTCTGTCAAAAAAGAGAAAAGTGGACGCAGAGTGCAGAGTGTTCCAAGAAAAATTGTCATCCTATTTATTCACTGAATTGAATGGGAAAGCTGTATGTTTGGTGTGTTCAGAGCATGTTGCAGTGCTGAAAGAATATAACCTTCGTCGCCACTATGTGAGTCTTCATGCCGACAAATATGACAACTTTCAAGGACAGCGGAGATGAGAGAAGGTGAATGAACTGTTGGCGGGTCTGAAGAAACAGCAGTCTGTGTTTACTCACAGCCGAGACATCAGTGACGCTGCAGTGAAAGCTAGCTACCTCATTGCTAATGAAATCGCAGTGGCTTCAAAACCATTTAGTGAGGGTGAATTTGTAAAAACATGCATGATAAAGGCAGCGGAGATTGTGTGCCCTGAAAAGCGGCAGGCTTTTGCAAATATCAGCCTGACAAGAAACACAGTTGCAGACAGGATTTCCGATCTTTCAGTGGATTTGGACAGCCAGTTGAAGCAAAAAGTAAAGTCATTTATTGCGTTTTCGGTTGCAATTGATGAAAGCACGGACATTACAGATGTTGCACAACTGGCCATTTTCATCCGCGGAGTTGATGACACATTGACCGTCACCGAGGAGTTCGTGGAGTTGGTGCCGATGACAGATACAACGACAGCAGCTGATATTTTTACCGCACTCGTCGGCGTGCTGGACAGGGTCGGAGTGGACTGGTCCCGCGCTGTCAGCCTGGCTACAGATGGTGCGCCCTCAATGATCGGGAAAAAAGCAGGCTTGTGACAAAGTTCAGAGAGAAAGTGCAATCTGCAAATGGAGGATGTGATTTTTTGACTTTTCACTGTATTTTGCCCCAGGAGGCTTTGTGTTGCAAGTCATTAAAGATGGATAAC